CTGTTGTTGTTGATTTATTTCTGTACTGCACACATAAACGCATATAAACAGGATTCTGATATACATAAATGTATGCTGTTGAAGCTGTACATAAACATGTCTCCATTTATGTATGTATGTATTGAATGTTTTATATTATATACTAACTTATTAGATACTTAAAACAAGAAAGTCGAGCAAGCTCAACTCTTAAATACACTGTACCTCCCACCAAAAAGAAAAAAATTAAAAAAATTTAAGTATATTAATTAAATTAAAGACATGTTCATGTACAGTTTCAACAGACTTGACCTCGGCTTATGGGAATCTGTGTACCGAGTTTGTTTATTCTAGCTCTTGTACCTTCTGAGATCCTTGCGCTCATACAGACGGACGGACAGACGGACGGACTGACAGATGGACGGACGGACATGGCTATATCGACTCGGCTTGTCACTCTGATCAAGAATATATATACTTTGTGGGGTCTGCCACGCCTCCTTCTGTGTGTTACATACATTCGCACAAAACTAGTATAGCCTTTCACCCTTTGGGTACAGGCTATAAAAAACCTGTGGAATTTTGTGGTCGATTTGAAAACAACGGTGTTAAATGCTATTTCTAGTATATTGTCTTCGCAATGGATAATTACTTTTCTACCACTGTGCATTGGTACATTCAAAAAGCAGCAACAGATCGTCCAGCACTCAGCTGGAGCCTGCTTTAGTTTCTGTGCGTAAGTGTGCGGGTATGTGAGTGCATAAGTGTGTGTATAAAGTGTGAGTGTGCCGTTTGAGACATGTGCGAAAGTGTAAGTGACATGAAAGAACATAAAGAAACACAAGGAAAAAAATAAATTAAAAAAGGAAAACCTTTAATAATTTTACGCTTTTTGTTTTCAAGTGCACTTGCCAGCAACTTGCTAGCAACCAGACGCACCACACCCGTCCCCCCTTCCACCCAAAAAAAAAAAAACTTCCAACGCGCAGCCTAACGACAATAAAAAGCCGCCGTCGCCAGAACTTCCGCTTTGAAGTTTCTTGCATGCCGCTTTTGACGTTTTTGCTGAGCCGAGCGGAGGGCAACAAAAGTGTCGCACATTTCTGACAGGTCCTTTAAAGTATTCCTGTTTAAGCTTGCTGCCAGCCTGCTAGCTAGGCTTTCGGCCTGTCTGTCTGTCTGCTTGACATCGAAGCTTAATTTATGACCTGTTTATGGACAATAAATGCAGCCTCCAAATGGCCATTTGTTGGCTAAATAAAGAAAAATGAAGTTTCTTTTGAGCTCGTGGCATAGACCCAACACAACAATATACACGCACACCATAGAGCTGGGCCAAACATCGATGTTAATATCTGTGGTTCGATGTTTTAAAGAAATCGCAAATATCTATGTTTTTATTTTCAACATAATTTTTTACCAATGAAAAGAGAACAATTCCCCGATACGCGACATTTTCTTAAAAAGGATGCCCCTTTACATAGCTCAAATATTTAGGAAACCAAATGCAGTTAAATAAACGGTACCTTTACATAATCGGAAGGTAAATGGGAATGTTGTTTTTAAAATGGATATTACTACAGCTTAAAACTAAATATAGTTTTATTAATAAGCTGTTGTCCCTTGACAAAAAAATAGTCTTCTAATTTATCAACATCTAGAATTAAAATAGTTGTTTTGCTAAATTTATATACCCTGTACTTGTGCAAAGTATGAAGCATATATGTATGTACATATGTTAATTCTTAACCAGCATGAGGAACCAAATTGATCTAGACATGTGTGTCTGTCCGGATTTCAGAAACGGCTGAGCCCACCAAACTGACCAAACTTGTTAAGAGAGTTTACTTAGTCTCTCGGCAACATGGTTTAATTTTATTATTCACCCCACATATCTCTGTTACGGCAATATTACAATTCCAAGACTACGTCAATTGCTTTTTACATATGTAAGTAACAATATGGTGTATATCTCTACTCTTGATTTTTTACCGAACCTTTTACACCGCAGCACTACGCCCACAAAATGCAGCATCGCGTTCGCTCTCCTCCTTCTTTTTGCTTCTGCTATGCGTAAACATCAGCGGCGGAAGTATATTTGGGTACAGGATGTTTTATTGTCGGGCTTGCTCGACTGTAGCATTCTATCTTGTTATTATTTTCAAATCGTCGGAAACATCGATTTTGGCGAACATCGACGTTTTCCCAGCACTAGCACACGCACACACACTCGTATATGTACACTCTCACACCTACCTATTAAAATGCAGAGAATTTTAACATTGCCTTCTAATGACCATTTTTGTTTTAGACACTCGAAAATTTATGGCTGCTCTAGTCTCCAAAATTCTACAATTTGTACATATATTTAAGTGATTAATGTCCAATGCATAAAAGCTTGGACCGAATTATGGTTTAGACATAAATTCATAAGCAAACGATCGAAATATACTTCTATATGTATACCAGCATGTATGCAAGCACAGTTTTAGTTTTTAAATTACTTTCAAAAATAACATAAAATTGAAATTATGCATGAAATCCTATAGACGCATTTTGAAATAAAATACACTTAGTCAACAACCACATTGCAATTAAAACGTTTTACAGAAAATATTGGTGTTGTGTGAAATTGGGAAAAGCATTATTGTTTAAGTATTAAAACTTTGTAGGATTTTTATATATATATATATATATATAAATGTAAAACTTTAATTATTCGGTTATTATTTACAATAACTTAAATTAAACTTATAGAAAAAAACTAGGAGTTTAGTCTTATTTAATTATTTATACTTTATATAAATCTATTGGCAAGATCAGCGGGGTGTGACCTCTTCAGCCACCATCTTACTAATCTTCTTCCTTTTCTTCGCCATTTCAGCAGGCGCCTTGCTAATACATTTGCGTGGCTTCGCAGACGCTTCATGTATTGAGCAGTCTGCTTCTTTATCACGTCACCAACTTTCTGCATCCCTAGATCCTTTTCTATATGTGCCGTTTTCATATACCAGGGAGCACCAGTTAGTAGGCGAAGGGTTTTCTCTTGAGGATCTGGATTTTCTGCAGGTGTGATTTTGCAGCGATTTTTGTAGGATAGCCTTAAAAGAACATTTGGAGGATTGAATACGTTCCGGTTATGCCAATTGTAGCGGCAGTAAACTAATTTTTGTTAATTTTTGTTAATTTTTGCTAATTTTTGTTTGCCTTAAAATTGTAGCGCTTGTCACTTAACGGAAATGCATGATCAAATTTTATTTACAATTTGTTTCAACACAACGCTGTAACATAACATAATGTTATTTGGCTGTGTCTGCAGCGCTCTCTGACTCTCATTAGCACAATGTTAATTGGCAGCGCTCTCTTCCTCGCATTGCAGCGGCTGATCTGCAAATGCAGCTGCAGTGGCAGGGCCTTGCTCTAGCCAAAGCGGGTCTTCTATTTTTTAATCGACAGACACGGTCAACTCGATCTCGCTTTTCTTATTTCGTTTAGAGATACAGCCATCAAATATTAATAAATTTTACAACGTTGCTTAAATCAATTTGTCGCATTTTGATGGATATTGTTTATAGATTTCAAAAAAGAGTTACCATATTTTACTCACCTTGAAAGCAACACACTTTATGATATTAAAATGTACTGAAATAACGAAATCCATTTACATTTTTCATATTTTTAGCTATATTCTCTCATTTAGCGATCAAAAGTTTTAATGTTACTTAGAACTATATTCTTATAATTAGAAGTTAAAGCTGAAAATTTATTTATTACACAGAAAACAAATAAAGTAGTTTTTATTATGTCAATCTTTAATAGAGCTTTTTAGTTAATATTTAAGGTACTGAATTGATAAAATGTTAAGTTTCTTTCATCATTAACTAATGGCTCATTTAAAACTTGATATTTAAGGTACTGAGTTAACGAAATGTTAAGTTTCTTTCATCATTAACTAATGGCTCATTTAAAACTTCATAAAAACAATGAAACTCAACTTCCAAACTTATAGATTGACAACCAAAATTATTTTGCCCAAATTGTCTTTATACAATAAAAGTCCTAAACGAATACGAGCTAAGAAAGACAACACAAAATCTCTTTTTGAAATACCTACCAATTCAGCTCATTTAGTACAATTTTTGAAATGTTCTTTGCCCTTCCGTCATTGTAACCTTATTCAGTCCACCGCTGCGGTGATCGTTACGGCAGCCTAAAACCGCAATGGGTTTACAAGTAGGTGGTAGTATTATATTTACAAACTTTGAAGCCAAGTGCAAATTCAAAATACATGTTTGTTGATGAAATTGGTGCAAAGTATAGAATACTTTTCTGGGCTGCCACAATCATTTCTAAACAAAAATTTACAATAAAACGATTTGCGTTTTCAAAGTGTCTAATGAGAGCCACTCAACTGTGCAAACTGAAAAATGGCAAAAACAACAAATACAGCAACTGAATGCGTGCTGTGCATGCATATTCGGCGAAAAGGCAACTAACAATTGAAAAATATATTCACACATATGTGAGAGGATCTGTATGTAAATGCACATTTAATGTTTCACATATCCGCAGGTTTTTGTCTAAATCACTAAAACAAGCCAGAAAAAACTGCTGACATATACACACTCATAGCCAAATAGATATGAATGAGTGTACATGTAGAAAATAATTTTTGTTGTTGTTGACAAGCGCGCGAGCGACAAATAGAAAAGAGAAATGAGAAAACTACGTGACGGGCTGTATACCTGAAGGCCAGAGCCTGTTGCGGAACTTCCCCAAAGCCAGATTATATACAGGACGGCACATAGGGCTGTAGCTATGGTTCCAGGCTGGAGATAGTATTAATTGCACAATTAATTAATTAAATATATTTTAAAACTTGATTACTTTTAAGCAGATTCCATCAACACTCTCAATTGTTGTCATTGTATACAACGCCCCCTAGCGCGCAAAGTGCGCACTAAAAAGCTTTTTACATGCTTGCAGGAGCTTTCAAGCTTCTAAAAAAGAAGGCATACGTCTTGGATAACCTCAGTTATGCTCTATATTTCAAGCTTTCGTTGGTCCTTTTTTATGTACAATTTGTAGACTTAGATTAGAAACAGTATCTAACAGCAGTGAAACAATATTTGCAATTAACTTAGAATCTAGACTTACATATAAAAACTACACTTCTGCTACAGCCTCTACGGACTGTAGATGATCGTGTTCCTGGTCGGTTTGCTGTTCCTGCTGCTGTTCATCGACAACTGCCACATTCAGCTCCTCAGCCGCGACAGCATTAGGTTTGATTATCTAAACAAATGACAATCACATATATATAGTGGCATATATTTGAACACAAATCGACCCAATACTTGCCGAGCCACTTGCATGCGAATTGAGCATAACATGCACTTAAAAATTTAAGTCTTAAAGAACTTAGTCTAGATTTGTCATAATTATTGTATAGTATGCCATACCGTATTTGTTTTCTTTCATGAGAACATCGAATTTCAGCTTTGTGACTTGATAATGAATTAATTGAATTAAGGTGGACTTCAACAAAACATAAAACTTACACACACACATACACAAAACACAAACATATATCACACATAAGGTCGCCCAATGGTTTGTTAGAATGCGACTTAATCTCAATGAGTTTTCAGCAATTTGTTATGGTTTTTCGTAGTGTCTGAAGCCCTTGAAGTTTCGATACTAGACTCTCTTACTTTGAAGCATCTGATGTGAAAACGATCGCACATTTCCGAAACCTGTAACATAAAAAAAGAAGAATATTAACCAAAATAAACTTTATGAATTCTTTGAATCTTCACACTATAGTGCGATATTAAAGAATTTTGGTTGTTTACACAAAAGCCGGAAATTATTTCAAGGTCTGGCGACAATCATTAAAGGTTCAGCTGCGCTGATAAATATACAGGTATAGGACAACTGTGAAAGACTGTAAGTTTAATCTGCTTAGAAAACTACCTCTATCAGTTCGTAATCGAAAACGAAGAATGAAAACATTTCTATTCCCAGTATTCTCGAAGACCAAGCCTGTGAACTACATTGCTACCGTTTCTTCTCAAATTTATGCTCTATGGTAGCTGAAAATTATACAAATTTAAGCTGGCTAACAATAATAATGTAGAGGACGATTTTTTGCACCAATCCATATTCAACGAAACTTCATAACATTTTTAAAGGCGTAATTGATTATGATAAAAATTGATCGCAATAAATGTGATTTTTATATAGTGTACCGATTTCGAATAATCCTGCTGCTATACTAACAAAAAACATACGTCATTAAGAGTGATAATATAATGAAAATGTCTAAGGTTTGGTGGCACTAGCTGTTATGGCTCGCAAATTCTTGATGTTCAAACGAATGGCCGGTAGACAGACTAACACATCTCTATGGGTTCATCTAGCCATACTCGTCATAAGTATATAAAGTATGAAGTCTGATATCCGCTTTGCATATCTTGATCCTGTTAAGTATAAGCTTTTCTACGCGGTATAATAATAATAAAACTATCTGATAATACAATGAGTAAGAGCCTCCACGTACCACACTATAACCATAATGCCAGTGCGCCAGAGTGACAAAAACAGTGAGGCCCTGCACAATCCATCTTTCCCCATCTGCCGTCAGATCCATGTTGAAGACTTTCTCGTACCAAGGGAAACAGCAAACGCCTACACAGGCCGCCAAAGGCCACATGAGTATGTTGAACGCATCGCAGCGTGTATCCGACATTTGGGCCACAATCAAACGGCACTAAAAAAAATAATATAAGTATAGTTATAACACAAATTGGAATTTCAAAAAGAGTTTGCTTTTACCGCAATGTTTGAGAAGATTGTTCCATAGAGCACCCACAAAATTCGAGGCTCCAAGTTGATCACATTATTGCGAGAGAAAAACGACCACACCAGTGTGATAGCAAAAAGCCAGAGAAAGGCAAAGAAGGGGCGTACCATTTCCCACAGGGGCCGCATTTTGCCAGTCTTGTTCTTGTAGGAGCTGAAGTTTTCAATAAATTCAACAATTTGATGAAGCATAATGTCAAAAGTATTATAAATCATACGTACAGGTAAATATTTCTGATGATAATTGGATGACTCGAAACTATGCCAGAACCAATAAGCCCTACTTCAAAAAAATTCGCTATTGTAAAGCCAAAGAACGTAGCACGATAAATTTCCGGACCGAATATAGTGGCCAAAAAGAGCATTAAACTGACACCCTTAAAATGCAGAAATAGAGAAATTTAATGCCACTTAGAGACAAACCCTGAACCTAATTCCAACTCACCCACATGGTAAAATCATAGCCCCAAGGCAAAAACATAACGCCCGTATTGTATTTCTCCACATGCGTTAAATAGAAGTTCAAGAACACGTTCCAAATCACAAAGAACATGCGGATGGGCGGCAGATCGTCGGTGCCAAATAACGAAAATATATAAATGGGTATTAGCGCAGCCGAATAGGAGTCCAATCCGTGATCAAAGAGCTCGCCCAATGGACCGCTCGTTCCTGTACGTCGCGCCTGCTTACCATCCATGCCATCTGAAACATTTAGCCTTACTACCATGCCTCTACCATACTCTGACTATACTTTACCCAGATTGTAGTAAATCAATATATTTATAGCCGCCACAGTCCACACCCAACCAGGCACCGTATTGCCTCGCTCCTTATCATTGGCCGCTGTAAAATCCCAGTCGTAGTAAGCAATGAGAATAAAGTTTATGACAGTCATGAGGAAACCCGCAAAGGTAAGCAGATTTGGCGCCAACCATTTGGGCAAAAACTGGAGTAGAGAAAAGGCTTTGTTTATAGTATTGAACTCATTCGGAGGTTATTGTACAATAACTTACCTTGACACAGACATTCCAGAACGGATGCATTACATAGACACTGAGAAAACTTGTGTCTATGCTGTTGTACTGCAAAGCGAAAAAGTGCATATTAAGATTGGAAACTAATACTTTCATTATTTTAATAAAATACCCAAAACGCTATAACTTATAAGGGCAGGATTGGAGTATCTTTTCTAGGGAGGACATATTAAGAATATAGAATTAACAAAGCAGGCGAAAGATAGAGAAACACTTAAGAAATAAATTGTTCATTTATTTTACTACAGCTGGAAGTATACATAAAAAAAAAATACATATAGTACTTATTATTTTTACTATATGCGTAAGCCCCCCGCTTAGCTTACCTCGTAATTTTCTAACCTAGATCATAATATTTTTATTTCTATAATTATTCACTTCCTCAAATTTTTACTTCCCTCCTCACCTATACTTACTTATCCACCTACTGATTCTTTGTTCCTACCTCAAAGCTATGTATATGACTCTTAATAATTGCCATCAGACAACATATTCCTATTAATAGCAACATATAGCCAGCATAGCAACCCATTCCTTCATGGTCAATAATTCGCGTCTTTCGCCATCAACGATTAATCTACATCATTTCCCTGTTACTACGAACCCTTACACTTTTTCATGGTCGTTATTAATGCCACAAAATTAGTTCCAATGAACTAACCACTTATTATAAAATATTTAACAGCAATTTTGACCCAATTGCGGGTTGAAATTTCTCAATTTAAGGTCTGCTGTGAACTAGGTTGCGTGTAAATAAATTAGTAAAACAGTGAGGAAACAGTGGGCTTATCATGTTTGAAAACCAGAATTTCTGAAGGAGGACAAGTGCTATCTGCTACATATTACAAATGTGAGAATGAATCTTAATTTTGTTGTTGAGAAAATCTGTGAAAAGATCGACATAATTCTCTCTTATCGCCAAGCCAAAAATTTAATTTTTTTGAACGGCTAGAGACGTGGCAGACAAATTAGGAAACTATCAATAAATAAGGTAGAAAATTAAAAACATATTAAGTGAAAACTTGAGTAGTCCTTTCTGAAATGGTTTCATGTTATGTAGCCTTCGATTGGGAAAAGTCACTCTTATGAATAGATATTCTTAAGTTGAAGACAGACGTTATTGGCTTTTGGAAAATATGTCTTGTCTGCTACACAAATGGAAAAATTCCATTTCAGTATTGCATGCCACTATATATGCTTTAAATTTGCTTTATGATAGTGAGAGAGAAAGCGAGTGAGAAGTCACAAAAGAGCGCAAATAACAATACGAAGCACTACTGGCATATCAATATACATATGTATGTATGTATGTAGTACAAATAGTTGTTTCTAATAAGTTCAATGCCTCCCCATTAGCACGTTTTCGAAACATTCCGAAATAGATTTGTGACCTAGGTCTAATAGACAAATTAAGTAACTGATAAGACGTAAGCGCAGCTGAAATATGACTGGGAAACTAATGATTTAAGCTCGGTTTGTATGGCCTGATCGGGACTCTGATCGACCCGGAAGTGGAGCGTGTAAAGGCTTATAAATAACACTAAAGAGCTTGTTATTTATAACATTCGAATAATCATTGATTAAATTGCTTTGGAAACATAGTATTGATTTTTGCCCAGTCCACAAATACGATACCCTCCCAGCTCCCCAACACTCACCTTATATCTCTCGAAGCCCTGCAACTGAACCTCGTCCAAGTATCGCATGAAACCCATTTTCCCGTTGTTGTTTTTGTTTTACTGCTTTTGCTAAAATGTTGAGCTATACTAGAAGCTGTTGTTATTGTTGCAGTTGTTGTACTGCTGCAGCACTCAGTGATAACAGCTGAGCGCAATGTTCAACGTTTAAGCAAACAACAGTGAAATATCGATAAAATACTCCAACACTCACTTAAATTTTGATTTGTTTTTCAACCTTTTTTCAAAATGGACAATTTTGTTGTGAGATAGTTTTCAGTTGGGCGTACTTTTAAGTTTTCAACGTGACAGCACACACATGGAACATATGCACTATATATGTATATAAATAAGTAAATATATGGCGTTCTAAATACCGATTCATACAAATACGAGTACGTGTATATAATAAAGCATATATACATACATATGTATGTATGCCTTCAATTAAATCGAGTTGTTTGCATTGTATAATCTTTGGACACGCACTCGAGAGCGAATATTTTTCAATTAAATAATGGAAAAGATCACAACTTAAGCAGGCAGACTGAGCAGACACGCCCTTTACCCGCCTACGCCTTCGTAAATCACGACAACGACCGTTACTTCACACACGCTAACTGTAAATTTCATCAAGCGAGCAGCGTCGAAGAGGAGTCGACAACGACCGGCAACGCCAATAGCGACAACAATGCGCCTCGCGGTTATTATCAAGACTGAAGACGGATTTGCGGTAGCCCCACGAGCACAGCCCCAAAATCCAAGCACGTCACAGTGGGCCCAACAGCATTATAGGCATGTAAATTTGTTCAATTCAGGTGATGGGTATTGAAGATTTTTATACAGATCTATAATTATTTCAGTTGGATTATGGATCAGGATTGTTTTCACGGTTTTCAAATAATGTTGGCGAGCTATTTTGAAACTGCTCTCAAGGACTACACATACGCCTTTTACGTCTCTAAGTATGCATCTAAAATGGACTTGGTATGGCTTTATACGATTTTTATAGGATTTTAATCAAATTTAATGTACATTTTAATTATAAATCATTCTCATATCTATATGTACATGTGTTTAAGGTACAAAGTTCCGGCAACCAAGACAATCTGAAGTCTGACATTTTTGATTCAATAGTTCCTTAAATATTAGATGTGCTCACGTTGAGAATTCTTGGAGGGCTTGCTAACGAATCTGAAGAGAGTATGTAATAATGAAAGAAGAGGAAAATTTTAGCCAAGCTGTTCTAAATGAAAAGGCGTGTTTAATGCGAGCGCACTTATTTTCACTTTCCATAAACATTATCATCTTCGGACTTTCTATAAGATAATTTTTTTCACTTTTTAACTTTACATCGTAAAAATTCCTGAATAGCTAACTAATGTCTGAGTCATCGACGATGTAAATGATTATTAAATATAAATGTATATTAGAATGACATATAATTTCCCGTACTTAACAAATAATTATAATAGCAAGTCAACCAGTAGATTGGTTCCAAAAAAAGTCGTTTATCTCATTTTGAAACGTGCTAAATGGAATAAAGTCGTGCCCTCGTTTAACACGGGGTTTGCGTTCCTAGTAAAGGTATCAAATTTGTAATCGTGTTAGACCGAATTTGTATTAAAAGAGGTCGTGTTAAGCGAGGGCTAGGTTATAAAAATTTTAATTTTCAAACCGTGCTAAATCAAAACCGTGTAAAAACAGAATTAGGTGAACTGAGACATCCCAGAAACATTAAAATTTGTACCTAACTGCAACTAAAATGAAAAGCCGCTCTTAGAACTGAATTTCCCGACAACACTGTATGCTTGCTCGATGCCGCGGCAACATCGAGCGAGGAGAACAACTAAATAACAACAACAGCAACAACAAGACCACTAATCGCAGTGACTAGTGCGCGTCTGGCTGCTATGGAGAGCTGTACTTGCTGGTGTTGTTGTTGTTGTTGTTGGCGGGCAAACGTGTCGTAGCAACAAATCTCATTACGCTCGTTATTATTAACATGCATGTACACACACACACACACACACATAGTACTGTATGTATGTATTGCACTGAATGAATTGAAAATTGTAAAAGTTAAACATGTAGTGTACTCGTATGTAGTTGCGCCCACTTGGCCGCTCATTCGCCAGCTCGGTCCAATGCAAAGGTTATCAACATCGCCATTTCGTTCCGTTCGATTCAGCTCGGCTTACGCGACTGATAGCGGTACACATATGAATATTCTAAATACATATGTACATAGGTATGGCGATGATGTCGTGCTATTTATTACAAAAACAAACAAAATAAAAATCATTAAAACAGCGGTAATGACCGATACCTGAAATGGACTGAAAACAAAACATGCCAGGCTAAATGCGCGTGCGAGCAGCACGAGCAATCGATGGAAGGTAAGTACATAAATAGGTAAAAGGGGTCCGGTAACAATATATATTTCACGCCCATTTTAATGCGGCAGCAACTAAATATAGGCTACAATTATATTTCACATTTCCAAGGTAACGGGTTCAAGTTCAGCCGATAACCCACAACATACTCGTATGTAATACAGAAAATAAAATAACGCGATTAAAAATATAAGCTCCTACTTGTGGTCGATTTCTACTACAAAGTGTGACGATTTCTCAAAATACGCTCAATTGCACCCATAAAATGATTCTCAAATTATACTGTAATGTAATTATTATAAATTAAGTGAACCACTTCGTACCCCGCGAACAAAAGTTGAAAAGAATAATAGTAACTTCAATCCTTCATTTTATCCAACTAAATATTCCAAATAGTATGAATTTTAATACCTTAATCGTATTTAAAAATATTCAATTCTACAAACATCCAACTAAATATTCCAAATAGTATTGGTTTCCATTAAAAAAGCACAAATTTAAAAACTCTCCTTTTTAATACCTAATTCATATTTAAAAATTAAATTTCAAAATCATTTCATTCAACAAACATCCAACTAAAAATTCCAAATAGTATTGAATTGCATTAAGAAAGCACAAATTTAAAAACTCTTCATTTTAATACCCAATTCATAATTATTAATTTAATTTAAAAAACATTTAATTCAACAAACATTCAACTAAAAAGTCAAAATAGTATTGAATTCCAATAAAATTGGCAGGAATTCATAAACTTTGAATTTTAATACCTAATTCATATTTAAAAACTGAATTTTAAAATCATTTAATTCTACAAACATCCAACTAAAAAGTCCAAATAATACTGGATTCCATTAAAAAAGCACAAATTTAAAAACTCTCAATTTTAATAAATATGAATAAGTCATATTTAAAAATTTAATTTAAAAATCATTCGATTCTACAAACATCCAACTAAAAAGTCCAAATAGTATTGGATTCCAATAAAATGAATTTAAAAACTATGAATTTTGAATTATCTAATCGTATTTAAAAATTAAATTTTAAAATCATTTAATTCAACAAACATCCAACTAAAAAGTCCAAATAATACTGGATTCCAATAAAAATCGCAGACTTTGTAAAACTCTCAATTTTAATACCTTAATAGTATAAAAAAATTAAATTTAAAAATCATTTAATTTAACAAAAATCATACAAAATTGCGTTATTTAAACGTTAAGCTGAACATACTACTACATAAGTCTAATTAAGCCATCTGGATGTTTCGGTGGCAGTCAAACCCTCAGATCTCAAACGCTGCAACATAGGACGATAGATGTCTGGAGTAAATGGCAGCAGCACACCGCGTTCCTGGATTTCGCCTAGAATGTAAGAGAGATTATTTTCATTATTATTATGTTCAGACTACTCGTATAACATTGAATTTAGTTTTCAACTTACCATCCAATATCATTTTGGCAGCAATCGCCGCTGGTTTTCCCACAGTCATGGCCATGGCAGAGTGACCCTGAGGCTGACCATAAACAACAAAGTTAATGCCTCGCTCCTCACGACGACCATCGGGCCACCTAATGCCCACCTCATGCCGAAGAATGACCAGATCGCGTTCATCCCGCTCTATATGTTAAAGGGTATACTTAACAAGGAAGCGGAGCTGGGACTTTAAAAACTTACCAAAGGCTAGTCGTTTGGAGAGGTAATGACTGAGCGTATCCAGAGGAGTATTCAGCTTAACCACAGGTGTATCATCCAGCAGACCCAAGCTCTCAATGCCCTCGATGTCGCCAATGCGTTCGGTAAGTTTCTGCCTCAGATTCTCAAAGAAAATGCTCGTATCGGACATGCCCAGTAAATTAGTAATCAACTGGCGCCAGGTGATATCTGGTCCGCTTGGATGCAGCAACGAATGTGGCTCTGGGTCGATGAGACCCAGTAACTGCATAGGCTTTATGGACTCAGAGAAGCCCTTGTAGCGTATGGTGCCTCTCAGCAGAGTGTGCACATCGCTTCCTAGACCATAGAGCGATCCATACTTGGTTGAGTCACGATTCGGGAAGCCCTCCAGTGCGAAGCCGGGCAAAAAGTCCAAGCTGCGTGGATTCGACATCAGCTCACCACCTCCAGAAATCTCTACTATCTGACCCTGATTGAGATACTTGGCGGCTGAGAGTGTGTTTAGCAAAACGCCGCGCGGGGACCATGAGAACTTGTAGCGCAGCGAGTTATTAGAATGCTCAGGAGCGGGCAAGCCTCCACAATAGCTAACAAAGGACTCAATGACGCCACCCTTCTCCTGCACCTCGTGTATGCACTCCAGGGCCAATAAATGATCGATACCAGGGTCCAGACCCACCTCGTTCATAATGGTTACTCCATTAGCACGCGCCTCATCGTGCAGCTCGGAAATCTCATCGTTCAGATAGCTGGCAGTAACCATGTGCGTACGCTCAGCGACACAATAGCGGGCGATCATGCCGTGCAGGCTGTAGGGTAACAGTGAGATCACAATGTCTGCCTTGCCACACAACTCCTGCAGATGTCCCGTACTCTCGTTCACATTCAGATAGACGCTGTCGACTCCAGCATATTGGTGGGCCAGTCGATCCGCCTCCTCCTTCGCCTGGGAGCAAACGGTTATGTTGACATCCTTCTCCCGATGCAACCACTCCACCAAGGGTGCGGAAACCATGCCAGCCCCCAAGACTAGCACATTCTTATTTGACTCACAACGACCCTCCATCTTGTTGCGGGAACGATTACTGTTTGCCTCGCGTAGCTCTTGAATGTATTCGTAGTTCTCTGTCATCTTACCATTGCTAGCGATAATGGCCTATATGCGAGTGCGAGAGATAATTTGAGATAAAAGGGAGTGCTTTTTGATAATGCCATCTAAGGTTGTTGTTCGCACAGACCATAAAAGCTCTTCATAATGCTAATCGTATTATATATTCTATACCCTAATTGTACCTTATACTTACAGACTGTATTGGGTAGGGGAATTGCTCTTCGTGCAAGGACTTCTTCGCATCGCTCTTAATAATATCGTGAACGAAAGGAGCCAGGAGTTCACCAAATAGATCTGTGGATTCACGCGGCAGCTGGGTTGGCATATTGTCGATGGAGCACACTAGAACTCCAGGACCTTTGAAACTTTTCGTATCCTTGTTCCGATCAGCATCGTAGAGGCAGAAGGGGGTATCTATTGTAGTGCACTCGTTCATAAACTCTATGGAACCACCGGGATCGGCAGATATGTCACAGATTGCGAGCATGCGATGAGGCAGTGCAGGACTTCCTTTGCTGGTGGGCAACCAGGGCGTATTGGCCGGACGCAGTAAGTTTTTAGCATCGGGTATGCTGATAAGTTTGGGACTGCCAACAGCCCAGTAAATGCCATTGACGATCGCTGAGGCATAGGGGGCTACCTTCTGACTGAATGTTGATATATAACGTTCGGGAAACTCATCGTATTCCTTGGCATCGAAGCCACCGCCCTCACGACGCTCCAAATGATCCGACCGACTCACCTCGCAGCCGTACAACTTGTTCTGGCCTTGTTTTGAAGATGGGGGAGATAATAAGCATGATTTCTACAAGTTCTACCTCACTACTTACTGCCATGCTCGGACACCTTACGCAGCATCTCTGGAGGCACATACTCAATTGGCAGCTCTGAGAACACTTCCTGCGCCCCCTGCGACACATTTCCAGAGCCCGTGAAGATAAATGTGAGTGGGCCTATCGATCTAGGCATCATACCCAAGGATATTTCATAGCCACAATCGCGCACAGCCTGACGAGCCATCGAAGAATTGCGATAGTTGTGAGCGGGACCAATGTGCATGAAGGGCGTGTGATGGCCCAGGGCCAGCAGACGTAGTCCTATACCATGAAGAATGTTAACCATGCCGGCGACGCCCGCATATTTGCCAAAAGCCACCTGGCGAGAGCCTCGCTCATCGATAATCCGCTCGTAGTCGATGAGGCGTATTTTCTGCAATCAGTTCAAGGGATATCTATGTAGTTCTAATATATTTCGAGAGTATATATTCGGTCGCACCTTTTCCAACACCGCATCCAATAGAGGCATATTGGACTCCTGCGCCTTGATCGTGTGCGAAAAGAAGCAGTAAGTCTTGCCTGGAATCAAGGCATCAATCGGCACTTGCTTAACCCCAAATATAACTGATGCATCACTGATGTCCTCTTGTATCTGAGCGCCAGCTTGCAGATAAGCCTGTCGACGATAAGCCGAAAAAGTGGTCGTTTAACTTGTTATTTTCCAAGGCCAAGTGTTCCCAAATATAGCTTATCAGGTTAAAATGGTATTTATGTGCCGCGCTCTGGGGGGTGTGTAGGAATGTTTTTGTATTTTTTTATTTTTATGAGAGGTACAGGCAGTAGCTCGCATGATGTTGATATGATTTTAGAGATTAGAGCGCGCTAATTTATAGAGCTATTGATTTGGAATGGCATTGGATGTAGAGTATTCCAAGTAAATAGGAAATGCTTTTTTTAGACTGTTGCTATATGTTCGTTCATAGAAAACTTAAAAGGTTTGATTAATTTGATGGCTAACTTTTTGGGGGTGTGTTAATAAAATGTACCTAATTAACTGTTCTTATAGGTTAATTATTGATAAATTCATATTTATATATATATATATTATCATTCTAACATGGATAGGACATGCAGATAAGCCTGCGTTCTCATACGTTAAATATTGATATATTGATATTTATATATATTTTTTATCATTCTAACCTGCATCGGATATGCAGATAAGCCTTAACACCTTAACACGTTAAATATTGATAGTTTGATATTTATATATATTTTATCATTCAAACCTGCATCGGATAGGCACGCCTATTCGAGGGCTGCACTATAACCTTCACGCCTTGTTTAACCAGCTTCTGTACATGGGTAGGTCCAAAGGGTGCTCTGCGCTCCCAGACCGACTGATCCTCCCGTCTAATGGCTATGACACGACCTTGCTATAATAAATATTAAAATCTTAAATCGGATTCAAGCAGTTTTACGATATTTTCTACACTTACATGCCGCTGTCTGGTGTGCAGCTGAGCTGCCAGCGCATCGCGTTGCGCTGTTGTTGCGAGTCTCGCGCGCAGTTGCAGCAATCGCAACATATCTTGGGTTTACCAATTTGAAAAACGCTTAAGAACCGACTATACTACTTACTTGGATTCACGACGATGCGTTTGCTCTGAGCGTTCAAAACCTTCTGAAAACTGGCAGGCTGACGATACCGACGCGCCTCTATCAGCGCGTGGGGAGACCGCACTCATAAAAGGCGATAAGCCGTCCAGAGATCTCTAGCTCGATGTTGCTGGCCAGCAGCACTCGAAAATGAACTGAATTCAAATAACAACAAGTAACGCTATCTGCGACGCACCGAATCCTAAATACGCTTTTTTCAACGAATGACCAATACCCGTAAGATTTCATATTTCAAAACCCAGCAGCCGAGGGATTGTTAATTGTTAACTGTTAATTAATTATTCTATTTAAAAAGGTGTAGCAGAGAGGTAAGTCTATATCTTAACCCTTAAAACTTTCGGCCCCGACTAGGCCAGTGCGCAACTTTATGGCTTTGTCATGGCATTTACAGACGTCTCAAAAGACTCCACCCGCTGACCTTCCATTCCGGGTCAACTAGAGCCTTCCAAATAACTTTTAGTTTTAATCTTCGAAGCCCCATTTAATCTTATATTTTGTAAGATGCCACTACATGAACTAACTTAATAAATGTCCTTTTAGGACAGATCTTAAATCAAGCAACATTAACAAACAAAAAGTTAGGTACATTTTTTTAAAACCTACATGTACTATTAAAAAGGATTTGATTAAAAAATTAATAATAATTAAACATAAAGCTATCGGTTTTCACTTTTATTGTATTTTTGAGTTCAAAGGGTAAGGGTAAGTCGTAGAAATATACAAATTGAAAAATGTGTAAAGAATTACATATTTGTTAAATTTTAACAAACTTTTTATATGATATTGTGCTCGTCTCTAAAAGCCTCCATTTCGTGCTCAAAACTCTACTATAAATCTATGTTGCAAAATTGTTGTAGGAGTTTTGGAAATATCTGATATGCAGACCCATTTATTAGCTGATAACCCTATCAATTCGCGTCGCCAACACTTTATTTCTTCAAGTGAATTGCAAATTCGTATAAGCACAAGAACATACAGTATAAATAGTAATAGAATCAAACCCTATGTCTGGACTTTATTTATTACTGGCCACTTTTGGGAATATTTAGCCACACATATAGAAGTGAAAGTGTTTCGAGTCGTTGATCGATGGCGGCTGTGGGAATTTTCCATTCATAAAACGCCCGCGCGTTCTCCTGATAAGAATTTTTCAGAAGGGAATCGCTGCTGATAGCCGGCGGCATCTACAATGCAATATGTACATACAAGTATATAGAGGTGCCGAGGCAATATTAAGCTTACACAAATAAATGCGTGTTTATTTACATTCAAATAAGCATAGGTTTTCATTTATTTGTAATTGCAATTCATCCACAATTTGGTCTACCACTAAGCGCAGTAGTAATTATTCACATCAAACAATTAGCGCTCTAAACAAACTTATAACTAAACTATTAAATTGCAGATAGATGCTATGGGACAGGGACAATTGTGGTGTGAGGTGAGGTGGTTTGCTTGGTTTGGATTGGATTGGGTTAGGCCCTTTTGCAATGCTCTAAGAGCATTATGCACATTACACAGACACATATCGTACATATATGTATACATATATAGCAAAAAGTTACGTTTCATAAATATAGTAATTCATATTATCAGCTAAAAACATGGTATATAGTTCAGGTATGCAAAAAAATTAACATTGAATAAAGAGGAAATCGCACTCAGAGCCAGGCACATATGTATGTCGCCTGCAGCTGATATCAGCGCCGCTGCATGCGAGCATCAATTATGGACAGGCATTGGTGACAACTGGGTGCCCTTTACAGCGCCGGCGCCTCAGGCAACAGCGATGTGAAGAACGTAATGACAAAGGTGCGCACAACGGAAATCACAGAATTATTGGCATTTGGTGGCTCAACAACAGCAGCTTCGGCGGCCACAGCTGCCTGTTCGACACCACCTGCATTAACATTGGCGCTGGCCAACGCAGCAGCTTCCGGCGCTTCCTGGGCCTCTGCTGCAGCTGGTACTTGTACCGCTGGCTCAGCATCGGCTGCAGGGACGCCAGGCTGAGCAGCATCTGGTACATCCTGTGGATCGTTATTATCTCGCTCAACGGCATCCATCATACGTTGTATTTGTTGCACAGCCGCAAAGGCGGCAGCCTCGCCAGCGGCATTATTGTTGCGATTAATATTGTTGTTGTTGCGTTCTCGACGACGACGCAGAACGCCGATGTGATAGCTTAAAAAAATAAAAACCATTATTATTACTACCTTGTTTATTACCCATAATGCAAGATGAACTCACAGATAAATAATGCTTGCTATGAGCACTACAACCAAGCACCGCAAGGGCGACGAGTTGAAATACAAAACTGTCACAAATATACCCAGACGTGTAAAGGAAAAGAAGCTATCGAGCCAGTCTCGCATTTCTGGCTCCTCTTGTATATTGGGAAAGTTACCCCCCTGCCTCTGACGACCAATTGCTGCTTGTGGTGGCTCATTGGGCTGAACCGCAGCTGCAGCAGCAGCTGCTGCTACCACCGGCTGGGGCTGCGGCTGTGCAGTGTCACCAGGTACTCGCATATTGTTAAAGTTACCGGGCATGGGCATCACCATTGGCATGTGGTGCGGGAAAGGACGCCCATATGGCAAATTTGGTGGCAAGGCTGTGGCGTCTGTGCTTGTTGGAGCAGCGCCCATTCCCGGAGCTGTCGTGCTGTGGACGAACAACAATGGAGAGCGATTAGTTAAAGTATTTTTAGATGACTGTAAATAGAAATGTTTGTGGATAAGTATTATCACTTTTTGGAATTGGATCAAATCTTAACATTTATTATTGATTATTATTCGATTAAATGTTAATTGTGTTTAAAATAATATACTCATTATCTGGCCGATAAAAGCTTTCGTCATGACAATAAAGCATATTTTGTAAATTAGTATCATCGTTATTCAAGCCAGTTAAGAGCTAATTACGAAAAATTGATTATAATTAATTAGACATACACTTTATGGGGAGATGGAAAATCATGACACATTAAAAGCATTTTAAAATTTATTAGTGTTAATTTAATAAATTACTCTTCAAGTTGGAAATATTAATCCGTTTCAGAATAATTCAAAATATTCTACGAACATTTCAGAGTTCTATATTTGTTACTTACCGCTGCATCCATTCCTGCATGTACTGTGCGTAAACCTGTTGCATCCAGGCATTATAAAGCATTGCATGTTGCTGAAAAGCCATTTGTGGACCCGATGTTACAGCTCCAGCAGCAATCGGATTCGGTATGTATTGGTTGGCCGCTCGCTGATTTTGTTCCATCTCTGCACGTTCCCAGAACTGCAGCCAGGAATGGGGTGCGGCATTATTTGGTTGTTGATGAGACTGTTGCTGCAGTTGCTGATAAGGAAATGGTTGTGCGGCTGCCACATTGCGTTGCCGAAGCTCGTTTGCAGTTTGACGCGGATTGCTGGCATCATTGCGTACTGTGGTCGTTGGGGTGGTATCTTTGATGGGGGCTGCAGTTGCTTTCACTGGTGGTTTTATGATGTTTTTGGTAGCACAGACCAGATGAAAGATGTGGTGCTGCTGATAGACATCTTTATAGCTTCGTATTACCTCTGATAACTTTTGTGCATCGTCCAGCAGTTTGCCGGAATATATTAATTTTTGATCATTGATGTCCTGCAATAGGCATTTGTAAGATATCATATTCATTAAATCTAAATGAGCTACAAGGCCACGTACGTTACGTTCAAAAATACTTGAGTACCACTGACGTGTACCACACAAATAAATACGCGAAGTCAATTAAGACGCAATTTGCAGGCACTTGTCGCTAACTTGAAAGCCTCAAGCTAGATGATGATAAACAATAACAATAGCAAAGCAAGTGCTGGCAAAAAAAAAGCACAAATGATAAGATAACTACTCGAAACGGACATGTTATTAACACAACTGTGTGGGTGGCTTTGTTGTTGTTGTTATGGATCTTTGACGTAATGTGCAAGGTGACAGCATTAAGGACGATGGGTGGGAGTGGGGGTATTTACTTACCGGTTTGCCTGGATATACCAGCGACAGTTGCTTCTTGAGCCGTTGCACTGTCCAGCAGAGATCACTGTCGATGTTCATATCGTCATATTGTTGATTCGATGATTTAATTAACAACGTCACGCTGCTGCTGCTCTCGCCAACATTTATTGTTTTATCGCGCGCCGCATCGCAGCCGGCGGCAGCAGAGGCGGACGTTGCTGACGCCGACGCAGGCGACGGCGTCGAGGCTGCGCTGTCATTCATATTGAACCCTAACCCTGGCCGCCGCTCCGTGAGCACTTTCTAATCGGGTTTGGAGCTGCTCACGCGCCTAAATTGCTTCTAATTACTGGCACGTATGTGTCAATAATTTAATATACGCGCTAACTGCTGATCGACGATCTGTAAAATAGCACTGATGCTAAAGCTGATGTGTTGATGTTGATGTTTTTATACTCCGTCTTGACGCCTTCTTCGGCGTAGTTGTAGTTGTTGTTTTGCCAGTACCAAAATAATTCCAAATGTGTGCACACTTCCTCCCCTCACACGATTTTCTTTGTATTCATCAAAATTTTGACATTCAACGAGTTTAATTTATTCTACCTTGTAAGCTTTCACGAATATATATGTAATGCGAGAAAATTATAACTGTTGTGTGCCTAGTTGTTTTGCGGCTCGTAGTTATTGATTATGAAACAAATTTCAGAGCAAAATAAATACACTAGCGTAATCTTTGCCCGATTGCTGCTGTTGCTCGACCTGTGTATTAGTGCAGCAACACTTGTTTAAGTCAGAGTTGCAGTGGAAGCTGGTGCTGCCAACTCACTGCAACATGACGTGTATCTACCACTTAAATGCAAACAATTCATGTATTTCAATTTAATTGACTATTCCAATTATTTCATGAAATATATTCTTAAATACCCAATAGGCCTTGTACAAGCATTTCGTGCTCAAAACAGAATGTTAATTTTAGTCAACACGAGACCTGAACAAAGACAACACGAACACAAGAACCGTTAAAAACATATTTTGAAACAAACATAAGATACATCGCCTATCGGACGATTACAGTTTTAATGTAGATTGCGTCCTTCATTGATTTTTTGTTGTCAAAACTGAAATTTCCTGAAACTTTAACATTTTCTTAAACGTTTTAGTTTCTTCTTTCTTGCGTGTATGCAGTTTAAAATTGTAAATCGCACTTTTAATAACCGTGATTTGAAAAAGACCATCGTTATCGGTATCGGCCCGCACTCACACCTATTTATCACCGCCTGCTGGCCGGGCATTCCAGACGGCAGCGCTACTACAACTTCATGAATTGGCGGAGACGTCTAAATAATACATTGCAAGGTAAGCGGCTGAACGAGTTTGGGTAAGTCCCGAATTTAAAACCTATGTTTGCACTTACATATTTTCTTACGTCATATGCATACATATGTATGCACTTACATAGATGGAGAACAAATCGTCTGTCTCTGCTCTTCAAGAATATTGCGCCCAAAACAAAATAGCAGCCCCAGTGTACGAATATATTGATGGTGAAGAGGGTGGTTACGTGTGCAAAGTAACGCTTCTTGACATCGAAGCGTATGGCAACGGTAGGTGGCGAACACACACATCAAATTGTTTTGCTTAAAATTACTTGAAAGTCCACAGGTCGATCAAAGCGAGACGCCAAGCATTTAAGCGCTCTAAATGTACTACGTAAAATTAAAAAATTGCCTGGAACTAAGCTCGGCGGAGATGGTGATGGCAACGAATACAGCGGGGAGATACCCGGCATCGATGAGTTGGTCGACGAAATGGGCAATCACAATCGCGACATGCTAAAGGAACTGCGCGACTTCTGTGTCAGTCATGACATGCCATTGCCCACCATTGAAATAGTCCAACAAAGCGGCTCCCCCAATGCACCCCAATTTGTGGCCTGTTGTGCTGTGGCTTCAATCAAACGCTACGGCAAGTCCGACAAGAAGAAGGATGCACGTCAGCGCGCCGCCACCGCTATGTTGTGCGTCATCTCCCAGGATTTGAATGATTTGCGTACACACACCTCCCAGTTAATACCCGTAAACAAGGACCCTGGCAACACTATTGAGGACATTGAATCGGAGCGTCGTCTCAAGTTCAAGACATATCGCGAGCTAACCGACTCGGGCAATACCGAGAACACCAGCACCAAGCTATGCGATCGTCACAATTACTTTAAAAAGTTCTTTCCTAATCTAAAAACAGCCGCTATTGAAGTTATGAACTCGGGCGATTATACGACAAACAAAGATACGGTGCTGGCTATGCTCGAAGCTCTCAAGCTGACCCCACGCATAACCACATTCGACTCCGGCACCCTGGAGCCATTGTTGCTAGTCGAACTGAACTGTGACTATGATTGTGTATTCATGGGCTTGGAAAGTCAAATTTATGGTCAAATACTAGCTTATTTCAATGACATGTTGATTTAGATTTATAAACCATACTTGTACATATATATATAACATTTATTTTAACTATGGGTTACCTAAAACTAAAAATACTTATTTACATTGCGTGTGTGTGTGTAATACGTGTGTAATTGCAAACAATTTGAAATAATGCACATTAATATATTCTCGCATGTATTCTATACTTTGTACGATTCCTAAATATAGTACATTACTAATAAATTATGTAAAGTACATTATGGAGTACAATTTGGAGCACGTGTCCCACTTTTTCTTTTAAGTTTTAGTTCGATAATTTCCGTTTTTTCCTTTTTTTCATTCTGTTAACTTTGTACAATGTTCTAAGGCAATTAAGATAACAAATAATATGTGTGTGTGTGTTTAGAGTTGATAGAAATTTCTGTATTCTATCAAGGAAATAAGTAATACCCATTTGTTTTGGTAAAATATGAAAATATGATGTGATTTGTCGAAGGCCGTAAATCAACTTAGATGTTTTGCACAGTCCGGGAAGATTGAAGAAGGATTTTGTATAACTTGTAACAACTCGTAACTTATTCTAAATATCAAAAGTGAGATTATATATTCAGTCATGTAAAAAAAATGTTCATGATAACAAAAGTGTATGGTGAACAATCCTAAAAAATATTGCAAACAGTTTTGGTTCTTTTGCTAAGGCATTGCCTCGAACGATTAACACAATCCTACTTAGGTCACAAATACAGTTATGTATATGGGTTAGCATTAAATTTTACTGCAGGCCAGAATCGGAGTATAATTTTATTTTTTACAAAAGAGACACCGGCAAACAGGAATTTTCCAGCGACAGGACAGCTCTTTCCATCAATAGCTAATTTTCTTGCGCAGCTTCAGCGTCGTCTGTTGTTGTTGCTCCGCGCGCTCGGCCGGACTGAGCTTGACGGTGCCGCCGCCTGCAGCTCGGGGCAGTTGATAAAGCTGTGAGTGCTGTTGGTGATGCGTATGCGGCTGCGTATGGTAGCATTGTGGATGCGTCGCTGTGGGCGTCGGTATGCCCGAAGTCGATGCTGATGTCGAGGCAGAGGCGGAGGAGCCGGATTCGCTCATAATGCGGCGTGTTAGCTTAAAGCTGCCGCCTCCTCCGATACCACCTGAAACTGAGGATGTCATCGCCGGTGTCGTCGTGTATTTGCCAGCAGCGTTGTTGGTGTTGTTGTTGTTGTTGTTCATGGCGCTTGTCTTGCGCAGCAGCTTTGTATTGTACTCATCGCACTTGTCCTTCTCGATGCGTGTGGAGCTGAGGGAGCGTTTGTTGCGTTTCGCGCCCAAGCCAAAGTTATGCTCAATGATGGCCTGAAGATCGGCGCTGGCACGCCCACTAAGACGGCTTGAGTCTATGGGAGGTGTAGAGGAGGAAGATTGATTATTTAGATTGTTATTGGAGTGGTTGCTGCTATTATGATTATTATTATTATTGTTGTTGTTGTTGTTGGTATGGATGTTGCTATTACTGGGTATCTTTGTGGAAGGCATGGACTGCGACTTGGAAGCCATTGTTGTACTGTTGTTGGAGGTAGTTGGCAACGGATTGGAGTTGTGATCGAGTGTGGCAGACGACGAACGCGTAGCAATGTTGTAGCAAACGGAACCACTACCACCACCTGAAACACCTGCACCAGAACCGGCACCACCAGCACCACCCAGAGACCCCAGATTGCTGCTGCTGCTGCTGCTACAAGCTACGGTGGGTATGGCCGACACATCCCGATAATAACGAGCCGTTGCCACCGTACAGGGTGGCGCCTGCTGCAGTGGCTCGGCCCCAACTCCAGGGCGTTGGTAGCGTATGCGCGATCGTCCACGCAGCGTCATATGATGATGCGAAGTGCGTGCCGCCACACCACGACTCGGTGGTATGGTGGCTGAGGACCCAGCTCCACCGCTAACCACCGGAATTTTGCTCTCGCTAATGGTGGCACTTAACAACGTGCTACCCCCACCACCGTACGGCTTCAGTTGTTTGTTGTCCGCCTGCGGCGTTTGCTGTTGTTGCTGTTGCTGCTGTTGTTGTAGATTGTGGACCTCTGCCTTGCGTAGATGCTTCAACTCCATTCTATCGTAAGCAATGTACAAGGGAGAGGCGCGGCAAGACGGTTGGGTAGCACAGTGAGCAAGAGATAAGAGAGAGAGAGAAACGGAGTAAAGGGGAAAGTGTAAGCTAAAAATATTTGACCTGTGCACCAAACCACACACTCGCGCACACACACACATTTCCATTCCATGTACATAAGTATATAGTTTATCAAAATTCAAGCAAAAGCGACAAAACAAACAAGAACAAAAATAACACAGAATTCTTGGTTGGGATCGTCCGACTAGGGAGAATAGATAATACAATCTATACCCAGTGGGGATAACAAAATAAAAACTGAATTTCCTAACTCAGCTAGATACATATGTATGTGTGTTCATTCTAGGCTTGAATCCGATTTCAGTACAGAATAGTAATCTTCGTGTCTGTAGGCTTCTATAAAAATTGAATTGAATTCCGAAGGAATAGAGTGCGCTAATTTTGTGTAAAATTCATTTCATCAAACAATTTAATTGCCCTAAGACCCTAGACTAAAAACCAGAAGTTGTTGGTGATGCTAGGAAAAAAACATATTCGCAAGCGGAAATATTTAAACATTATTCAGAATTGTATTGTTTGCCTTTAAATTTCGTTTTATTATATGTCGAGTGGCGTAAGGCCAAAAAGATATAAAAACTTCCCAGTAAACCTATTTTTTGTAGCTACTGTATTGTTAAACGTCTTTGATTTAAGCACGGACGTACACATAATTTAAATGTTAAACGCCTTAGTTCTTACGATAAATAGACACAAGGCGATGAAATTTAATTTAACATATGTACAAATCCTAAGTATTAAACTATTTACTTATATATAAGTAATTGTGTAATTGGGAAGCGAGAAGAGCTTACACACGACTGTAATTTCGATCTTGTAAATTTTTAAATAAATTTAAAAAACCCACCTTTCAAACCCAGTTAGGAGCTTCATAATACACTCAACTATCTACTTTGATTAAATGTTAAAACAGCATTAAGCCTGCTTCTCAGAATACAGAATCGTATCTATTTAATATATATATATATATATACCCAAATTTAATTAAGATAATAATGTTTATTTTAACAGACCTGAGTGTATCGAACTGATCAACACTATTTGGGGCCTTAGAAAGCATAAGTTTGCATAACTTCGATAAGCAAGCGGAAGACTTGTGAGTTAAAAATTTATATGTTGGGTAAAATACAAATCATCGATTAACATATTGCTCAAAAGCTTGAAAACTTAGTTTCGATGATAGACCAAAAATTAGGATGTAAACATTTAATGAAATTCCTGAAACTCTTCAGATTTTATAAGCTCACATTCGGACAACTAGGCTAAATCTAGATTTAATAAAAATTCATTTTTAAATATTTCTATAACTACAAACTGAGCTGATATGTAAAGTAAAAGATTAGATTTTAAAAATATTCCCTTCATATGTACATATATAGAATTTGGATGCAGATATATGTATATGCAGCAACAAAAAATAAAAGCAAAACCAGAAACAGAAACAGATATATATATATAACAGCACATGGGAGCATAGGATACATTCGCATAAATAATAATTCAGCAGCGGCATAATATAATTTTGATTTTTATTTTCCACAAAATTTTGGTTTCTATTGCATGCACAATAAACAATTTTAAGACTAATTAATAAAAATGGTTAAGAATGCCAAAAAAATGATTGCATAAATAAAAACTAACAATTAAGAGTTAATTAATAAGTACATACTGTTTTTTTCTTTTAAATATAATTTAAAGATAACAATGAGTTATAGCTAAGTATCAGCACAATTGCAGCCGCCCAGGAGCTCAAAGACAACTAAGATGGGGGATTCCCAACTCCTGGGCTGATGCACAAGACTGACGACAGTTAGTTGAGAAGTGCAGATCAACATACGGGAATACAAACGATATAGTACATACATATATATTTAATTTGTAATCTTTTTACAAGCGTAATTCATAGCGTAGTTAAGTGGGCGGAACAGTTGACGTGTAGCAGGGCAGGGGTATGGGGTTTTGGGGGTAAAAAACACCAAGACAAAATTCTAAGCTCTATAAACGGAAGTACAAAGCCGAACGAGTGAAAAATCAAAAGAGCAGGATGGTTCGTGAGACACGGTGCTTTATACAGAAGCTGCCACTCCATTGTTCGGTATAGAAATATGTAAAATAGTAGAAAATATTGCTAGAACTCTTTGAAATATGCTCTCATTGATGAACGAAAAAATGTGTAGAATGCGGTACTTTGTGTACATAAATAAATTCATAATTAGATATAAAGTACAGAAGTGTGTATAGACTACAACATAAAGTACCAAGTCAACGATCGGTACTCGTAAGCCAAGAGACGAATCGAATCGAATTGAATGGTATGGTGTTCGAGTAGATATATAAAATGGAAAAATATCGTGTACAATTCGAGTTCTTTGTAAAGTGCTTGTAAAAAAGTATTAAGTGCTCCACAAAGTACAGTAACAAACTATTTGGTACAGTATAAAGTACATACTGAATAAAATAATTTGAAATATTTGAGCTCAGCTGAAAATACTGTAATGCATGAGATAGGAGAAAGGAGTTCCTTGTAAAATGTGGTAATTCGTGTGCGGTTCGTTACAGATTTAAGTACTATGTTACAATATAAAGTACCGATTAATATAAAATTCTCTACGAGCAGTGTTAAAGAAACACAGAACGAAACCAAGAAACGTGTCACATAGCCATACAATGTATATAAAGATGTGCTGCTGTTGTTGTTTTTGCAGTTGTTGTTGTTGTTGTTGTTGGGTGTTGGGATTGCAGTTTATTTGATGGGCTGATGAACCACACTTACCTTTTGCTGTAGATGGCAAGACTGCGGGTGCGAGTGCTCAGCACGGTACTGGTCGAGTCAACAGCGGTCGAAGCTCGACCACCTGAGCCCGATCCGGCTAGGATGTTAGTGCTATTGTTGTTGTTGTTAAAGTTATGCAATGCATTGCTTAGATTACTGTTGTTGCTGTTGTTATTATTGTTTAAATTAAGAGTTGCTGCTGCTGCTACCGATGTTGTTGTTGGTGTGCCGGATATGCAATTGGCAACCACATGCGCCACATTGTTGTTGTTGTTATTGTTGCGAAAAGGCTGAGACTGGGAACGAGCGCGGGTGTGCCGCAAATTGGTCTCCTGTTCACTGTTGAAGATTAGAGAGTTTTCAAAAAATTAGATCAAGCTTAAATAATATATAGTTTCAAAAGTGCTCTGTATTGTTTAAACTTTAAAGAGACGTTTGGGTTAAAAGGGTCAGTGTTGAAGATTAAAGAGTTAAAAAAAAATAAAATCAAGCTTTAATATATAGTTTCAAAAGTGCTCTGTATTGTTTAAACTTTAAAGAGACGTTTGGGTTAAAAGGGAGCTAAGCACTCCTCTCCAATCTTAATATATAGACTATGTATTAAGTTGTGTTTGATTCGGCCAAATGCTTGATAAAATCTACACTCTCGATAGCTTTAAAACTGTCGTTCAAATAGAGTATTCAGAGTATATATTGCCGCCTCATCGTGGTAATCATTTATATAACTATCACTTGAGCTGCTGTTACAACTCAAAGGGAATGATCAGTAAAATTTTAGCTTCTCTTACTGGATGGTTGATCCATTGTGATCTGCTTAAGCTTCTTAGTAAATTTGTTTCAAAATTCGACAACCATTTCATGAACTAAGTAGGACTATACATAAGAGTTCTATTTTTAAAAACACGCCAAACATTGTGTACCTCGTTAAGAACTTCTGAAACCACAAACTTTTCTTTGAGCATAATTTAATATCTCAAATTGTGATCCAACAATATCAATTCAGGAGCTCAATGTGAACTGCTTTAGTGCTTGCTGTGTATAACCAATGAAAACACTTTTCTGCAAACAATACATACTGCCTTATCGTAACCCAAGCGATCTAATTAGATATCCAACGACATTTCGACGACCCAGGATCACTTACTTTGTGCTATTGATATTGACGGAGCGTGAATGTTGGCGTCTCAAAGCCTTGATCTGATTCAATTTGTCGCCCTGGGTCTGCGCTGCGTGCTTCTTCTCCAGCGCCGTCTGCGTCATACGGACCGTCGATGCAATAGTGTGGCGTGCCGCCTCAAAAACACTATTGCTCGGTCTACGAAGCTTTTTCTCGGTGCAGCTTGCGTTTTCCGTGGGTATAGGTGTAGAATAGAGGCTGTTCGGCACGCTGTTACTACTGCTGCGACTCCCTGGATTCACCAGACGTCGCAGTGAAGTGGCTATCACTGTCTGCTTATTGGCACCTGATGGCGATTTGCGACGACGTGTGGAAATCGTGTAGCTGGAGGGAGCCGCTGTGCTACTCAGTGGATCGGTGTCATTGTCGCTGTTGGCGTTGCAATTGGCGTCCACAGTTGACTGATACTGCGTCTCATCCTCCTCCGTTTGGCCCTCATCGTCTTCACCATCGGCCAGACGACAACCGGCAGAGGAGTTCACATACTGCTCTGCAGCCCCATCAAGTGTGTCATGCAAATGCATTGTGTCCACACGCTGTGAGATTCCCTTGACTCGCGTCAACAGCAAATCCATGTGATCATTGGCCTTCAGATCGGATTCAGCTTGCGCCTGCGCTAGCAAATCCTCGCTTAGTTTCCCCTTTAGCTCCATGCTGTAGATGCCGTACTTATGCTGCAGTACAGAATGCGAGCTGCGACGTCTCATGCGTTCACCCTCTGCCCAGAGCCAGCTTTGCTTGCTGCAATATATGGAGGATTTAGAATCGATTAGTAGTGGTCGCGATTTTATCATATATGGGGAAAATTAATTATCACTATTTAAAGTACAATCGATACTGATAGTTCACAAAGGAGAATTAGCTACTTACTCCTCCATCCACTGTTGCTGGTGTCCAATAACCGAACCAGGTCGACATAGACGCAACCAGGCAATGGCCTCTAATGCACTAAAGTTATAGTGCTTCATGATATAGGCACCAATCAGACTACCCGTGCGCCCCAGTCCTGCTTTACAATGCACGGCAATGGCGCCCTTCGTTGTCTCACAAATAGATAGAAACTTCTTTAGTATGGCATCGCTAGGCGTGCTGCCATCGATGAAGAACAGGTCCTTGTGGTCAAACCCAGCATTCTCAAATGACGATGCATGATAGACCTTGGCGTTCAAACGTATTACTGTGGTCACATTATTATCCCGAAAGTAAGTGAAGTAGCGTTCGGGCGCATGACAGGGGTAGCCATTGGGCAACGTCTTAGACTTCTGATGCGGCCCGCAAAAGGCAATAAACTTTTGTGGCACTATCCAATTAAAATCGCCATTCTCCACGCGCTCAAAGTATTCGTACTCGTCGGCGTCGAAATCATCGAAATTGTAGAAGCCCGCCAGCAATCCCTTGTGCACAGCATTAAGACAATCCAACAGGGAGATTTTGAAGCTACTAGGACCATAAGAGGCGTCACAGAAACGCGTATAGGGGGGTATATCACCAGAGACGAGAGTGCGGTAGGCCTCTTCGGGGGACTTATTCAAGAAGATTATCTATGGTGGGGGTTAAATAGAAATAAGGGAGTAGAAATTAGGGCACTTTTGTTGTTTTTCTATATATAGAAGCTGCCACGCCCCATTTTGTCACACTTACTGCATACGAACCAATCAGGTAAGCCGCATTCAGCCTTTTGGCCGGATTCATTGAGGTGTAGTGCACGATTTTCTTGTTCGCGTGACACTTGGCACTTAGCTTTGTGTTGAGTCTGGTGCAGTAGCGATAAAGCATGCAGATGTTCAACGGCCCAAAGTCATTGTAAAAGTTCTCATAGACGTACTCATCGTCTATACTGAAATAGTGGGTGTTGGGCGTATTCTTGGGCTTGATGTTCTTCTTGAATACCACAAAATAGAGGCGGTCTGAAAAGAATAGCAGTGCTAGGGGTTAAAATGCTTTATAATTGAATGTACACTTACCTTGTTGCATTTCTGAGGCGCACACCAGCAGATCTGAATTATCATCGTCCAGCATCATGTTTGCTACTGTATTTCCTTTTTATTTTCACTGGCTCTGTGAGTCAGCGCATAAACAAATATGAAAAGAGCAGGTACGGCGTCTGCAAAAGATTATATTGTAAACTTTAGCAATCGGCTGTGGTTCTGATGGGGTATTTCAGTTATCTTATAGCGTAACTTAATCCGCAATTTGAGCAGCTGCTGTCTGTCTAGATTGTTATTTTAGCCCACATGGCTGGCAAAGCTTCCGCTAGCCATAATAAATTATCGTCTAACAATGCGAAGAACGCCCACACGTAAAACTGGGCACTTCCATAATTGGTTAAACTTAACGCTGTATGTTCCGCAAAGGGTGCTTCATGTGGAGAAATGTGCAATGTAATTTGGCCTCTTTAGTAGACAAGGGAAAACAAGACAAGACAAGACAAGACAAGACATGGCAACAAACTCGTCAGTGCCAGGTTTGTTCTACTTTTTTTTTGGCGCCCTATGCATATGTGTATGTATGTATGTACATACGTATGAATGTAGGTGATGGCGTTATTGATATGCACATAAACGTCAGGCTGGCATACTCGTTGGCGCAACTATCCTAATAAACACAAAGCCAGCCGCCTTCTTACCCTAGGTAGGTGCCTGCCTAGCTAGCCGAAAGTTTATGGCCTGTAACACATTGCCCGCGTGTAGAAACGTTCGATTTTATGTAAATTTTTAACCTTTTCCATAGTTACTGACGAGGTGCAGCGCTTGGCATGCCATTAGAGAATTTGGGGCCTGTTCCCAACTACACATATAGTACCTTTTGTGTATGTTTGTATGTATGTACATGTACGATTTAAAGTTTAAATGTCAGATCGGGAATTTTTTATGGCAGCTTTGCATGTTAAGTTTAAGACGACAGGCAACAGCAAAAGCGCTAAAGGTAAGAATAGATTTCAATCTAAGTAACAACCATATGGCTGTGGCGCCTCTGGCATTGGAGCCGCTAACGGAAATAGAATAAGCAACGAGTGGGGAGAGCCTTTGCGTTCGCCTTCTCATCCTTTCATTCACACATGTAGAACAACGGCACTTGCCACATATTTGTTGTTACCATACTCCCACGTGACGATAATAGAAATATATCAAATACGTATACACATACGCACGCTCTTATCGCATTACATGTATGAATATACAGACCACAAACATACATACATACATATGTAACTATTCCTTGTTATGCTCATTGTTATTATGTATGCATGCTTGTGTGTGTTAGGGGGGTTTTGTGTGTAGAAAGTGATCTATAAAAGCTACAAACTAATCAATGGACAGGGTGCAGCAGCACTTTTAAAACAATACGAAACGCCATTTGAAATGCGATGATGGGCAGCAGCGGCACAAACAAACAAGTTTGTCTTAAATAGTGTTGGACAAATGACGTCACCAAAAACAACAATAGTCTGTATGGCGGAATGAATAACAACAAAACGAAGTTTTCAAACAACGGTTACTTCTACAACCTGCGCATGCTCTCATAAAAGCTGTGGTCGCTCTCTTTCACTGGCGACTCTCATTGACACTTGTACGTGTACGTGTAAATGTATATGTGTGTATTATTAAAAGCAACCAACGCATTTTTCTACATCCCAACTAATTGAAACGCCAAATGGTTGTACTGCGTAATCAATTTTTGTACACATTTTTCGTTTTCAAAATTATTTTCGTAGCACTTGGCGTGGTACGGGGATACTCACCTTTATTTGTGTTGTTGTAGTAGAGTGTTAAGACTAAAACGCACACACACCATGAACAACAACAATATTTGAAACAACTTGACTGCAAAATTTAATCACTCTGCATAACACTACAACAATTTTGATTGTTTTACGGATTTTTTTAAAGTTAATTACTAACAAATTTGGTTAACAAAAAGTTACACTTAAATTTTGTATATTTCTGCTAAGTTAACAACATTCTCAATGTGAGCTTTTTATACGTGTAGTAGTTCACTTTCATTTCATATTTTTTGTTATTTTCAAAAAATCCAGAACGAACGCCCGTATTATGCGCAACCCAGCGAAGTGCTCTGAAAGAGCTCCAAAAGACAACTGAGGAGCTGTGTTGGCGCTGTTAACCGTTGCATTTTGAACTCTCTTTCGCCGCGCGTACGCTTCAACAGTGTGTGTGTGTGAATGTGTGTCGGTATGCGCTCCAACTACCATGCCGCGCGCTTTTAAGCACACTAATACTAATGCGCTCACACAATTTTACGCTATGCCCCCTTATCACTTCATTCTCTTGGCAGTGTGTACACACTTAACGGCAAATTGAAATATATCAAAAGGCATTGCCAGTCATGAGTTAATCATTCGACTTTTTGTCTGTGCAAAAGGCGTTATAATCAAATTTGTATTTTAAATATGAAAAGTCCTCAGGTTTCGCACCACGCCTCAATCATCATTGCAGAAGCATGATATCAAAGTCAAAAGATGTCATAAAATTGAATAATTGTCCAAATGAATTGTTGATGCACTACTAATGTTGCTTTATTTAATTTTTACCTGAGTTTACTGGGAATGCACGGAACACAACACTTGCTAATGAATTAAGAAACTATACTTGTCACTCTTTATAAAAATATTAACACTTGTAATAAAATGTACTAGCAACTTCTTTAATGATTGCATATTATTATTACTTGTGTATGTATTTTAAATTATAAAGTTTTTTAGCTTACTTTATAACTCAAATCACGTAATAATTTTAGAGTCGATGGTAAAATTCTAAAACATTTACCCCAATAATAATATCTGAATCGCATAAGCTTGCAAGATGTTAGTCGTAATGAACTTTACAAAAGTTATGTTGTTATTCCAATGAAACTTTACATTTCAATTACTACTAATGTATTACTAATTCATTAGCTTACGTATACTTGAATGCTCACATTTCTGTGTATTTCTTTGCTAGTTATGCAGACTGCAGGGCAGCATTCCTAATTTTTTGTTTTAATTTATTCGTACACATCTTCCTGAGTTCTTGGCTAAAAGGCGACCAAAACATCAGCAGCCATTGCATGAGTTTTCTTGCTCTCCCGTTCACTCTCTCTCTCTCTTCGATTTGTGCTCTTGGCTTTTGTTTTCTTCTTCTCCTTCGCGAAGTTGTGCGCCGATCGAGCAGCAGCTACTTCAGTCTTGCGAGTGGCTCTCTTCGGAGCGGATGTATCTTTTCTTGAGGTCGTAGTCGTTTTCTTTTTTTAGGAAAAGTATTTCCTTCGTGCGCGTGTGTGTATCTTTTTATGTGTATTTGTGTGCTCCCTTCTTTTAAGTTTAAAAAAAGAAGTCCAAGTGGCTTGCTTGTCCGACCCAGTGTGCAGTGTCTTTACGCTTTATGTCTGTCTGTGTATAACAAGAAATGTTTTTTTGAATATTGCATTTTTTGGAAACTGTGCTGCTGCTGACGACACAACAACAATACCAACAAGAGTGCGCTTGGAGCACGGTGTGGTAAGTACGACTTGGCCATAAGGAAAATGCACAACAATCTTAATCAATTTTGCTTGAGCCCAACTGTTTATCTTTCGGTCAGTTGTTATTGTTACTTCACATATTACTTCCCCATGCATCCATTGCTCTGCTTTTTTAAGTTTTTCTTCTGCCGCTTGTTGTTTTATCGTGTGTTTTTTTTCTAGCGCTCGCATCGCAATGATTTCATGCTACAAAAAAAGGTTACACTTTAAGTACACTACATACAAACATACATACATATGTACATATGTGTGTAGGTACATATGTACATAGCTAGTCGAGTTCTTTTAGATTAAAAACGAAATATGATGCCATCTATATAAAAAGAGACATACTTATGTACATGCATGTATATACATACAAACATATATTGCATGTATGTATGTTGTTCGTGTGTTCATGCCTGCGAACGGGCCGGGCCGGGCCGGGCAGGGCAAGGAATAGTGCACTAAACTGCATAGCTAAGCGCATTGTGAAGCCGCCTGTGTCGTCCCATGCGCCGTTGCTAATTAAAATGTAGGCAAAGCTTTATGAGCGCCTTTGCATATACATATGTACATATTATGTCCGTACAGTGGCAGCCATTTGAATAGGTACAACATGCTAAAAACTCTATTAAACTTAATAATGCACACAGCATCTTTAATTTTATTTATTGGAAGTAAATAAGGTTCTTTATAAACCTTTAAATTATAAGTAAGCATGTATGTATGAGGCTTGATCGATTACGAGTACTGATCGCAATTTTATAAGAATATACAGTGTATTTGATAAATTTGATAGACAATTCGTTGCAGAGCACTTACTTCACTTGGGCTATTCTTTCTCATTCATATCATACATGTACACCTAGCTATTAAGCCGATCTGAAATATTCTTTGATTCCTGCTCTTCTTAACTACGACATAACCCACTAATTTTGACCAATTTCAAGATCGCAATATTTTACAAACTTTCTTCATTTATAATAAAGGTTCCTCAGTTCTATATAAAGCTTAATCTGTATGTGTATTACAGAAGTCCTTATGCTGATTTTGTTTATACTTACAGCTTGATTTTTAAATTAAATGTCTCCACCACAAAACAGACACTAAGACTGTTCTTTGCACCATTAATCATATTTCCACTAAAAGAAGTTAGGCATATATGATTTATAAAACTTGATCTGCAAATGAATGAGAGCCGCCTATGTGTCAAGTTTGGTAACTCTAGTTTGTGTGGCTTAAAAGAATTTAATGTTCATACTGACAGACAGGCAGGAAGGCGGCCAAATATTTCTTTAGTGCTTTTCCCATTTGAATGGCTGGTGATGTAGATAGGAATGCATGCTTTAAACTATGCAGTACTTGCCGATGTGCATCGCTGTAACTCAGTGTAGGTGGGAGGATTTAGTTCAAGTCTAATTATAGTGTGTTAGTAACATGCTGATCTCATTCCCATTCTCAAGATAGCCTGTTGAAAAATGTGAGCAGATCCAGCACACATGTTCCAATGCCTTGGTGGTCAATATGCGCTGTCATACGCTCGGTTAGAATTGAATATATAAACATTCCCAACTAATGTACTGCTTAGATAGAATTGTATGAGCAATTTTATTAACTTGCGCGCAAACGTCGAGTGTACACACCAACATACACAAACATCAATTAATATATGTGTGTATAGTATGTACATACATACATACATATATTTTCGTTGGCCGCTGAAGTCAGAAGAACATTGTCTATTTGCCTGGCTGCTTGGCTGCTTGGCTGCCTGCCGTTCAGAGCTCCAAAGTCGCTCCATTATTTACCCATATGGGTATGGGTAGCCCCTGAGAGAGCGAACCATGAAAGCCACATCTGTGTGCTCTGACAATTTACTTTTTGTTTAGTTCTTCGTTTTTATTTGTTTATTTGTCGTTGCTCGAAACGAAAATGAAATTAAAAACTGTGTTGGCCAAAGACTGGCCGCGCCACAGCCCCAGTCCCCCAATTGAGGGGATCTGTGAATGAACTCTTATCGCTCCATGTCGCCCATATGTATGAAATTACGAAATCGCTGCATTTATTTAGTACATACATATATAGTATATGTATTGTAGTACAATATTACCATTAAATATGACATCTATCTGGGTGCCGCATCTGCGGCATGCCTTGCCTTTGGACGTGCTTATCTCGTCTAGCACAGTTTTTAGTTTTCGGGTTCCATAATCGTTACGTCTCCGTTTCCAGGCTGAAGCCAGCAGCCGTGGCTCCCACTGGGCGGGTAACCCTTAAAGCTAAACGCTGCTCGCGCTGGTGCCACTCTTGATAAGCTTCGAGTAGAAAGATCTGAATTTAATTATAAACATGAACACATAAAACACATTCACCACCGCAAATACCCTCTCCAAACTTTCTCTGTGCTAAGAAATCAGAGTTCCTGGATATTAAGGAAACATGCAAATATCTGTTGATATTTGAAAAGTAAAACGCTGAACAGAATCGTAATGAAATAACTTTCAAGAATAAGACACAAAGGAAACCCTTTTCACAACCAAATTATTCAAGTGTTATAAACTAAGTATCTGAGCTAATTATTCAAAAGTCTATTTAAATATTTCTTAATGCAACAATAGGAAAAGTTTGTGTTGATTAGATCTATCCGAAAACATGTTGGGCTCATTTAGAACTGAAGTTTTATTATAGATCGCTTTAAGAAAAGATTTCTTCAATTCAGCAACATTATTTTTTTTTCCATTTGATTGGAATAATGCAAGTATTTAGAGGGCCTTACTTTTATAAATAGTTTAAGTAATCTTGATGATTCAATATATATGTTATCAGTATTTGTTTGTTCTCTAGGGCAATAACAGAAATGGTTTAATTACTTGCTGAAGCAATTACATTATTTTTATCTGCTCCCAATTCCCAATCCGAAATAAATAATTATCGACTCAGCTGAGGGCGAGTTCCAATTCTTTAACAATATTTATTTTTATCTGTATACAAAATCTCATCTTGTAAGTCAAAACATTCCCATATTCCACGAAAAGTTTATCCTGGGAATTTGCACAATTATACATGGACCCTCATTTGTGTTCAGAAACAGTGGGGGTATCCCATCAGTGAGGGTATAATAAACAAATGACATGTGCGCCTGCGACTTGAGCTGAACATTAATTTAGTGCAAGACTTTTGCTGATAAACAAAGCGGCGGACTAAACTAAATACATACATATGTATGTATGTACAAGAAGAAGAAGAAGAAGATGATTAAGAAGAGCAAGTATAGTGTTTATCGCCTTAATATAGTATACAGTTGTATATACATACGTACTTATGTATAGTGAGACGATGTTGCTGTGTCCATTCAAATTGCCTGCAACTCTCAGTCGGTGCGTAAGATTCGTTGGGTACGGTCGATCAACATTCTTTATGGGAGGATTCCTCAAGCTGAGAACTGATAACACTCTGACCGCATTTTGTTGAAAATTGTTATTTGTTGGAAACCCTGAATCCCCCATAACTACCTATTTTAAACTCTCATGCTAAGCAATTTTTAATAATATTGGTATTTCAACTTTTACAGCACCGTATCTGAAGACAGAGAGCCGAGGAAAACTCAGGTTGCTACTATGGGTGATGCTTAGGAAGTAGCAGTAAGTAAGGATGTCGTCCAATTGTGAAACGATTAATCCTGTAAAAGATAATTTGCTAATTACAGCGAACTGATTTGTGGAAAGAAGCAGTCACACTCCATTGAAAAGTGCTGTGAGGAAATAAGCTTGCGATACAGAAACGTGCTGATTACAGCCGGAAGTTGTTATTGGAACTTATAACCCCAACAAAAACAATAGCAGCAGCAGCATCAGCAACTACAACACACAGAAAAGCAATCGCCGAGAACGAATTAAAGCGACAAAGATGGCAGGCGGCTGTAGCGGCAGCCTTATCGCCATATTCTTTGTGCTCACTGTGGTGAGCAGTCTTCACGAGCTGGGAGGAAGCGCCCAGAAATCCCCACCACAGCAACATTATGGCGGTCGTCGAGACCGGCCGCGGAATCCGCCACGACAGTACATCAAGACGCATCCTTGTGAGCGTAGCTCCTGCTACCCGGCCACAGGAAATCTGCTAATCGGACGCGAGAATCGTCTCAAGGCATCGTCCACGTGTGGTCTGCAATCGGCGGAGCGTTTCTGCATTCTATCGCATTTGCAGGACAAAAAGTGCTTCCTGTGCGACTCACGCGAGGACACACGAGGCGATCCGCACAAGAATCATCGTATTGGCCAGATCATATATAAAACCAAGCCAGGCACTAATGTGCCCACCTGGTGGCAGTCGGAGAATGGCAAGGAGAATGTGACTATTCAGCTGGACTTGGAGGCAGAGTTTCATTTCACGCATTTGATCATCACATTTACGACCTTCCGTCCGGCGGCCATGTACATTGAACGATCCTTCGACTTTGGCCAGACATGGCATGTGTACCGTTACTTTGCCTACGACTGTGCCGATTCGTTCCCCGGCGTCCCCACCGTCCTGCGTAATATCACCGACGTAATGTGCACATCACGCTATTCGCACGTGGAACCGTCGCGAAATGGAGAGGTAATCTATCGCGTACTGCCGCCGAATAGCAATGTGCCCGATCCCTATGCGGAACATGTGCAGAACTTGCTGAAGATGACCAATTTACGGATCAAGATGACAAAGCTGCACAAGCTGGGCGACAATTTGCTCGACAATCGACTTGAGAACGAGGAGAAGTACTACTATGGTATCAGCAATATGGTGGTGCGCGGTTCCTGCTCCTGCTACGGACATGCCTCGCAGTGTCTGCCACTCGACAATTCAGTGGTGACCAACGACTATGACATGGTGCATGGTCGTTGCGAGTGCACGCACAACACGAAAGGTCTCAACTGCGAGAGCTGCGAGGACTTCTTCAACGATATGCCCTGGAAGCCAGCCTTCGGCAAACAGACGAATGCATGCAAAAAATGCGAATGTAATGATCATGCCGTCAGATGTCACTTTGATGAGGCCGTCTTTGAATCTTCGGGACGTGTTTCGGGTGGCGTTTGCGACAGTTGCATGCACAACACGCAGGGCCAACATTGCGAGGAGTGCTTGCCGTATTTCTATCGCGATCCCGCTGCAGATATTCGTAGTCCTCACGTTTGCAAGCCCTGCGATTGTGATCCCAGTGGTGCGCTCGACGATGGCATTTGCGATTCGGTCAATGATCCGGAGAATGGTGTTGAGGCCGGAGCCTGTCACTGCAAGCCCAATGTTAAGGGGCGTCGTTGTGATGCCTGCAAGGATGGTTACTGGAATCTAGATCCACAGAGTCCCGAGGGCTGCGAGGCCTGCACCTGCAACATTCTGGGTACCATCGACAACTCCGGCTGCAATATGTACAGTGGAGAGTGTACTTGCAAGCGTCTTGTCACAGGCAAGGATTGTAATCAGTGCGCACCCGAGACCTTTGGTCTTTCAGAGTCACCGGATGGCTGTAACATGTGCGAGTGCGATGCGGGAGGATCATACGACAATTACTGCGATGTGATCACCGGACAGTGTCGCTGCCGCCCGCACATGATGGGCCGCACTTGCTCCCAGCCCAATCAGAACTACTTCATACCGCAATTGCAAGTCATACACGACGCGGAGGGCTCTGATCTGTGCATCTCATATACAAACAATGGAAACTGCAGCGTAGTGCCTCAGCAGGCAAGTCCAGATCGTCCGGCCGACTTTACGGGCATTGGTTACACACGAATGCCTGAGAACTCGGAGCTTATAATCCATGTGGATGATATTCCACGCTCAATGCCCTACGATGTAGTCATTCGCTACCAGGTGACAACGCCCGGAGATTGGGAAGATGCGTTCATTACTCTGGTACGTCCCGATGAGGTGGATCCCCAAGGTGAATGTGCGGGCTCTGTACGGCCTGGCGATGACATACGTGAGTCACATATTCCATTTAGCTTACCTGATCGCGATAGACAGGTTGTGGCGCTCCATAATGTTTGTTTGGAAGCTGGCAAGCTGTACAAATTCAAAATCACTTTTGAGCGCCGTCGCCATAATGAAGACAACCCCACGGCCACCATACTGATTGATTCGCTGACTTTGATTCCACGCATTGAAGTTACTCCGGTACTCTCAGGTTCCCCATTATCCGATACACGCCTCTCCGAATACTATAGAAACAATTGCAATCAGTCGCTATATGATATACGTTACATGCATCTGACTCCGGACCGCTGTCGCGAGCTCGACAACTATCTGAGCACGTACATTCACGATGGTGCCAGCATGTGCAACTGCAATCCGACGGGTTCCTTGAGCAAGGAGTGCGATAGACAAGGCGGCTTCTGTCATTGCAAACCTAATGTGGTGGGTCGCCAATGCGACCAGTGTGCTCCAGGCACCTACGGTTTTGGCCCGGAGGGTTGCAAGGCCTGTGACTGCAACAGCATTGGATCCAAGGACAACAATTGCGATCTGCTGACTGGCCAATGTGTCTGCCATCCGAATACCTATGGACGTGAGTGCGATGAGTGCCAGCCCGGTTACTGGAATTTCCCCAATTGTCAGGCCTGCGAATGCAATGGACATGCGGCTCAGTGCGACGCGAAAACGGGTCAATGTCTGAATTGCCAGGATTCCACGACAGGCTATGGTTGTGATTCCTGCCTGGACGGGTACTATGGTAATCCGTTCCTGGGTAGCGAGATCGGCTGCCGCCCTTGTCGTTGCCCCGACACTGTCGCCAGCGGCCTGTCCCACGCGGACAGTTGCTCCCTGGACACTCGCAACAACAACATGTTGTGCCACTGCAAAGAGGGCTATGCAGGAGCCCGCTGCGAGATCTGTGCCGACAACTACTTTGGAGATACTGATGCGGGTGGTAGTTGCGAAAAATGCGACTGCAGCAACAACATCGATCCCTACGATACCGGCAACTGCGATCGTGAGACGGGCCAGTGCCTGAAGTGTCTCTACGAAACGACAGGCGATCACTGCGAGCTCTGCCGCGATGGTTTCTTTGGCAATGCCCTGGAGCAGAATTGTCAGCGATGCGATTGCGAATTATTGGGCACTAATGCGACAGTGACACACTGTGATCGGTATACTGGCCAATGTCCGTGCTTGCCAAATGTGAAGGGACTGCGTTGTGATGAGTGCGCCGTAAATCACTGGAAAATTGCATCCGGAGAGGGTTGTGAGGCATGCAACTGTGATCCTATTGGAGCGCTGGAGGAGCAATGTCAACCCTATACGGGCGAGTGCAGGTGTAGGCCGGGCTTTGGTGGACGGGCCTGCAATCAGTGTGAGAAGAACTACTGGGGTAATCCGAACGAGAAGTGCCAGCCTTGCGAATGCGAGCCTTATGGTGCTGCTGACTTCCAGTGTGATCGTGAGACGGGTCAATGTGTTTGTCATGAGGGCATCGGGGGCTACAAGTGCAATGAATGTGCTCGCGGCTACCTTGGACAGTTCCCCCACTGCGCGCCTTGCGGCGAATGCTTCAACAATTGGGATATGATACTGAGTGCCCTAGAAGAAGCCACCGAAGCAACCATTCAACGTGCTCGTGAGATCAAGCAGGTGGGCGCCACTGGTGCCTACACCGCTGAGTTCAGTGAGCTGGATAAGAAGTTGCAAAACATACGCTATTTGCTGCAGAACAATACAGTGAGTCTGCAGGACATTGACAATCTAGACGCCGAAGCTTCAGAGCTGAAGAAGAAGCTTGCCCAATCACATAAGCGTCTGGACGAAACCGAAATAAATCTAAACGACATATATAATTCCCTTGCCCTGTCCGCAGTGGAACTGGAAGGTCTGCAAAATCATTCGCAGCTCGTGAAAAAGCTGTCTAATGACCTCAAGAATAAAGGCATAAAGTTGCAGGAGTCGAACATCGAGGGTGCACTTAATCTGACACGCAATGCCTACGAAAGGGTCACTGATCTGAGCGCTCTTAAGGATGAGGCTCGCGATTATGCGGCTAATACTGATCGCAACTGCAAACGCGTAGAGGGCCTGACCAATAAGATTTCAAACGAAACAGACGAAACGGCAGCAAACGACCGTACGATCGATGAGTACCGCAGCAGACTTACCGAACTGACCCTTTCCATTCCCGAGCTGAACAACGAGGTGTGTGGCAAGCCAGGGGATCCCTGCGACAGTTTGTGCGGTGGCGCCGGCTGCGGCAAATGCGGCGGTCTTTCTTGCGAGCATGGAGCTCGTACTCGTGCCGCGGAGGCCCTCAAAGTAGCCAAGGATACTGAGGAAGCCATAACGAAAAAGAAAGACCAGGCTGATCAGACCATACGAGCACTTACGCAAGCCAAGGTTAATGCTTCAGAAGCCTATCTGAAGGCCAAGAGTGGCTTCGAAGAGGCCGAGCGTTATCTGAACAAAACCGAGGGCAACATCAAGGTGGCCAGCGCGCTGATCAATAATTTAAACAATTTCCAGAACAACAAAACAGCCTTACCTAGTGAGAGCAAGAAATTAGCGCAGGATACACTCCAGCTGGATCTCAAGCTCGATCCCAACGAAATTGATTCTCTGGGCGTGAAGATAAACGATGCCGTATCTTCGCTCAAGGACGTTGAGTCCATAATTTATAAGACGCGCCACGATTTGGATCTCGTTAACAGATTGCAGAGCAACGCCAACGCCACAAAGGCCACTGCCAACGATATTTTGGAGCGGGCCAACACAGTGGTACAAAACCTCGATGCGGCCGATGAGTCACAGGCCAAGGCACAGGATGCCATTAAGCAGGCGAACAGCAACATCGAATTAGCCGCAATGGATCTAGAGAAAATCGATCTGGTGACCAATGAAGCTGAGGAACCAGCCAATGCCACGGCCGCGCAGGTCGAGGATTTGGACAAGAAAGCCAATCGCCTGCAGAAGAACATGTTCAAGAACGAATTGGATGCCAAGGAGATCAAAAAAGAGGCGAATCGTGTCAAATCCGAGGCGATGCGGGCTCGCGGTGAGGCCAGCAATCTGCAATCCTCCACCTCGGCAACCAATCAGACGCTCACAGATCGTGCCAATCGCTCCGAGAATGCTCGTGAGCGTGCCAAGAAATTATTGCAACGCGCCTCCATATTGACCGTCGACACTAACGAAAAGATGAACGAGTTGCAACAGCTTCAGGCCATATACCAGGACAAGCAGAGTTTGCTGGAAAAACTGCAGAATAACATCAAGCCCTTAAGCGATCAGCTCACGCTTTATCTGGCCAACATTCAGGAGAATGCTGAACGCTATCGACAGTGTGTTAGCGTCGGATAGTCTAAGAAAAGTAATGTATCCATATTGATCCCTAATTAATTAAATAATAACAAATACATGTTCTTTCTTGCAGACGCTAATGCTGGTCTAGCACTTGGCCTTGTCCACCATTGCCATATTCATGAACAAAAGAGCAACAAAGTTAATGTTTAACACCGTTAAGAAGTAACCGTTACGTTTTTTACTCTAAGCCGAAACTGCAATGTAAATTTATATTTTCATGTATTGCGCCTTCTTATAGTGCCAAATCTTTTCCGATACAAATCTTCCTAAAAATGTATATGATAAATTTGTGTGTAATGTAGCCCAGCACTAAATGCTAATAAATAAATACCTAACTACTTAAACGAAATGTGTTTGTGTTCGAATTATTTCGCGGATTTCTCTCTCTATCTCTCTGCCTGTGTGAGACCCTTTAAGACGAAATCAGGTGAGCGACAATTGCAGATACATTTTTCTGTATGTGTGGATGTATGTATGGCTATATTGGCAAAGCATAATAAATAAATATCTATTTGTGTATGTATGTGTGTAATAGGCATGTTTTGTATACATACGAAATATAATGTAAACCAAAGAATTGCTTTCTGGTTTGTATTTTCTTTCGTTTTGTTTTAGTTCTTGCCCGTCGCGTGCAGCTCTTGTTTTTGTTTTTATCTCAACATATAGTAATTAAATTGACTAATTATTTCAATTGTTCTAATTGTCGTTATTCGATATTTATGTCGCCTGCATAACGTAAAACTCTAAAATGGATGTTTAAATGCAGCGGAACCTTTTTTTTGCTGCTATGGATCGGCGCCATCTTCGATCACAAAGGAGCTCCTCAGCTGTACATACAGGTAATTATTAAATTAATCCTACACCTTACACATTTAAGAAGTAGTTTTGAGGGTGTCGGTATAAGAATAAGGTCCTATTTTCTGAGGTAGAAAAAAAGGATGTCTATATTTTTATATAATTTTGTTGGAAATTATATTTAATGTTAAAAACATGTCAACACAATGTTGATTAACTATATTCATTCCACGAATTTCCCCTGGCATTAAAAATTTATCCAAAATTGAAAAAAAGTGGCAACAATATTGAAATCTTTAATCAATCGACTATCGGGATGAGGTCTCTTCGGCATTCAAAAAGCTGCGTCCGTTGTGAATGACTTGTTTTTTTTTTTCAATGAGCTTACCGCGAAAATCATATATTTGAATTGAATTTTGAAAAGGTGCTTCAATACATAAGTATTGCTTTGTACTCTTTAATGTTACTTGGAATTTGGGGAAACAGTTTAAGGCCCGAAACTTTGCTAATATAAGTTAGAGTCTCAACCGTAATTGCTTGTTTTGTTTGCAGAGCATGACTTTTTCCGTATATTATTTATTTTACCACCATATGAGTCAGTGCGAGTCAGGCACTATTGAGCTAGCTCAAGAAAACAAATTATCGTTCATCTCTACACCATATGGGATTTTTGGGGTGCTGCGTAGCTTGTCAGTTGTATTCGATGGTGTAATGAATCAATAACAATATTGCGTCGCCCGGTCAACAAGTGAGAGTGAATATAAATAATAAATTAAAAACGTAATTAAAATAACTTCGCATTAGCTCTGCTGTTGTTATTGTTCCACCGCTGAATCGTGACGAACATATGTGATTGTGATTTGGAATAATTACATATGTACACATATATACATACACGTATATGCATACATATGCGACATGTTTGCATATAGAATTTAATACATGCACACAGACACACTCTGTTCTACTTTATGCAAGAAACAGAAACACAGAGCTATAATAAGAATATCTGAAAATATAATAATATAATGCCAGAGCGAGCGTCTAAGAATAATGACAGTCAGCCCAACAGCAGCAGCCAAAATCGAAAAAAATCAAGCGTGGTGATGCGTTAAAAAAGGGACGACTACGACGACAACGGGTGTGCCAATAAATAAAATCAAAAAGCCAGGGGGAAAAACAACTTGACGTGCAACGTCAAGTGTTTTGCTGTTTTTCATATTTTTGTGTTTTTAAAATACGCATTGAATATAATATCGGAGTGCCACACAAACCACACACCAACAATAAACGACGGAACGAATCAAAAACGAATCGTTTCGAATCAATTTGCTAGCCCTAGCCACTCTTGCCCTTGCCTCTAAAACGCCTTATTTAGTATTAAATAAGAATAAAGAATACATTTTAAATCGCTTGCCCATGGATGACGAATTGGAGGATAAGGTGTTCTATCAAACATACGTTTCACACATGAAAATTCTGTCAAAGTTTGCGGTGGGCTTCTCGTCCATCAACTCGCCGTTGGCTTATCTATGGAAACTATGTCGGCTTTATGTGCTTCGACCCGAGGTCATCTTCTGCGGGCTAATTTTGTTCATAATCTTGATCTATTTGCAAGCGGTAGATGTCTGGAGCCGGAGCATATTGGGCCGAATACAGGCCACTCTGGGCCGCCAGAAGGCCTCGCGTTCTATGGACGCCATGACAGCCAGCGCGGGGGAGCATCAGTGCTGGGAGGAGATACGACAGCAAAGTGCAGCATTCGCTGTGCTAGGTCGACGGCCGCGCATGGAAGACAGGTGAGTGACAGCCATCACCAGCAGCTTGATGTGCAATTAGCCGCTTACACAGTCTTGGAGGCTAATGAACTTTTTCCATTTCCTCATATACAGATATATTATCGAGGAGAACATTAATAATACGACGGGTATTTCGTTTTTTGCCGTCTTCGATGGCCACGGTGGCGAATTTGCTGCCGACTTTGCCAAAGATGTGCTGGTCAGGAACATCTACAACAAAGTGATTGAAATGGCGAAACTCCTTAAGACTGCAGAGGGCGGTGGCGGCGATGCTAACTATGTGGACTACGACAAGAGTCCATATCTGGCTCGCAAACAAAGTCGCAAGGAGAGCAACAAGGAGAATGCCGAACCGGCTGGCGTTTCACGTCGGGATAGCTTACGCAAGGCTCAGAGCACGACTGCCGATTGCAGCGCACTGAAGCAGAAGATATCCGAGTCTGTCATTGCAGACATCTACACGGCACAACTGAACTCGGCTATGCGAGCCAGTGGTAGCCACACGGCAGCCAAAGATACTTTTCTGAACAACAACAATCAGAATGCTCAGGGTGGTGGGAAGGGCAACAATCCCCCACCCACTTACGATGCCAAGTGTTACATCGAAAACGGACGCATCAATTTTGGCAAGCTAATCAGCGATGAGATAATGTCTGCCGATTACAAGCTTCTCGAGCAGGCTAAACAAACCGTGAGTACTAAGAAGATATACAGTCGAACTACAGTAGAGTACAAATCATATGGGCTGCTTTTATTAGCAGCAGCCTTATACGTAATAGAATGCACTTTAAATTAAAAGAGGCGTCGTAACCTAAAGGGCTTTCGAATGGTAGAGGTTTCCAAAGGCAAGGCTATAATCGGAAAAATATTAATTAGAAAAATGATGCACCTTCATCAGTTTTCCCCGCGGAGATTTCAGGGTGAGACATGACTAAGATAGTTAGCTACTTTGTGCAGGAAATGGGTTTGGGAAGATTATTTTAACTACAAAAATAATTTTCAATGGAAACATTTCTTTGGCCTACTTACTTAGTTCCGGCATTTAAAAGCTCTTAGATTAGGGGAAAATGCCATTCAAATGCGGCACATCGTATGATAATCAACGGCTTAATAGATTAAGATGTCAAAGTGATCACTAGATGGACTTTGATTTATATATTTTTGGCTTTTTAAAGTGTGGCGAAATTTAATTTTTTAAAAACATACTCTTCATTAGAACGATATATAAAACAACCCAACAAAATTGTTAAATGTATCTAATTATTAGAAATGATTGAGCTATACGGTTCAAAACTTCTTGCTTGTAGTTAGTGTTCTACCAGTAATAACTATTCTACAAATTTCCATTAAATAAATTAGATCCGGATAGACAGATTTTCGTTCTTCCTTACAAATTTAATAAGACTCTATTCCCTTTTTTGCAGACGAATATAGCGGGCACAACAGCTCTAATTGCGATTGTCCAGGGCAGCAAACTGATTGTGGCCAATGTTGGTGACTCCCGCGGAGTTATGTACGACTCACGAGGCATAGCCATACCCTTGTCCTTCGACCACAAACCACAGCAGGTGCGCGAGCGCAAGCGAATCCATGATGCCGGCGGTTTTATCGCCTTTCGCGGAGTCTGGCGTGTAGCTGGCGTGCTTGCCACATCTCGAGCTCTGGGAGACTATCCATTAAAAGTACGAAGCAAGCACTTATAGCGTTTTATGCTAAATGATTTTATTTTACAGGACAAGAATCTAGTCATAGCGAATCCTGACATATTGACATTTGAACTGAACGATCATAAGTAAGTAGTAAAGCCGTAAATGGGAGAGTTGCGCTTTCTCGTTCAGTTAGTTTTATTTTAAAACTTATTGGATTGTCATAAGTTTCGAATGAAAAAATGGACTAAATAAGACTTTGAAAGGCAAAACTCTCCCATAAACAAGAAAGTTATCCCTGAGACTAAAATAATTTCTGTTTGTATGATTATAGACCCAAGTTTTTGATACTTGCCTCCGATGGACTGTGGGACACTTTTAGCAATGAGGAGGCTTGTAGCTTTGTCAACGAACATTTGAAAGAGGCCGACTATGGTGCCAAGTCTCTGGCTATGGAATCGTATAAGCGTGGATCTGTGGACAACATTACCGTTTTGGTTATCGTATTCAAGAACGATGTTTATCGCATTGCCAGCTCCACAGGGAAAGTAGGGGATGCACCCGCCCGCACAGCTGTCCTGGCCAAGCCACCAACACCAGCTGCTGCCCCAGCCAACAATAACAAGATTGAACGCTCCAATTCAATCAAAGCCAAGTAAAGCTACCTTAGAGTAATACAAGTGCCTGGCATGTACTCTAAGCCCGTAGGATCCAGTTAAAGGAAAGAAAAGTGCCCAAATTTGTAGTAAATTGCAGCTGTGTGATTCATTTTTGTACTCACATTACTGTCACATCACCGTATCCATCCAACATACATACATATCTCATACGAGACAGAATCTCCGAAGAATATATGTGTTTTTTTCTTTCTTTTTGTTAGTTTTCTAAAAATTGTTTGCTATTTCAAATCACCGTGTGTTGCACAATTCGCTCATCACATCACAACTATTTATTTGTTATGGAAAATTTTCTAATTAATAAATGTGTTTACAATACCTTCAGGTGATTTCGAATAATTATTTTAATCAATTATTCCCAAGTGGAAAAGACGAAAAAGTGCAGAAATAATGTTTTTAAGTTTCGATAGCGGAGTCGAGTTCAGAAGAATTAAGCTAATTTTATTTAGAATTATTTTAATCAATTATCCGCAAGTAGAAAAGACGAAAAAGTGCGGAAATAATTTTTTCAAGCCTCGATAGTATAGTCGAATTTCGAATAATTAAGCTAATTTCGTTCAGAACTTAAAATTTTTAAAACTAACTCTTAATAAGCGAATTTTTGAAGCATATTTACTTGAACATTCTTTTCGTCCTGCAAATTATAATTTAACGTCCAATTTATTGAAAATGTAACTCTCCAGAAGCTCTTAGAGCGAATTTCAGAATATTTAAAAATCAATTGGATTCGAGACCGACAATACATTTGAGAGGACCCCACAACCATTAAAGATCTCTTTATGATCATTGTTTAAAAAAGGACGCTTTAATGTAAATAGTTTATTTTTTGTTTCTCGTAAACAAAGCAATTGGCGACCGATTTAGGATTTTACATTTCGTACATTATTATTGTAACTTATACAATCCATCTTAGTGCGCTGATACAGACACTTGCCAGACGCGAATGGTGTTGTCGGAGTAGCCGGCGAACAGAGTCTGGCCATCCGTAGACCAAGCCAAGGACAAGCATTGTGGCTGATCGGCCTTCGACGTGGGCGATACGACCTCGGGACGCAGCTCTTCAACGGTCTTCTTGCAGGCCAAGTCCCAGATCTTGATGGATGGGCCATAGGCGACGCACAGCCAGTAACGGTTGGGCGAGAAGCACAGAGCATTAATGATGTCGTTGTGCTCCAGAGTGTACAGGTTCTTGCCATCATTCAGATCCCACAGCAGAGCCTTGGCGTCCTTGCCACCGGACGTGCAGAGCGAACCATCGGGCGAGACGGTCACGGTGTTCAAGTAGCCGTTGTGGCCATGGTGGTTGTTCTTCAACTTGCAATTGGCCAAATTCCACACCTTGACGGTGCGATCCCAGCCACAGGACACAATAATAGGGTTCGAGTGGTTGGGCGAGAAACGCACGCAAGACACCCAGTCAGTGTGGCCATCCTCCTGGATGGTGAACTTGCATTCGGCCAAAGTGTTCCACAGCTTGATGGTCTTGTCGCGGGAGCCCGACACGATTTGACGGTTGTCGGCCGAGAAAGCCACGGAAAGCACATCCTATAAAGCCCAATAAAATCCATTATTAGCATATGACAGGAATTCCACAAAGAATTGTATCAGTTATATATTCATCTAAAAATAATGAACTCACTACTTACGGGTATTGTTCACGCAAGGAGTACGTAGACCCGTTGTCAACCAGAAATTCTGCCTCGCATAGGCGCAATAATTGATTTTTTAAGGTGTGGTACCTACTCTAAGGCTAGCCGTACTCTAAATACCCTTTCAACACACCATTTTCAATGCAATTCATTCAGTTTCATGGAAAATTCTTGGCCCTATGCTCAATATTAATAAACACTTGGAAACTTATCCCACCTTAGTGTGTCCCTCGAAGCGACGAGTGGTCTTGCCAGCAGCCAAATCCCACAGTCGCAGGGTCTGATCCCAGGAACCAGACAGAGCGTAGTTGCCATCGGAAGAGAGCACAACATCGCTAATGAAGTGAGAGTGGCCATACAGACGCTTCTGGGGATAGCCGTAGTTGGTATCCTCATCGCGGGTCAGCTTCCACACAATCAATGTCTTGTCTGCAATTAACTATTTTTATTAATTGATGCCACTACTTATATGCAGTAAGTGCTCCAGGATGGCAGGGATATATAACGATTTACCGTTGCCTATCTGTGCCACCTAACCTTAAAATAATGGATATAAGGTACTTGCCACGCGACGCCGAGATGATGGTATCAGGATCCTTGGGGTTAGTGGCAATTTGGGTGACCCAGCCATTGTGGCCGATCAGCGTGCCACGCAGTTGCAATGTCTCAGACATGGTTACAAATTAATCTATTTAATTAAACCGGAGCGCTGAGAAACACGTCCAAAGCGCTGCAAGGCTGGCAAAAAAAGAGGCCGTGGGTAATCGATAACACCAAAATGTACCGATATATGGCCAGTGTTGGTCCACAAATGAAGCCAAAATTGTTTTTCTGTGCTTTTGATCAAGATTGTGAAAAATACCTATTTTACTATGACGATGCTTTTAAATTACACGAAAAATTTTAATAAATAAAATAAAATGTGCAATCTGCAACTTAATTTGAACTGCTGGTGTGGAGTAACGATATTTGTCTATCGGTGACTAAGTCGCTGAAATTAATCGTAATAGACCGTGCAAGGTATTCACTACATTTATGTCAATATAATAATAAACATATGATGTATCTATAACCTACAGTCAATTGGAAACTTCATTTATTGATTATATCCTAAGATCAGTTATACAGATGTGTCTTTGTACTTTTCACTCTTTTTGTTTATTGAGCTTGTCGTTTTAAATCTAAAACGCAACATTGACATTTATAAAAATTAGTTATTATTAAACAATAGTTCGAGATACATAGAGCTAACTCGTGGTGAGTAAGGTGAACTCGAAGACAGGCGTAGTAAACGATAATTACTATTAGTGGGACCGTAGTATCAATCGATTAATACGGAATATCAGCATCGTTTTCGTTATCGTTTCAGTCTTTTCCTTCAATGTGCCGTCGTCGCCTCTGTGAGAAACTAAACGCGAGATATAATACTTTAACGAGCGGAATTTTGCTTCATTAATTTGAGCAAAATTGGACCAATTTAGTGTGGAACTGCAGGCGACGAATAACGCAGTTGAATAATTAATTTTTCTTCCCCCTGTCGTAAAAAAAGCCATCAAAATTGAATCGACAAAGATTGACGAGTCTTTTCCTTCCACCACAACTGCGATGGAGGATAAAGCAACAACAAAAGATCTTGATCAATGGATTGAGCAGTTGAATGAATGCAATCAGTTGACAGAAACACAAGTCCGCACTCTGTGCGATAAGGTAGGAGTCGTCGATTTTCCTAATATTTAAAAATAATTTTCATCATCATCTCGACCAAAATTTGCAAATGGTGCATGCCTCTCTGTCTGCACCTCTCTCACACACGGTAAGCACTTGATTATGAATCATGACGCACTGCTTGCACAGTCAGAGGCAGCGGCGGCGGCTTTGCGTCGCCATATTGGAATATTGGTAAATTCCAACAGCCAAGCGGCCGCTATATGCGCCATAAGTGTAAGAAAGACGGCTGGTGCATTATGCGCGAGCGTGAACGCGACAAGTAGATGTGTACTTGGGCCAAACCTGGGCGAAGAGAAATACAACCGACTACACACATTTATGAATTTCTTTTATGTATCGCAGAGTTTGTTTAGTTAATGATAGTAACGCACTCTCACACACTTGACAATAATTGCTGCTGCACTTTGAAAAGTAGCAACAGCCTTGTGACTTCCCTGCCTCTTCCCAGCAGGCGTCTTCAAGAGCATTTCGTCTGCATCAAATATTACTTAATGATATGTTGTTGTGTGTTGGTGTACTGTCTAGAATCATGCCTATGTATGTATCTAAGTATATACAAATGTACATAATATATATATGCACACATACGCACGATATCTATATTAGCCCCGCTGGGTGTGCGAGTGTGGGTGTTGTGTTTTTCCATAATATTGGTTTGATAAATTAATTAAATTCACACCAGAGCCCCAAAATCAATTGTTTCCAATTTGTTATTATTCTTATTTTCTTTGTTGTTGTGCTGCGAGTGTGCGTATGTACACACTTGCCAACAATTTGGTCAATGATTTAGAGTATAAGAAGTAGGGTTATGTTTGCGTCACCCAAATATTGTGTGTGCCTATATTTAATGGGCCGCTGCCGTCCGATGCGTCTGGTCAAGCGTTGATGTTTCTCTTCACTCCCGCCTCAGGGTGCTGGCTGGCGGATTCATGCGTTTGTATTTGTTCTTCATCAGCCTCGTGATTCGAAATCGGTGTGCCAAAAAAAAAACAATAAAGAAAAAAGAACAAATTTAGCACGCCAAAACTAAAGCAGGAAACATAAAGCAAGGTAACACACTGAAGCATTTAATTGCTGTATGTAAATCTTAGTGCGTTTTAATTTTTCTGTCTACCGGTACCACATTCAACCGGAACTCTTTGTCATCATGCCTGCCTCATCATCATTATTCAACATCATTATTGGCTTCTTCAATTGTGTGTGACTAATGATAATTATTTTTCGTTTTACAGGCTAAAGAAATCCTATCGAAGGAATCCAATGTGCAGGAGGTGAAATGTCCGGTCACAGTCTGCGGCGATGTGCATGGTCAGTTCCACGATCTAATGGAACTGTTCCGGATAGGCGGCAAATCCCCTGATACGAACTACTTGTTCATGGGTGATTATGTGGATCGTGGCTACTATTCTGTAGAGACGGTCACATTGCTGGTGGCGCTCAAGGTGCGCTATCGTGAGCGTATCACCATTTTGCGGGGCAATCACGAATCGCGCCAGATCACACAGGTCTATGGATTTTATGATGAGTGTCTGCGCAAGTACGGCAATGCCAATGTGTGGAAGTATTTCACCGATTTGTTCGACTACTTGCCATTGACTGCTCTGGTCGATAGTCAGATCTTCTGTCTACATGGCGGCTTAAGTCCCTCGATCGACAGTCTGGATCATATTCGCGCTCTAGACCGCTTACAGGAGGTACCACACGAAGGTCCCATGTGCGACCTGCTTTGGTCTGATCCCGATGATAGGGGTGGCTGGGGCATTTCCCCCCGTGGCGCTGGATACACATTTGGACAGGTGAGTAGACTTGGAATCGTAACTTGTGAACATAGTGTTCATTTATTGTATGATGTGCCCTTCTACGCAGGACATTTCGGAAACCTTTAACAACACAAACGGCCTGACTTTGGTCTCGCGTGCACATCAACTGGTTATGGAGGGCTATAATTGGTGCCATGACCGAAATGTTGTCACAATTTTCTCAGCGCCAAACTATTGCTACAGATGTGGTAACCAAGCGGCTCTCATGGAACTGGATGATTCACTTAAATTTTCATTGTGAGTATTGCAGCCCATTTGTTGTTATTGTTCTAAAGTGCATTATATGAACATTTCACGTGCCAATGAATGTACGTGATAATATAGTTCTATGAATGCTACTTTAAACAAAGTATCATAATAAACATTTCATGATCAAATCAATTCGATGCTACATTGTTTATATAAGTTGCAATGCCTAAACTGTGTTAAATTACGCAACTATTACGAATATTTCGTAAATATCGTTAGAATTTCTATGGTGATAAGACCCTGCATTACAATATTACTCATTGATTCAATTTAATTGTAATTCCTTTAGTTTGTTATTTTAAGCGATTTAATTTGTTTGCTTAAGTGAATTATAAAAAGGTCGATATTTTGATCGGAAAATTGGGATCATGAAAAACATGCTTAAAGAACTTAGTAAAGTTTTAGTTGGTTATTAATTGAATTTCATCTCTCCACTTTCAGCCTACAATTTGATCCAGCACCGCGGCGCGGCGAGCCTCACGTCACTCGAAGAACACCAGATTATTTCCTCTAAGCTGGATGAGGCTTACGTTTGCGGCTTACATTCACACACACATATTACATCGCATAATAACAAGAAGAAAGTCTATAAAAAGAAACAAGAAATAAAAATAAAAACGGTAACAATAACAAACAAATGGCATGCAGTTAAACAATATATATGTAAAGTATTCACGCTACAAGAAGCAGTAATACAAGAACTACAACTACAAACAAAAACAAAAAAGAAATTGACCCTAAATGTAGGTATTGTTGCATGTGTTTAGCCAACACGAGTACAGAAGTACAGCTGCCGGTAAAATTTTTATAAACAAAAACAATACGAACAAGTGGAATAAGAGAAAAATATCTATGTATGTATTTGAAGAAAATGCATTCAATGCATTGATTTGAGGCAGTAATTTATGCTTGGACGCTTAGTTCTGTTAGAGGGAGGGGGTGAAAAGAACAGCAGCAGGGGCAGCAGCAGTATACAATCCAATCATCCACACACCAAGCAACCAACAAACAAATACAAACCTTAGCTAAATTTGTTAATTTATATAAAAACAAAAAATAAAAAGAAAATAACTAACTAGAAACTGCAAGAATGATTATCCATGTGTGGCGGCATCAAAAGTTCTGAATGCGTAAGCGGCATGTGGGCAGCGGACGAGCAGGAGCAACAAATAAAGATCAGCAAAGGGGGGAGACGTACGTGTAGGCACGGAATGCGATTCAGCGATGGAAATGCAGCGGGCGGGGGAGATTTAAAGGATATACAAAAAGTTTAATATTACTGATAACTGAATAAAATTTACAAAACAAAAACAAAAAAAAAACATGCGAAATTATACAAAAACGATAAAAATGCATTATAAATTAAGTTCATATGTAACTTTAATAATAATAAAAGAAAAAAAAAAAAAAAACAAACAAAAGCTAAACGTATCTATGTGGATGAACAAAAAATCAACCCGAAACAGTGCAGAATATTTTTAGCAGTTTAACAACACAATAACTCGTAAGAAATCAAAACAAGCCGACCACCAGTAACTAACGCTCAGACAGATAAAGAGAGGAGAGAGAGAGAAGGAGAGGGCGCTCTCTCGACAAAAGAGAGCGACGCAAAGGGTGCTCTCTTATATGCTGGCTAAAGAGTCGCTTACTTTTATTGTACTGTGAAGCTGGCAATGCCATTATTAAGTTGGGCAAACAACAATGCGGAAGGAACAACACTGCATCGCCAATTGGGATCTGTGCAGCATGAAATTGCGTGCGTGTTTGTGTGTGTGAGCCGTATGAAAATCCTGGACGTTATCTTTATAATCAACATCAAAGCTTACTGCGCAAATACTATTTTTTTACAACCTTAGTCTCATTAGGCGCACTAAATTTGAGGTAAGCAGAAGACGAACGCAAATCACAATTTGGCTAAAGTTGGGAGCTGGGATTGTGTGTGTGTGTTTTCATATGTTTCCTTGTATGTATGTTGTATGTGTGTGTGTACATGCATATATGCGTATGTATGTTTGTATGTGTGTGCAATGCGTAAATTCAAATTTCAAAACATGCTAAACCCTCAAGTACCCAAACACACAGCAAAGTCTCATCTATCATGCCCCAATGAAAGGGAGGTAATTGTCGCTGGCTGGCGGGGGTGTGTGGGGGATGCTGCTGGCATTGGCTGCTGCTGCTGCTGTGTGAATGAGCGAGTGTTGGGTAGTGGATAGGTGGGTGGGTGGCTGGGAAGGGGAGGGGGGTGTACGAGTATGTCGGTTGGGGCTGCTTGGGGGCCACAGTCAAGCAGGCAGCAGATTGTATTTGTCGTGTCGGCAAGCGACGGCGACGGCGTATGCGACATGGAAAATCCATTATCACGAAGTGAATTTTTACTGAAAAATTTACATAACCGTACCGAACAAACACACACACACATACACACAGATATGTACGCAGACATATAAATGTGAAAATAAATCCTGAGTGCGTGTCTTTGTGGCGGCTGCTGCGCACTTTTACATAAACATAGAGATGTCGACATCAGCGACTTACAAACACACACACACACACACACATACATGCGAACAAACAAACACACGCACACAGAGACACTTGTGCAGCCACAGCAAATACATCTCTATTTGATAGGTGAAATTTTGTATGCTAAGTTGCATTGTATTTAATTAAAGGCATAAATTCAAACGGTCGGTGCCATCAATCCTATATATGCCCAGATAGATACCGTTACCTAAAATAGGCATAAAAACAAAAGTGGAGAGACGGAGACGACCCCTAAACCCAGCCCAACCCACAACAACCCAATCCAGACCAAAGCATTGGAGCCAAGCGAAAGAGAAAAAAATATTAAAAATTTAAATGAACTGCTCGCTTTTTACGATTTTGTCCTTAGTTTACGGCGGTTTATGATGCACGGCTCAGCTTTTGGCTGCCTAAACAAACGTTTTGTAATTTTATGACCCAGGATGAATGCTTTTGGCATGGGCCAGTAGTGGAGGCGTTGCTGATGAGCGCGTGATTCAATTTTCTGTAATATACGGCCTCGTTTCGCCCTCCCACTCCGCTGGAATCCGAAATCGTAAGTTGCTTTGAAATCGCTTCAGAATCACTTTTGATTTCATTTAAATGGACAAACGGTTGAAATAATCATCCTGCCTATATCTATCAATGCCTCTAACATTCTATCCTAACAGTCTATTGAGATCCTCTGTGTTTTTGACTTACTGCAGAGGCTAGTCTCAAATAAACAATTACAAGCTGATATATTTTTAAGTGGAATTAAATTATGCGCACTCTTAACTTTTTACAGGCAGTTTTTGATTTATAATTTTGAATTATTAATTAATATAAATATTGTTTAATCTCATACAACTATCTAAAGAGACAACCATAAAACATTTCCTTTCTACTTCTATAACTATCAGTATATTTTATTTGGGCATAGCTGGTCAAATGGCAAATAAAATTCCCCCCAACGGGTCGGAGGCATAAATAGAAGTTGAAATTATAACGTTGTATTATTAAATATCTTTATTTTATTTTATAATATTATATTATAATATAAATCATAGTTTTTTTATATATAACGACAGCACTATTTGTTGATTTACTAAATAAATAAATATATTTAATATGTATTTTTATTTTGTGCTTATAAATTTTTATTATCTCTTATTACACTCTATCTATCAATCCTTTAACTTTTCTGTTATTATGTTTTTTTTTACCTTTTGGAGTTTGGATATATAAATCTTTTATATTTTCCCCCTTTTTATTTTATTATACATATGCGTTAATCTTTCTCTCAAGTCCTATACTTATGTATTTCTATCTACCACTTATCAATTATATACAAGTATCTATCACCTATTATTACTTATCTATTCATCATCTTGCTACCGTCTATCTTATATTAACTATCATCTACTTATCAAATATACTTACCTCATATTTCTATCATATTTCTATCTATTTAGTTTATTCGTTATATTTTCTTTTTGTATGGTTTTATTATTATGAAATACTGTTGACCATGGGATTTTACACGATAGAATCACGCACGCTTCTCATAACAATACTCTAGTAGGGGAACTGTCAGTGTGGGCGGTGGGCGGTGTGGTGGGAGTGGCTGTGAGTTGTGGGACTGGGACTGGTTTATGCCGCACACATTTGATGCCTGCAAGTATCTTTTACGATGCAAATTTGTTGCTATAAAATTGAAGAGTAGCTATAGCGGTGGTGCCTAAATAAACTTTGCAGACTCGTACAATGATGATGATGAGCCTGAGTTGCTCGTTGGTTGCTGCTTGATGATGGTCCTGATGTTTTTGTTGTTGTCAGCCAGCCAGCCTGACTGCCTGCCGCCTGCCTGCCTGCCACGTGCCTTTGCGAATGTGTAAGGTTGAAAGGTCAGGCGTGGGTAGCGCTTCCTTGAGATTTTTGCCCATTTTCTAAGGAATCTGTCCCAGCGCAAATCAACAAAAATCGATTGAATTGTCAATCGTTGTCTTTGTCCCCAAACGTCCATACAATCGTACTAAATACGTCAGTTGATAAGAGTTGTTGTTGTTGCTCCTCGTTCCTTTTTATATATACATATATATAGTATGTATGTATATACATATGTAGTGTGTGTGTGTTTGTGGGGAAAGTTTTTTTTTGTAAGTCCCTGACGAGTCGGCCTTCCATGTTCCTTGTTCCATGTTCTTCTCTTTTATACTTATATTTAAATTTTGGCTGTGTTGTAAATGCTTTTTGTTTTTACTTTGTGCGAAATTGTTGTTGTCATTCTTATTGTTGCTGCTGTTCTTGTTGTTGTTGTTGTTGTACGTTTTGGCCCTTTTGCTGCGGGCATTGACTGACTTCCGTTATGTGGTGTTCTTCGTCGCCATTGTTGTTGTTGTTCCTGCCGCTGCCTGCTGCTGATGCCACTTCCTTTGTGCGTGTTCGCTTCTGTACGTTTTCTATTCTCGCTTCCTTCCTTCCTTTCTCATCTATAGCTACTTCGTCTTCTGCTTCTGCTTCTTCTTTTTCTTCTACTTTTACATTTTTATTTCGTAGTGAATTTGGTTGTCTCGCACGTGAGCCGCATAATGAAATTTCAGAACCGACGGAACCGTGTGACCACTCCCTATCCTACATATTGTATCCTGCTGGATGCCAACACTCCAACCCCCAATCCCATACCCAATTCCAACACCCCCCCGACCACAACGACGCCAACCAGCAGCAGTTGGGCAACTGCTTAGCCTAATCCCATTGCCTTTTAAAGAGCAACATTTGCTGGCACATTGTTAAGGACTCGTATGTATGGCTCAACGTTTTGTTGCCACCATTTAATGTTCAATCTCAGTTGCCGCTTTACGATACTTTAGGTTTTGTTGCTTTGGCTTCGTTGTTTTCTTGCTTTGCCCAAAGTCGATATGCAACTAATTTGCATGCGCGCCTAAAAGGTGACAACAAAAATGTTCAATGTGGCAAAAAACAAGACACTCCTCCGACCCCCCATTTTCCCCATTTCCAGTTTCAACTGTAACTGTAACTGCAGACCTTTGGGCTGCCGCTTGTCTGCTTGCAGCTGTCCCCCCCCCCCCCCCCCTTTCCTCCCATTCATCCCCAACCCACACACACACACACACACACACCTACACCGTTTCACACTTTCGGCTTTACAAGAGTCAAAGTCTCAGCCTCAGTCTCTGTGCCAGACCAGAGTCAGAGCTGCTCGCTGTGCTTTCAAGTAGAAAATTACTTTCGCAGCTTTATGATGCGGAAATTATATGAAAATCATGGCGAATTTCCTTTACAAGAATGTGACTCTGACTCGACTCGACTCGCTTGGTCGGCGCGCCCAGTCGGCTCGACCATTCTACCGCTCTATCTACATATGCATCATGCATATAGGCAAGTGTCTTTAAAAGGAATTCGAAGCGCATCCAACATATAATGAACGAAAGCTCCACAGTTAGCCACAAACTTAACTTCTCATGACTTTGCTAATGAAGGAGGTATTGAGAATGCAATCGAAACATTTATTATACAAGGAAGGGAAAGGAGTTATCTAAGCGTTATATTTAAATTCCAAGCTCATTCTTTAGAGACATACGATGAGCTCATCGAATGAACTAAACATAACATAACCTTAAATGAGCTCCAGGTGTTAAGAAGCAGAGAAATTTGTTTGTATTTACGAAGTAATGATATGTTATCTATCGAATGAAGAGAATGAAGAAGGAAAAGACAAAGTTGAATCATGAGAGGACGTCAAGCATAAATGTCTAGGGAGGATTGGCAGAAACAAGCATGCACATTCGCGCTTGATGATGAGCCGAAGAAATCCTCAAAGGAATTGTTACGAATAGAGTCGAACAGACCATGATGGTTGCAAGGTGTTAGAGAAGACAAATAGGTTTATGACTAAATAAACTTGCTGGCTAGTGGATAGAGATGTTCAGTAGAAAACATTTCGTTATAGAGATGCCTTACTGATGATGAGCCGAAGAAATTCTCCTAGGAATAGTTATGAATAGAGTCGAGTAGAGTGCAGAGAGCTTACGACTAAAGAAATTTACTGGCTAATAGATAGAGATGTTCAGAAGAAAACAGGGCTGTCTTACTGATGATGAGCCGAAGAAATCGCTATAGGAATAGTTATGAATAGAGTCCAGCAGATCATGATGGTTGCAGTGTCAACAGAGCTTATGACTAAGGAAACTTATAGGCTAATGAATATAGATGTTCAGTAAAAAAAAACAGTTCGTTATAGAGAGGTCTTACAGATGATGAGCCGAAGAAGTCCCTATAGGAATAGTTATGAATAGAGTCGAGCAGAGTGCAGAGAGTTTACGACTAAAGAAATTTACTGGCTAATGGATAGAGATGTTCAGTAGAAAACAGTTCGTTATGATTAACTGATGATGAGCCCAAGAAATCCCCATAGGAATAGTTGTGAATAGAGTCCAGCAGAAGGTTGCAGAGTGTCAATAGAGCTTATGACTAAGGAAACTTGTTGGCTTATAGATAGAGATGTTCAGTAAAAAAAAAAAACATTTCATTATAGAGAAGCCTAACTGATGATGAGCCGAAGAAATCGCCATAGGAATAGTTATGAATAGAGTCGAGCAGAGTGCAGAGTGTCAATAGCGCTTATGATGAATAAAGATGTTCAGTAAAAAAAGCAGTTCGTTATAGGGATACTTTACTGCAATTGCTTCAATCTGTGCAGTAGCGTCGTTATCTCCGCGCCCGATCAACAGCGTAAAACTCAATAAGGCAGCCAGGACTACGCCTCTGTTTTCAAATGCCGCATAATGAAACGGGCTTAGCAGCGGGAAGGCAGGCAGGCAGTCATGGTTTGAAGGCATGGGGAGGGGCACAGGCACAGTCACAGGCACGGCAATAGCGACGCCATTGGAATGCGGCGTTGACAACGTGTGGCTGCCACAACAGCAACGGCAACAGCAATGGCAGCTGCTGACTGGCTCCATTTCCATTTGAATTAGCATAAAACGAGGCGGCTTACGTCTGTCTATTGTGGGGCTGTGTATTTGCTAGAGTGTATAGGTATGTAGGTGTAAGTGTGTGTGTGTGTGTATATATATCTGTGTGTGTGTGTGCTATAGAGCTATGTCAGATATCATCTGTTGCTGCTGCTGCTGCTGCCGCTGCTTCCATAGCTGCTGTTGCCGCCGTGTGGCAACAACAACGACGGCGACTTCGTTATCTTTTTAACTTGGCGCTGTCGTTTATTTAACTGATAATGATTTGATGGCAGTTGGCTAAGCTTTTAACAAAGCCCCGGCTCCAAGCACACGCCCCCTCTTCTTGGCTGCCCAACTCCTCAACAGCCATTGCTGAGGTCAATTACACGCTTTCGATTAAATTTGCAGCTGCCTGCCAGTTTCTCTTGCTTTGGCGCTCACTTTGTTGACAACGAGCAGCTGCCCGGGCAGCTGGCAGACTGGCAGACTGGCTCCCCCACATCTCTGCCCCATCTCCCAGTTGGCTGCCATCACACGCTGCCACACACATGTCTAGGTATGTGCCACAAATAAAGTTGAATTATTATTTTTATTTTGCTCATAGATGCTGTGACTGTGTCTGCGCTTCGCTTTGGGGTTGGGGTTGGGTCTGGGGCTGGGGTTGGGGTTGGAGTTTGGTGCGTGCCTGGCATCCACAAGTGTTGCTGTTACATATTGTTGTTCCCACTGCTTTGTTGTTGTTGCTATTATTGTTGTTCACCAAGTTTGTCAGCTAACTGCTCTGACCATATCGTTCACTTGCCAAATGAGTTAGCAACTTTTCAAATTTCACTCAAAACAACTGAGGAATGTGAGCAAAACGGGGACAAAAAGAAAATAATAGAATTTCCGTTTACTGGTCATGCTTCCTGAACAACAAACAGCACAGTGTTGTTGTTGCTGTTGTTGTGGGAGACAACTTAGTGGCATAAACAATGTGTGGTATACTTTATAGCTAATTTTATCAATACCTTTAGTTTGATATATGATTGGCCGTTTTTTGTATATATATTTTTTTAAAGAACCTTCCGTGATTGGACAACTATTATATTTCAACAATTTGTATGAGTTAATCGAAAGTGATTTAAAGTTGTTCCAATTTCGACAGCAGGGAGGGAGGGAGAGCCAGCCAAGCCAGCCAGGCTGGAGCAGATCCATTATCTAAAAATTCCTAAGTTTAGCAAGAACAGTGGCTGGAATGCTGTGTCATCTACCTAAAGGACTTCAAAATCCCCGTTACTGTTTTTTTAAAAACTGCGCAGACAAGAAAGAACTTGAATCCATCAGTAGTTTTCTTTCCTCCATCACTTGGGGGGGATTGTTCTTGTTCTGTAAATAAATATTATACTGTTTTGGCCCGGAACTCAAATATGGGGGACCTGCATGCGGCCTGTGTTCCTTTATTATTAGTTTTATGTGTACAATGGATATTTGGTTTAGTTATTATTCGTGTCTGAAACGTCTGAGATGAAACGGTTTTAAGGTATTTTGTTAGTCAATTTTCACAAATTTTAAAAATACAAGCAATGAATCCAACATTCCCTGGATGGTCAGCGTATCCCATCCTATCTAAACTAGGAAGTTACTTGCAAAATATTGGATAATGCAGCATTGTAAAATACTTGGCCTCTCCAGGGGCGTACGCAGCTTTAGCCAAAGGGAGGGGCCAAAACAATTAAAATGTTGATTATAAATTTATAATAATTTATACATATGATCAACAGAAAAACTTCAACAAATCCAATTCAGTTATATTTTAAGGCGAAATAGTCGACTTTAGATTGCGAAATTTGTTTTAAAAGATGATGACCCCCTCTGCCCCTCCTGCATACACCCTTGCACCTTTCCACTAAGATATTTGCAGCCGCCAGACCGGACCATTCAGCTGCAGTCGATGTTTCTTTCTTTAAGGACCTCACCTCTAAAAGAAACATGTATGTTTCAGGGTGGACCCCAACGGACACCCAGTGCCTAACCTGTTATACAAAAACCGTTTAACAACTTGCAAATTCGAAACCAATCGCTACATTTTCTCAAGTACTTTGCAATAAACTTAGACAGTTTTTGGTTCATCCTCTCATAGAAATGTGGAAAAGTTGTGGGCTCATGGCTTCAATGATGTTGTTGTTAGTGGCATTCTTTTTACATAACTTACTATATTCCAGCTCTTTTCAACATTTTCACTTTAATTTTTTATTGCTTGCTAGCAGCATTTTATTTTCTTTCAAAACAAATTCGGAATGTGAAAAAGTTGAGTGGAGATACAAAAAAGGAAAATCGAACTGTGCCTTCCCCTCTGCACGCCATGAGCGATCCAATTTCCGGCACCTTGCCCCGATTCGTGTACAACAGCCTGCTGCTTGGCAGTGCCAGCTATGCGGCTTGGTGCATCGACTCGGATACATATCCTTGCGCCTTTGCTGCCTGCGTAGTGGGCGGGGTCTCAGCACTGGTGGGAATATTGCGCGCCCTTTTCGGCTCCGGGCAGGCGGAGGAGTATCGCAAGCTGCGCGACGTAAACAGTGGAGTATTGGAGCTGGTGCCACTGCCTCTGGTCAATATTGATCTCTATGCTGAGTCGCAGGGTATGGGTGCCTTGGCCCTGGGCCATTGTGTGTTCGTAGTGGCATTATCCTTCGACTTGGGCTGTTCGCTGGCAAAGGATAGAAAGGACTGTGATATCAGTGAAATGTTGCGCGATCTCACCGTCATGGGCAATATTATATCTCTGGGATTTTTGGCATTTATGGAACGAAATTTTATCTATGTGCGTATGGCGCTGATCATGGGGGTCATGAAGTATGGTTCGCTGTTCGTGGATAGCATTCACGAAGGCGTTGGCGAGGACTTGCAGGTGCTGGGCACAGCCATTTTTCTATACTGGACGGCCAAGGCGTTTAATGCGGACCTCACCGACTAACCGCCTTAAGTTCAAGCGAGTTAAGTGTGCTCATGTCCTGTGGTTATTCTAACTCAAACTCCCTTCCTTGTTTCAACTTCGAAAAGGTTTTGTATTTCGGCCGCACACTCACACAATTTTTCCACTGAAATTCAACGTGTATTGTATTAAATTTCATTTGAGTGGCTTTTCAATTGCTGTGCATGTTCTGAGTAATTGCAACATGGCCTCAGTCTCTGTCTGCAGCACCTCGTACTCCCATCCAGCTGGAGTAACTTTTGTGGCTTCGCGGGTGTGTCATACAGATAGAGACATTGAGGATTATTGTTGGCTTGGTTCGGTTTGTTTAATTATTGCAACTGGCAAAATGACAACTCTAATTGGAAACAGAACAAATTTTAATGAGTGCATGCATATATGTATATACTCCTATATATATGTGTACATATATTTATCTATGTATGTACATATATGTAATTTTTTTCGCTGCTTCACTTTCCATTGCAGGGCAGCGGGAAAAGCTCCCTAGTACACTCATTTCGCTTTATTCAACTTGACAAGTGAAGTGAGTGTGAAAATTTTTTAGGTCATTCACATAAACACAAACACACACCCACACCCACTAGCACATGCTCATGTGTGAGTGTGTGTGTGTGTGTTTGTCGGGATATGCCAGTGGACGTTGGCTTCAACACCTGGAAAAAAGTGTTCGAATCCTTTGCTGTTCTCCCATCTATGGGGGGAAATTGCTGCAGAATTTATTTCCGCAGCCTGATGAAAAATTGAAAATAATTTGCGAGCCATAATTAAAAAGAGGCAACGACAAATAGTAAAATAAAGTCAAAGAGGGAGCTAGTGCTATAGTGTGGGGGACGAACTCCCACCTCCGCCCACACCCCTGCCATCATATATTAAGACGCAAGAAAGGGGCAGTCCCTAGAGTGCCTGACCAGACGTAAGGAGGGCGCCCATATTTTTTAAGGAAAATGTTTGTGGTCGATAGCTGAGTTGATAAAATGCTTTCCCAAGGGCTCTGGGTTTTTGCCTTTGCACAAATAACTATAAGGCGGACGTCACGGCAAGGCTCGCAGTGGTCGATGTATTAAGAAAAGAAAAATTTATGCATTCAAGTTTTAAATTCTTTCCCACATTCACGTCCCAAACTTAAAGGTATCTTTTTGTTGTGCTAAATATGCATACAATAGGGAGGAGGGGTCTATGGTTAATGGTTAATGGTAGTTCTCTTCGTAAACTGGAAAATCTACATATTATTCGATTAAGGACCATTTATCAAATCTATTGTAATCCAATAAGACTAATCGTAGTTTTAGTTGCATTTGCATTTAGTTCTAAGTTTAGTTTTCTGAAATATTAATCCAGCTATGATAATTCTGCGGAACTCTCAACTGATGACCTATTTTGTTCAAGTTGTAAAATCTGGAATCTATAGTTAAATGTTCTTAAATCAAATTTGAGGAGTATAGTCACTAGTCTCAGAAATATAGTTTTTAAAAAACCTTTGAAGGTATATACAACTAATTCTTTTTGTACACGGTAGATTGGTTCCAAAAAAGGACATGTAGAAAAACCGTGTAAAATAGACATTGATCAAATGTTATTTTAAATCGTGCTAAATGGAATAAAGTCCTGCAACCATATATCAAATTTCTAATTTTCAAACAGTGTTAAATCAAAACCACGTACAAACAGAATTAGCTGTATAATATCCTTAAGCTGGTTAATATTTTCACAAATCAAGTACCATCATTCACATTCACATTCACATACCATCATTCACATCATTCACATTCACATCTCTTGCTTGTTAAGCCGGTTTTCTACAACCCGCAGGACTTCTAAGATAATTTTTTTGTGTTTCCCTACGGGTTTATTTCTGCTAATATATATGTCCTGTGTTAGACTTATAGTTCGTGCTGCCTCTCTAAGGCTTCTTATTTTGTAAGCGACAGATGTGTGATGTTGGGTCTCTATTAATTTATTTTTATAGATAGGTTCTACTATGTTCAGACGTACGCTTGTAAAATAATTAAAAATGTTTTTTATTAAAATCAAATCAAAACTGTGACAAAAATACTTTAATTAATTTCAAAATATATAAGTATTGTTCGTTTTGTATTGTCAATCATAATAAATATTGTTTAAAGCTTGTTTTAGTACCGATTCTGTTTGATTTATTATAAATCAGTAGTTAGTAAGGAATAATTACAAAATACATACCTGGGTAGAGACCATAGCTTGTTTAGAAATCAAGTGCTTATAGTACGTATTGGAAACCAGTTGGGAATTTTAGCAAACTGTAATAAAAAACAGCATACCTCACGAATACTGAGAGCAGCATGAGACCCGGCGAAATATAGATTTTATAGATTTGTTCATAATAATGTTGATATTAGTCCGTTTGGCTGAATTGATATAAAATTTATTGTTCATACTTATGAGACTATAAGTGTTGGTATACGATTTTCGGGCATTGATTGATTATGATTGGGATTGTAAAATTGAGTACGTTTTTGGATAAAATTTTTACTATGTAGGCTGTAGAAAATCCGTTCATCTGTGAGTATTACTTAGTCAGGATAATATTTGCTGCTTGAGAAATTGTTTCTAAACTGTGATAGCTTCCACTATGCTTGGGGATATTCACGATAATGTTCTATATACTCGTATATTTTTTTGGGGTATTTCTTAGGCGACTCCCACATTGGAGGGAGCAGGTCATAAACAATCCATAGACGCTTTCGATTTTGCGTCAATTGGCAACATATGGCGAACACTGCTGCAGTCAATGTCTGCAACTTGAAGGCGTTGGGCGGGCACACGCACACACACACACGCACACACGCGAGACACACACATGCACATCCTTAGCAGTAGAATTGTGAGCATCAGATGGAAGGAAGAAAGAAGCGGCATGGTGGGCGGGGCAGAACATTTGCATTTGTGACTGCGAATGCGAAATGCGAAAATTTAAAGTTTTCCTGATAAGAGGGTTGTAAAAAATTGCGACGTTGCGATGCCGTTACATGAAAAGGGCGGCAGACAAAGAAAAATCGCTAACAACTGCGTCACAGCAGGAGGGCGAAGGTGGGGGTGAGGATGAGGGTGAGGGTGGGGGTGGGGGTGGGGGTGGTGTCGTCGATTGTGCTCTCAGCACTGCCAGAAGGTGCCAACACATTTTATTGTGTACACACATACTCGGTTATACTTATATATATAGTAGTATAGTATAAGGGACTGACTTACAGGGGGTAGTGGTTGGCTCGAGGCATGACAGTTGGATATACTTGTATCTATAAAATGTCAACTTTATTTGCGCAATTTCCCCAATTCTATGCCCACTTCCCACTTCCCATACCCCAAAACCCATTCCCCTGCAACTTGCAATAAAACCAGCTGTCAATTTGTTTATATTATAAAAAATAATTAGTCTGTATTTGTTGTTGTTCTTGCTTTTTTTTTCGTTTTGTTTCGTTTCGTTTAGTTTTCTCGCTGAAGTCGACGACATATGTTTTTGTTGCATATAAAGAATTTGAATTCGTGTAGTTGCTTGTGATTATGTTTAAACTTTAAAGTATAGCTTGGTGATTACTACGATAAGTGGAATGCATAGCTGCTGTTATACAAATACAAATACGAATACATAAATGCAATATCGTGTGTATGTGTGGGTGTAATGCGACTAAAAGGCCATAATGAACGCATATGCATGTGTTGTGATTAATGTAATAAAATCGCTCGTAGGTGAATTAAATGAAAAAGTACATTTTTGATAAATTTTTTTGTTTTGCGAATTTGACTATTCATTTGATTAATAAGTACATAAAACATAATGAATAATATATAAAATGGCAAGCATGGCATGGCCGATGCTTTTGTGCGCTTCACCAGGACCAGGATTCCATGATCGAACGAGTTGAAATCTTCGACTGCACCTTTTCACCAAGTGTTGGTTGATTTGCCAATTTGTGCATAATTGTATGTTTTAAACGTTCATTATGTTTCAAATCGTGGAATCATGAATGAACCCTCTAGTCTTCAAATCCAACTCAGGAGCCAACTTGAAGTCAGCCTCTCAAAATATTGCATAGCATACCTTGAGGCGTCTTTGAAATGCAACTCCTTGGCTTCGCGCACCCTTTTCGCTGATATTTTGTAGTATATTGTATATTTGTGTGTATATATATAATATGTATAAGTGTATTAGTATTTGCATAATTCTTAAAAATGTTCGTTCCTCGTTCTTATATATTATATCTCTGATAAATATATATATGTGTGTATATATATATATATAGATATCTGTTGAATTTTTTTGTAACATAGTTTATTTAGGCAAAAATGGCAACAAAATTGTATGTTTAACATTTGTCTACTCAAAAACCGTTTATAGTCTGTTGTTGTTCTTCATATTAATATTCTTGCTTAAGTTTTTGTTTTTGGGTTGTTTTTGTTGTTGTTAGTTTAGTAGTAGAAATACGCTCCATCAATACGCTCACCAGCAATATGCATATAATATAATAACTTTAGCTAACTAACAATTAATTTAAACATTTTGTAACTTATAATTGGCAATAAAGTGTTTGAATAAGCAAACATTTAACATTTAGCGTACAAGAATTTTGGGTCGCAACCCAAAATAAAAATTCGAAACAATAAATATCATAGCTTTTCATACACATGTACACACATATGTGTGTATATATAGTATTTTAATATGTATTATGTATATAGATATATATATATGTCTCTCTCTCTGCACTGGTCTAAAGTCGGTCGTAGTGATTGTGACTGTGTGATTATTAATTATTAATTATGTTTATTATATATGCGTAATTATTTTATCGGTTCATTATGCTAGCATATGTATGGCAACTTAAGATACTTTTAAAGCCCCTTTGAACTTATGCGTGTACATACATCTATATATGTACGAATATATGTATGTATGTATATATACTTGTAAGTGAGTGAGTGAGTGATTGTGTGAGTGTAATTGTGAGTGTATTTAATGCATCATAGTTAGGTAGTTGGGTTAGTTAGTTAAAGTACATAGTTTAAAATTGCTGGGCATGGTGCCTAGTAAAAGATAATCAGTCGCTGTTTAAAAACCACACCAAAAGCTGCCATTACGACTCTTATTCGAATCCGTCTGTATTTTAGGGCTTTTGATGTCTATAAAAGGCCAAGTTCCAAAAGTTTATATTGTAATTATTTGATGTGAAATTCGTGTTACATACAACTAGCTGGAGAGCTAGTTTGATGTTAGAGCTTGAGCTGCAGATATTTTAAGAATAGGTTGTATTGTCTATTGTTTTAATAATGTCCGGGGGAGAGCAAATCATTGAAAGACGACATCAATAGCCCTAAAATAAAGGTTTTTTAAATGTGTGCGCATTTCGTTGTGTATTTGGCTATTTTAACGCTAGACTAGCTTTGGTTACTGCATTACTTGTTTGTTTCTCTGTTTCTTTGGTGGGTATCAACTATTTTCACACACTTGGTTGCCGGTCTTAAAAGTCGCTGATCTCGCCCTCAGTCTCTGGATAGGTGCAGGAGAAGGGATTGAGCAGCCAATTGCACAGACCCTTGCCCTCCTGACGCTGCTTCTTGTGGCGTTGATAGTTGCTTGACGATATGACAATCCGATTGCGTTGACTCTTTGACATGCCCGAGGCGAAGCTGCTCTCATCAGAGTCGCGTACCGTGGCCACACTGTGGTAGCCGCTCTCGGCGCGTCGGGACATACCTGAGTGCTTGGAGGTGCGCGGCGTTGAACTATCATGTCCACTGTCATAGGCCTCGGACGAGGTGTTCAGCGGCAACAACGGCAGTCGAGTCTGTGCTGTCAGCGGCAGTATGTTGGTGATTTCGTTGAGTTTTTGTTGTGCATCTTCGAGAGAGCCTCGTTTGCCCGACGATGCAAGAAATGCTGTCTTCTCATCCAATTCGCATATGTCGTCGTGCTGGGGCGTAAATCGTTTCTCAGACTTCGGCAGACTGGGATCTGATGCACCATCGGGCTGACGAAGCAACGCATAGTCGTCCATTCCAGCAATCTCCATGATGCCATTCAAGCTGGGCAGCGAGCCTTGGCTGGGACTATGCGAGGGCTGCTTGGGACTAGGCAGACGATAAGCAGGCTCGCTGCATACACTACTCTGGCCCACGTTGAAGCGATAGGCTGGTTCACTGAAAACGCTGCCCACATCGCAGCCGGTGCGGAAAAGACAAGTGGATGGTGTCACCTCGGCCATGGCTAGTTGCGAGGTAAAGATCTCATGCAGGCGCGCTAGTTGATCGAATTGATGTCTAAAAATAAGTGAATCATAAGTCTATAGCTAAAGAATGAAAGGTTTGTGCACCCACCTGGCTTGTTCGCCACACTCGCTGAAGGACTCGCAGGCCATATTGAAGCTGGAAACATAGGATATATTGTCGCAGTGACTGAGCGCCGCAAGGGGATGTTCCAGGGCCATGGTGCGGGCAATTTCCTCCTCAGTTACTTGAAGGCCGCAGTCAATGCTGCGCTGTGAGGGATGCTGCGAGGACGGGCGACTAGAAGGAAACGCTGGTAGCTCGGTATCCAGTAGGTGTTGTGGCAGCGATTCCCGCGAAACATGACGATTTAGCATACGATGCAAACTATCGTGGGATATCTCGCGAGACCCTAAAGGATCGAGCAATGGCAGTGCGGGTGGTATCTCTGATGGACCGCTGTCCTGATCCTCATCGCAATCCGCCGGACGCTCCACATTCACATAACCAGCTTCCAACTCAGGATAGTTATCAAAGCTCTGTGGAAGTGTAAGCGGCTGCTCTGCTAGGAGCGTTTTATCACCGCTTCTGCCATACAAATCCGTATGAGTGGGCAGATCGAGAGACTTTTGCTTCAGCTGAGACAGTTGGAAGTTAGTGCTGCGTAATTGCTGAGCCGTGTACGTCGGTGAGCAGCTAGCTGAGGTGGTCTGGAAGACTTGCGACGTTTGGTTCTCCACCCACTGACGTATCATGGTCTTTTTATGCGCATCCATGAACCCATAGCCCTGCGTTTGGGCCCCAGATGAGGGCAAATTTCCCGCAGTCAGTGAACGACATGATTGCGATTTCGGTCCATCAACCCAAGTCTCGCACTGCTTGACGTGATTGACCTCACGCATTAGATGTCGCGCTTCGGCCACCTTCGCTCGTGAGACACGTGGACCATCGATCCATTGCTCCTCAGTAATCTTTCGCATACCCGCCTCTAGTTGTTCCAGTGCACCACCAGGATTGGATGTGGCCGCAGTGGTTCCTGCATGTGGTCGTCGTAGTGGCGAGCCCTTGGGCGTTGGCACATTGGAAGCCTTGGAGCACATGAGAGTGGCACCACTCAAGTGTCGAATATTGCTCAGCAGGGGTGAGCCTGGTGGCGGAGTATCGCCACTCGCGTAGGGAGCTGTGGGCAGCGGACTGTGTGAGGAGATATGGCGCTTTAGGCTGCCCGTTGCGCTCAGCGCTGGCAACTTTTTCGCTATTAAAGATAAAGAGAGAAAGTAGGCGAGGGGGGCCACAGCAAATAGTTAATTACATCCGTTGGATAGATGGACATATGCTTAATTACCCACCCGGGGCATATGACCCCAACTCACCTTTGTCCACTGCTGTCTTCTTGACCACACTTGCGCCCTTGGTCTGCATTGGTTGTTTCTCTGCTCCACTGCCCTTCAGCGCCTTGCTGAGCACAGCACGATTGTCGCCAGCATTCAGCGAGGGCAAGTAGACTGGTGGATGTTCGCCATCGGTGGCATCGTCGTTTGGGCCCATGTAGATAACCGTATCGGCAGATATTTCTGAGCTGGATGGATCTGCACCCGAACCGGCTGAAGAGCCCGCACCCGAAAGATGACCCCCACCCAGACCTGCGGCCAATCCCACGGCCAGGGGCATGGGTACGCGGTGTTTCCTTCGGCGCAACCTGTGTATGCGCGATGCAATCTGAATGGTGGACAATGCATCTGTATAGCTCTGCTCGTGCAACACATGTGCCAGAATAGCCACGTGGCAGGTGATGGGTGCCAGGCAATCCTTAAGCAATGGCGTTAGCGGGTGGTCCTTGTGTGGCGGATGTCGTTGTCCGCTAAGTATGGCCAGTAAAATGTTCCCTATGCCCGAAAGTGGGAGGCCACCGCTGCGATTGGCACAGCCACCCAAGTCGATGATATGTAAACGACTACGACCACCGGCAACTAAACAGCAGGGAAGCATTAGAATGAGGAGAGGGGGAACAAAAGGAGTGGGGTGAGATGAAAGTGACACTTTAATGGCGAAGGCGTCTAGTGAAACATTTAGCGGGCCACTTGAGTGGCAACAAAAACAACAACAACAGCAATAGCAACAATAAAGAATTGCTGCTTGTGTGTTTCCTAAAACTCTCACGCTCACTCTTACACTCTTGTACTTACCACCCCCCTTGCGCGACAAACTGTACTGGTAGACGTGTAGCGTAAATATGAGGGCGGGCTCCAGTCCCAGCCCCCCACCAGAAGAACTTTTCAAGCGTCCGGCCGCTAGCGCCGAATCGAGGAAGAGCGCAGCACGTTCGGCGGTGGGTGCACGTAGTTCCGTTGGACCGCCAAGGAAGTCGTCACGCAAATAAATCCCCGGGGAGTCGTCAGATTCTGCGAGGCAGCCAGCACCAGTACAGGAAGTGAATGAAATGGGCATTAGGCTTTATGTTAGAATAACTGCTATTCCAAAACATACGGCAACCAGCGAGCGAGTCGTGGGGGAAACTTGTTTTGGGGCCAGGGCGTAGGTTAAGATTATTCAAATTGGCCAGTTATCGCACCCGACCCCGACCCCAATGAAACTCCTAACAAGAAATTCGGCCCAGGGGCAACATTACACGCTCGCTGGCAGCTGTCAAAAGTCTTGGCTATGTTTTGGCCTAGCATCTAACAGGTGGTGCTAGTCTCATCATTGCTTACCAGCCGCATGCGAAATGAGCAAATCCGTAGAGACGGCGTCTGGTTTGGTAGCGCTTACGCCCACAGCACTAACCCGCACTGAAAAGCGTGCCCCGCTCTTTTGCCTACGCTCATTGATGCCTTTATAGAGCCAGGCAATAGCACAGGGCACAGCCCCAAGTGCTGAGGGCGTACTTAAATCGCCTAGTATGCTCTGCTGCTGGCCTGTGCTGGGATAGCCCATCGCCAGGAGGCAACCATCGGAGCCCTCGAGCACGGCAGGAATGACTTCACTTAGGGCAGCCGCACAGACATCCGACTGATGAATAATCGCAGTTTCTTAGTTCCATATTGTTGCAGATAGTCCCCATCGTATCTTCACTCACCTGCTTATCTTCAGTCGTAAATAAATTGTCGAAGGCAAACATCTTGGGCGCGGCCACCATAGGTGCACGCTCCTGTGCGAGGGGCGCACAAACATTTTTCGGATCGCTTAACGTCACCTGACGCTTCTTCTTGTCCAGCGTGATAAAGTGCTGTGCTGCCTGCTCCTCCGGTTTATCCGATACGCGCAGCATGACTTTGACTTTGCCCACTCCGTAACATTCCTTGTTGCTGAGACGTCGCGCCAGGCCCGGCGGCAAGGGCGGTGGCGCCCTTTGTAGGGCGCCACAGTAGCCACCGTTGCCGCTGTTGCGTGTACTGGCATTGGACATGATAATTGGGCTACTTTAGCTATGGAAGTTCCTGTCCTGATGTGTGGTGTATGTGGAAGCACTTTGTGATCCTTTTTTTTTTGTTTTTTTTTTTAATGGAACAGGAAGGCAAGTTAATGAGAGAAACAGAACAAGAGGAGAAGGGGGAAATTAGCACTGTCACAAGGTTCCGTTACACTTGCTCTATGATTTTCATAAATCAAACAGTTCGTTGTTATTATCGTATTATTATCGTGCTCATCCATATTCTCACATTATGTATTATGCACTGTCACTAGATTTTATGCATCCTCATGTACATGTACTTTATACATTTTTTAGGCTGCGCACCTGCACAAACTTCGGTGCCAGCTTTTACACAAATCGATTGGCAATGCTGCCTAATTGTACACAAAAGCGACAGCGACAGCGACAACAACAAAATGGCTATAATGCTTTATCCAGTACAATGGCAACAACTACAATAACAAGCAGAGTAACAACAACAGCAGCAGCAACAACAACAACAACAATGGCACAACACAAACCCTTTTTATGACTGGCAATTTCTCGTTAGATTCATCTTTGGCTTTTGCACACTGCTTTAACTTCGATTCTGATATACATCATTTATTCGATTCCCCAAGTCAAACGAAAATTCATTTTCATTTTTCCTCAAAAAAAACGCGACGCGTTCGCGACTCGCGTGCCATCATCGTTGGCATTACAATAGCAACTGATTCAAGTTGTGTGAAGTTGAAGAGCAGCGCCCCCTCAACGACACCATAAGAGTGTGAACACAACTCTTGGCGCAGGCGCGTGCTCAACATAATGGGTGGCAATGCCTCTGCCTTAGCCGCGTATCCTGCCAAGGGTGGACTTTCGCTTTTGGTCGAGTCGGTTCCATGCTGCTTAAGAGAGCAAGCACTTGGAGACGTGCTCTTCACGCCTCCATTTGCATTAAGCGCCGTTACGGGACAGGTAAACAAAATCAGCGAGGCTAAAACAAAAGGAACAGCGCAAATGATGTTTATATTGTAGACATCAAAATGCAAAAAGGCGCAAGGAGCAGAAATGAAAAAAATTGAAAAAAAAACAACAACAACAACGAACCTAAGGCGATGATAGTTGAGCTGTAGATGTTGATGGAGCTTGTGTGCTGGAGAATGGAGCGTCACTTAAGTGCTCCTGAAGATGGGTGCAAATGCAAACGATGTGTTTTTAAGTTCGCTTACAGTGCGAGCCCTTGTTGAGTATGTGTGTGTGTGCGTGTGCGTGTGTGGCACGTGTGAGTATGTGTATTTAAAAGGAAATATGGCTGGATGGGTTGCCTGGCAAATGTGGCGAGTTGAAGTGCCAAAAAAACAGTTCAACACACCAAACAGTGGGGCAAAGCCGCCTAGCCATTGCAACGGCTCAATTAATGGCTCACTAAGGTGTGAATAGATTTTACAATTTTGGGTTAGAAGCGAAGGCTTATGGTGTGCAGCTGTAAGATAAAATGAATAATGCCCTTAAACTGATCACATTTAAGAAATTTAATTACAAGTATGTAAGCGTTATATTTATTGAATGGGTGTAGTTTGTATTGCAACATTTCTTCAAAATCAAAACGGATCTAATTTTCATTTTGTTGCAATGCTATGTTAAGCAATTTGTATAATTAAATTTGCGTGAATATTGTCATATTTTTAAATAACAAATATGTACATAATTAACTGAAGAATGCGCAAGCAGTCTAATTAGACATAAGGTAGATACAAGTAGATATAGATTTATGAAAAAGTGTGCTGAATATGCTAGAAAGCACTAAAAAAGAAACTGAAATTTCAAAACTGTGTTACAAGTAAAAGCTTCATGAAAATCGAGAGCCTTATTAACACATTAAAGTTTTGAAAACCGGGCCAAATAGTGCTGATTTTGTTATTTTAATTTTAAGTGCATTTACATTTCGAATAAGGCCATTATTTTGTTTGAAACTATTCTATAAAAACTTGTCTTGCTTTTAAAACAGTTGAAGCAACCTCTCCGGGAAAATGTGTAAAGCTTCACATAATACCTAAACAAACAATAAACTATAATAAGCAGGAGCTCTTGTGTAATCACTAACTAATTAGAAAATAGTACCTAAAGAAACAAAGAAGTATATTCAGCAGCCCAATTGTAATAATTAACTAATTAGAGAATATAGTTTCAATTCTCTGTTCACTTACCGTTTTACTATATTTAACGTATTAGTATTTCAAATCAAATGGCATCCTCGTCTGGCTAGGCATACAGTTTGACAATCACTGACCTAGTTTGCTTGGCCGCTCAATGAAATAGTTTGACATTCACTTGAAGTTGCTCTCACTTCACACGCTAGTGCCGTTACTTGTGCGATATGTGGCAACGCTTATTTAAATGAGGCAATTACTTAGTCATAATTTCGTTTTATACATATGTACTTTTATTTATGCAATAGCCATTCATTTACATATAAATACATATACTTGAGTATCTCTTTTTTTTGTTTTTCGAAATTTAACACATTTCCTTGCTATCCTCCAACAACAATTTACAGAAACATTAGATGTATTGCCTATTTGAAATTCATTTGCGTTTTGCGTGGAATTGTCTTCTTTTTTTTGTTTTTGAATGGTTACAGCTAGCTCAGAGTGGGTATATGTATGTATGTTTGCGATTGGGATTGGGGACATACATATGTGTATATATGTATAGTATAACGCATGCTTATGAGACTAAGAAAAACTTAAGACTAAACAAAACAAACAATTTGAAACAAACAGCCTATGAAGAATGTTATTAGAAACAACTTTAGAGGTAAATATTATTTAAGAAACAACAAGAACATCAACCATGGGGAACATGATATTGCTTGTTCGTTCGCTCGCTGATCGTTGTTCGTTGCTCGTAAACTTTGTCACACGTTAAGTCGATTTTTTTCCTTTTATGATTTGCTTTAACAAAATAGATTCGTTGAACAAAAAGAAAAAGTGGCTTGTACTTGGAAACCATGAGAGAGATTGAACACGTGTCCAGTTGGATGTGAGAATGGGTCAGGACATGTGTGGGGCTTAGTTTGCGGGCACGCCATATGAGCTGCTGGGCACCGAGGGTGCGGGAGGTGCGCCTGGGGCTCCATATTCCGACGGAGGAGGCGCAATGCTGTTGGGATATGGACCAGTTTCCTCCTTCTGGGTCTTGTAGCGAATAAAGTAGACCTCTGGCTTGCTGGGTTGCGTTGGTGCAGGCGTGGGAATGATAATATCGGGCTGTTCCTCCGGCTTCTTGACTAGCACATAGACCAGGGTCTTCTCCTCGTTCTGTGGGAACTGCGGAATGACTGGTGCTGTGGGTGCGGGCGGTGAGGGCGCCTTGATGAAGACGATCTTGTAGTGCTTCTGGGGTGGTGGCACATACAGGGGTTTTCTGCATTGAAAGTAAACAAAAAATAAGTGAAGGTATTCATAGGTTTAGAACAAGCAGCGAAGCGATTAATTCAAATTGTTGCCCAAGTCTAAGCCCAAGCCCGAACCCGACCCAAAAACTTGTTTATCCAGCTAATGGTAATAAGACTATGACAACATTAGCAACAACAACACCAACAACAGCCACTACAATGACTGTTGCTGCGATCCAACAAGCTGTCACAATTACCGCCCACCTTTGCGGTGCTTGGCTGACTCTTAGGGCTTATATAAAATGTATGCTATGGTAATTGCGACCCTCCGCAAATACACACACACACACACACAGAAACACACACAACTATGAACATATACATATATGTATATACGGAACGGGCTGGGACAGGGACAGGAATAGCGGCAGTTAGTCAGTCAGCTGGGCTGGCTAATTAGCTTGGAAATGGTACAATAAAGCAAAAACTTAGGTAACATTTTAGTCACGGTTTGGCGATCTTCATCACCATATCTTTCCTCTGGTAATTAACATTACTTGTATGTATGTATCGCTCTCTCTCTCTCTCTCTCTTTAAGAAAGAAGACGACAAAGTAATGGCAAAACAGACAATCGGACAGACTAGCACAGAAATAGTCATACAGTTACTTGCAATGGTCACAGTTATAGCCTTCGTGTCTGCGTATGTATGTGTTAAATAATTTTCCTGGCTCGCATTAAAATGTGCTCAGTGTACCCCTCAAAAATGTTGTGGCTGTCATAAATGATAATGCCAAACACGATGTGGTAATGGCGGCGGCCCCATAGCTGAGCAGCGTAAGATGATCACCGACTCGTTGGGGTGCATTTTGCAATGCCTGTACAAACAAACTCGTACTCGTACTTTAAATATGCGCGGGATCGCTAGTTTGCTGTAAAAGATAGAAATTTACGAGCGCCACAATCGCCACTTAAAGCGACTATTAATCAGCCATAAATTGTTTGCTCATCCCTCTTTCATTGCAATGGAATGTTTGTGTCTTGGTTTTCGGCCAACTCACGAACTGACGACGATCTTTTACGCATGCCAATATCATTAGCGTAGCTTTTGGCAATAACAACAATAGGATTAAGTCAGTAAGCAGGCAGGACTCCAATCTATTAGTTTTGAGTTATTCTTGCAACGTCCTATTAACTAGTTCAACATACTGAAGAGGCTAATTCTTCGGCAGGACTCTTCAGAACATGTATAGGCTTTCTTTTTGATCAGTTAAGGTGATTAGGTTAGATTGGCTTAACATTTTATAATAAGTACATAATGAAGATATGGATAGAGAATCCTTAATCCTAATGAGGAGTCTTTGAAGCTACTTATGAAGTTTTCAATACATGCGTACATAGCTTGCAGAATTAAATATACAAGTTTGAAATGTGGGTTTCTCTGGTCTCAGCTTTCACAGAATGCTTTGCTCAAAAGCAGAGAAAATCTTTTTCCATTACCGCCTTACACAATACAGAATCAGATTTAATAATAGAGCTACTTACTAGGTCAAGTAGAATTTATAGTGAAATTGGTAGAGGAGAAATGTAATGGTGGCGAACTCTCTTTAAGTTCTTAGTTTACTAAATAGGGGAATCATTTTGTTGGCCCTAAGATGCTTTCTTGAAATTCCTTACGCAATATGTCGGGTCCAAGATCCAATTATAATATCGGCTTACAGAATCATTTTTATAATTGAATGGGTCTAGATCTAAATGAGGTTACGATCCAGTTGGGGTGATTTACAAAATCAGCTTTTTATACAAACTTAGGCGTTTGAGGCGTTTTTAAAGGACGATAATGGAAAGCTATGGTTGATTACAGGTTATGTTTTACACAATTTAGAATAAATTCGATAAACTTTTAGAAATTGCTCAGCACCTAATTTTATAAGAAGGGATTATTGGCAACTTCAGAACGCAGAAGAGAATTAGGGTGTTTGAAATATCGTTTCGAGATATTGATTTAGCATTTCAACATACTAAGTCAAGGAAAATTCGCTATGATTTTCATACACATAGCCAGGCTACTATTTTTGGATCATTATAGAGGCCAATTAAACGGGTCTTGTCAGTAGAAAATATTGAAAGAAATTGGGATTGCACAGACTAGGACGAATAAAAGTCGAAGCTTAAATAGCTGAAACAGTTGGTTCGGAATATTTGCGAATAGCATTAAACTGGTGAAGAACTCAGTATGGGTTATTTGAAGGAATTTGAAAATCCTTTTATTTCTTGCCCTTTTATTCTTTGCCCCTTTATTTCTTGCCCACCTGAATCGTAGTAGACTATTCAATGACTTACCTGGGTGCTTGATACTCTGGCTCTGGTGGTGGCACATGTACATAGACATGCTTGTGCACTACCGGTGGCTGCTGTGGTGGTCCGTATTGTGGCGCAGGTGCTCCATAACCGCCGCTGGGTCCACTTGGCTGATAGCTGCTCGGCGGTGGTGCACTGTACGTGTCACGTGGTGGCTCCGGGCGGGCAGCCACCAATGATGCGGCGGCCAAAACCAGCACAATCTGAAGCGTTTGGACGAGAATAACAATGACAATCAATATTTTGGACACTTGACACACACTTTCACTTTATAAGGGCAGCAGCCAATAACAATAACAACAGCAACAACTACAATAACAGCAACAACAATTATAAACATACCACACAACTGGGCTGCATTTTGTTTTGTTGGACCGGGGAATTTAGATTTTTGTTGTGAACTAGTCTAGGCACTTGGTGCAAATTTTTGGGCACTATTGAGTGTTTGCTGAACTGATGGACTCGTTACTGCTGCTGCTTGTTCGACGCGGAACCTCTTACTGCATGCCACAGCGATTGTTGCAGTTTCTTTTATAGCAGCGCAGCGCGTGAAATAAAAATTAAGTAAAAATAAAGACGGCAGCGCCAGTGGAAGCCGCGCGACTGCGCAGTCAGCATTAACAGCAACAACAACAACAGCAGCAACAAAAACAAGAGTAACGAAGACGATGGCAGTGCGCGCTGAAGAAGCAGTTGGCAAAGAGCACATAACCATGAAGAAATTGAAATGTATAAAGCAGCAGCAACAACAACTATAACAACAACAACTGTAGCCACTCCATGCTCAACAGCTGGCAAGTCATCTGAGGGGGAAGCTGAAGCTGCGGCGGCAGAAGCAGAAGCAGCAGCTGCGTCTGCGTCAGCGGCGACTGATCTGTGACTCTCCTAGCTGACCATTTCTCGGGTTTCCTTTTTATTAACCTCTTTTTTTTTAATAGTGTACGTGTGTTTACACATGGACGTAGCCCCGATTAGGCAAAGTAGGACAATAGCCTAGAACTTGACTAAAATGTTGCTGAACAACGAAAAGCCAAAAAAATTTTTTTCAATCTTTACTTTTTTCATCTTTAGTTGTATTTGTGTATTATCTAACCGATTGATCTTAATGTCTTTTTTCTTTGGAATATAAAGAGAAGAAAAATGTGCATAGCTCGAACTTAATTTAATTTGCGAAATTTAATGGTTGTCTGTCGGTCTTGACACTTCTCAATTAGGGTTTGGGTCCGTTTTGTCATGTCATGACATGTCGGCATGTCGTATAAGCGGTTCAAACATGATTAAAAACGTTGGTTGAGTATTTTGGATGTCTGAATTTAAGGAGGCTGTATAAAAAGCCACGACACAGTAATGTTAAAAAGTGTTTTAAATTGATTTTCTTTATTCAATCAAAGTTAATACAATATCGAAAATAAATTAGTGATATCTCAGTTAGCGACAGGACAAAACGTCTTTTGTGAGAGCTGATTTATCCCCAATGAAATGGATAGGAGACTATGTTGAAAAATTAAATTTTATTTTTTAAAAGTTGGTTGCTTTTTTTGATATATGGGTCACAGGCGAAGGTTTAGGTTGTGAAGAATCGGTTATGCTATACCTCTCTACTCGTTCCTTCACCTGTAGTAAGAGCATCATCTTGATATTAGTGGTAGTTAAATAACATCAGTAAGTCTCTGAATTTGTATTTATTAAATTCTCATTAACATATTTGTCAATTTATAATAATTGCCAGAATAAAACAAACAATCGAAAGATATATCAACAAAGAGAGCAAAAGAAGGAGATGGAATAAACAGATGAAAAATAAATCAGATGGAAAAAGAGGGAGCTGGAGCTGTTATCAATTGAAATGGTGTAGTTATTCAAAATATATTTTACCAATCAATTATCAATAAATTATTTTATCGATGAAAATTAAAATATCTAAATCAATCTCGATCAATAAAATGAAGAGTAACTGATTCCACTTTGGAATGTGTGTGGAAGTGGGGAAAGAGTGGGGAAAAGAGCACAAAGAGTGGCTTAAGAATGCTCACTCATCTTCCATCCCCTCTCAGATAACATCCTGTCTACACCTATGTGTGTGTGCACAAGCCTTTGCGTTTGTGCTAGTTGTTTTTGTTTCATTTTTATTTTGGTCATTTGGTTATTTGCGTTTGTGTGTGTGTCTGTGTGTGCGACAAAAAGTCGAAGAAGATGAAAACGACGACGACGACGACGCAGACGAAGTCGAAGACGATGCGACTAGTATGTAGGATCGCCGGATCGTGTAGCACGATTCACTTTCAATTTCAATGGATTCACACTCTCTGCCATGGCCTGGTGAAGCTGTGGTTGCTGCTGTTGTTGTTGTTTTTGTTTAGTGCTTTTATTGCTTTTGTTGTTGTTGTTGCTTGGATCTGTGTGCTTATTGCCTGTAACCTGGGCTGTTTGTTGTCTCAACTTTTTGGATTGGCTTGGAAACGCTTTGATTTAATTTCTTCATGCTCTTCGGCCGCCTTTTGTTTTTGTGCTTACGATGTGCTCTGTTGTGTTTTTTAGATGCGCCGATTATTATTGTTATTATTATTGTTGTTGTTGTTGTTGCTGTTACTTTTGTAATTGCTGTCCGTTTGGCCACGAAGCATCATAATGAGCTTCACGCTCTTGTTGGGTCGCCTTTGCTGCTGCCAGCGTCACCATCGCGATCGCCATCGCCATCACCGTCACCGTCACCGTCGTCAACATATAATGCAATATTTTGATTTGAATTTCTTTCATTTATTTTTTCTTACGTGTATTCAATCATTTTTCTTTAAAATGCGCGACGACCCCAAACAACTGTCGAAAGGTATAGGGAGGCAGGGACGCTGCATAGAAATCTCATTTGCCAATGAGATGGGGTACGACACTTGCCATCGCAGTTGCTCAGAGTTTTTATTTATTTACTTTTGTTTTTCGTATTTGGTATTTGTTTTTACGAAAATGATTACCACGGTTACGTGTAACTTTTCTTTGATTGTCATGGCGTCACGATCAGCCATCGACCGTCGACGATCGGATCGACTGTGTGGCATTGGCAGCCATTTCCCCCGACTTTTCCCCGCAACCACTGCTACTCGACAAGTTGCAGGCATTTGGAAATAGAAATTCATGAATGCAGATGCACAACATTGTTTGGCATGGCAATGACTGGCAATGAGCAAAAATGTGCAAACAAAACAAAAAAAATCCTTAAGGCCAACTCCTGTGCAAATAAATGTTATTGCCAATGTCCATTGTTGTCGCAAACGGTGCTTTATCATAACTAAGTAAAAGAGCAACTTGCGCTTGCCGGAATTTAATGCGATGGATGGCATAATCATTGCCAGGCAAGCAGGCAGGCAGGCAGCCAGCCAACCAGCCGGCGGCGAACGAGGACGACACACAACTGCCAGCAGTAACTGCGACAGTAACTGCAACTGCGGCTGCGGCTGCGCCTGTGCCAGCGCCTGTCAGCTTCAGCTTGAAATTGGCGACTGTCACTTTTTCTCAACCGCATCGTTTATAATGCCGTTAGCCAAATGGCAAGTGTTTGGCCTGTGTTTTATGTTTTATGTTGATTTTGTTGTTCATCTGCGGCGCCTTGTATTTCCTTAATTTTGGCATCGTACATCCCGCATAGCTCATCGCTCATCGCTCATCACAAGCATCGAATTTGTCTTGAGTGGAGTAAATTATCATTGCAACATGAGTATTGTAAATGTACAGATGTACATACATACATACTTATTTATTTATGTACATGCACAGCAACACTCCTGTAATGATTAGTAGTCAACAGCAAAAACCGCAATGACAGTAAATTAAGTGCAGTAGCAGTAGGTGATAGTATTTTATTAAATATTTCATAATTTACTAATGCAGCAGGAATATTAAGTCATCTATTTATTTATAAATAAGTAGCTTAAAAGTAATTAAAATTACAGATAAGCTGTGTCAGTCCAAGCCTAAGCTAATAAGCCATAGATATCTACAGAGATGCAGCTGATTTAACAATATATAATTTATTTTAATAGATCAGCTATAATGGAAGCTATTAGATTTGACAACTTAAGAAACTTACCGATAATTATAAAATGATTATTAGAAGAACTAAAGGGAGATGTGGCTGTGCTACCAGTTGGGAAATGTTAAAATATTGCTTCACTAATTTAGGAGCAACAGGACTTAAAAGGTGTTTGCGGGTTAGCTTATTGCGACGAAGAAAACTTACCATACACATATGCGATTTTTTTGTGCGTGTTTGGGAAGTGATAGTGGGGATCAATTTAAAAATATAAGTTGATAGGGCATTTACCTGTCGTTTTGCCTTTTTGGTTACCTTTAATAATACAATTATTGTTATATGGCCGAAGTGTACATGTAGGGGGTTAGGTTAGGTTCCAATGGCTGGGGCGTTGGTGCTTACACCCACTTAGGGCTTAGAAGCCCATTGTGATGCTTTATAATCTCCATATATTGATGAATAGATATATATGTATATTAACGATATAAATATTTGGTAACTCAATAAGCTTTGTTTAAAATTGGTTGCCCTTGCGCAATGTAACTCCACCAGCTTAGTGCTGGGCAGTGGCAGAGAAAGTGCTCTACGCTCTTTTTCATTTCTTTTTCTCCGAAGCAACGTTTGTGATTGCTCTTGTATGGTGGAAAGAGAACAACAGGAATGGATCTTATCTATCTATAACCAATCTAAATCAGTAAAGATAACGATCATATTAAAATGAGCAGTAAATGTTGAATCTTGTGTTGTGTGCTCAGAATAAACTGTTAAATATTTCATATTAATGTGAACAAAAAAAAAAACGAACCTTTTTAAATCCAAAACATATTAATTTAAAATTTTACAATTCGAACGTCGAATTCTGTGGACAGAAAACTTTACAGAAATGGCGCAGTGAGGGCGAGAAACTTGTTCGTATTGGTAATTATAGTATTGGTGGCTTAATAGCGATCCTAATTATGCACTTTTTATGATATTTTACGCAACATAGCTGTCAATTGGTTTCTTGTGGTTATGTACTATAGCTATTCATTGTCATTATACTGCGTTAAGCTACGTTTTCAAAATTGTGGGTGGGTCTACATATTCGTTACATAGAGCCAAGCAAATTAAAATCAATTTGACATTGGTTTTAACCAAAAATATCAAATGTTTAAGCCGAACAATGGTTATATGAAAATAATCTTGCTTATGTAGATTGCTCAGATTTGCTTGACTTACCCTGAGGTGTCTTTTTATTCGAATATGTCAAAATGGTATGAATAAGATTGGTTGTAAAAGCATGACTTTTTAGGTGTCTGGCCATTATGGTGTTAGTAAAATCATGTTTTCATTCGCTTTAAATTTATTGTTCATATTTTGATATTTAAAAATATTGACAGCTTATCATGGTTGTCAAAAAAATGGAAACGCCTGCCAAATTGAACAAGTCTTTCTTTTCTCATATTAACTTTTAACGCATATTGTCTTTTATAACAACTCCACAAAGAGGCAATACCTTTTTGCACTGATGAAATTATTTTATTGTTCGCTATAAAAAATGCTTGGAATTATTGGTTATTGTTAAGCTATTGATACATATGAATATAACGTGAAAACAACTCTTAAGAAGAAAATCGTTTCTATATTAAAAGAACAACTGCCGTATTACTTCAGGGTGGGACCTTTTCTACATTGCGCGTTTTTATTTCCAAATCTTTTGAATTCCAATTATCCTTACTGTGGAGCATTTTCTCCAGAGCGGGTGTCCCAATAGATGCAGCATGGCTAGTCCGCTTTGTTGATGGGAAAATATAATTTTAAATGTTCAATTCACTCAGAAATTGTCATGCAACAGATTCCGGCTCTTGCACTATGTATCATGGTAGTATGTTATCCAGCACGGAATATATGTTTTTCTTCACATTAATTACGTTTGGCAGTCATATCTGAATCAGTGAAATTTTTAATTTGTTTTGTCTTTTTTTTTGCTTCAAGTTTGAATAATGTATATACATACAAGTATGTGTAATGTGAACGCTTTATTAGTTTTTTTTTTGCAAAGAATATTTGTCAGAAAAATTTAAACATTAGCAGAAACTTTTTTATCTCGGAGTCTGTGTTCCACAATTTTTTCTAAAAGGATCTTTTAGAAATAAATAAAATCACAAAATAACTTAATGACGCCTTTTTCTGTAAAAGAACAAATGAAATGATTCTTTAGAGTATCACAATTTTATTTATTTAGTAATGCAATTAGTACGCTGTGTAGTTCCGTTTCCCCTTCTTAAAATAAACGTGATGTATTTAATTTACAGCAAAATCGAAAAAAATGGTGTGAAGAAGTCGAAAGTGAAGAAAATGTTGATTCGTTTCTATGATTTAAAGTGATATTCGTTCCACCTGGTTAGTACAGTGTTTTTTGTTGTTCTTTTGAAGTGTTTGGTATTTGACCCGAACATCGTGAAAGAAGTTGGCGCTTGTTGCGCTATAACCCTTCGTCTAATCGGTCGAAAGTTGTGTCTGAATTTTTGATAAAAATTCAGATTTTAACCATAAATCACTTTCCTGATTTGGCTCAGTGTAACTATTACTTTTTCTGGTAATTGCATTTGTTCATTAAAGCAAAGTGTTTTTAGGACATCAAAGTTTTTCAAAAGGCTTCTACAACCATTCGAAAGTACCCAAAACGTCGATATGCTTTCTTATCGTGCAAAACGTGGTATTGGGTAGGAAGTTTATAATTTCGAATAAAATAAACTCATGTTGCCAAAATATTAATGAGGTGTTCACATTTTTAATAAGTTCAGTTTATTTTGAGAAGTCTCTTGTACATATATACATATGTATATTGTCGATTTGGTATTTGCATCCATTTCAATCAAAGGTTTCTAGCTGAGAGTAAATGTTTTGCTTGCTTGGAAAGAAGCTCAAAGCTTATTTGACAAAGATCTCTCTGTGAAGATTGCCTTATTAGTAGAATTTATTTATATGAATATGTGTACACACACACAGAATTATAATTATTCTCTCTCTATTGCCCTAAGGCGTCATTTCGCTGCACCCTGACCTGCTACTCTCACTCGCATTCCAGAGGCATGTTTCGTTTTTGTTTTTATGTAACAAATAATAAAATTGTGTACATATAACAAAACTGAAACAATAACAGTAATAAACAAGTTTACAAAACGTCCAAACGGTACTTGTCGCCGGACCGCTTGAGTAGAGTAGCTCTCACTCTCGCTATCGCTATTGCTCTCTCGCTGTCACAGTCACAGTCGCAGTCCCTCTCCTAAGGTCGCCATCGGCTGACTGTTACTGTGTGTGACTGACAGGTCGTCGTCCCCCGCACCGCTCCCGAACCGTTATACTCGTATGCGAGTGGACGAGGGAGATGAGGGGACCGATGGCTATCGTTGCAGTGCGTTGCGCACTTTTTAGTTTTAATTTGTGAAGAGTTGCACTTGAAAACGCCAACGCGTTGCCCAGAAAAAGTAAATTGAGATAAAGCTCATGTGAACATGCTACAAATGTAGCCGGCAAGTTGTTGTTTTGTTGCATGATGTAAATTTGTTGTTGCATAACACAAATATCGGCCGAACAGATCTTAGTAATACTCTGACGCACAAAAATGTAATTTGCATTGAAAATGATTTTTATTGAGTTTTAATAACGCAAGTTAACAACAATTAAATGTACAATTGTAAGTATAGGCCGATGTACATACATATATACTTAGATATACATATATATATATACATATATATGGCTACATCATATTTATATCGCATCATAAAACCGAACTAAAAATAGGCTGTCGAGGTTTATGAACCAGCAACTGAGGTCTGAAATCTGAATCTGAACTTGTAACGCCACTTGAAGGTCAGTGGCGGCGGCTTCTTTTAATTTAGTGCCACAAATTAACAACCAAATTTTAGCCTCAACACTTTAACTATGTAAGTAAGTAGGTATGTGGTACATACATATTTCATTTTATTTAAAACTCATAGCCAGCCTTCATGCCAAAACATGCACGCGCGTCCCCCACTTCTGGGGGGGAAATATTTACAATTGTCTTCACGCGAGCCTCAAAAGAAAAAACAAATACAACACTAATACTATATAAAAAGAGCTCAACATTTGTTGCTGCTGTTTTGGGGCATATACATATTCATACATAAATACATTTGTAATATACATATAATGTAAAAGTTTAAAATTATTGTGCTAACATAGGAACCTCATTAGTTCTTATTAGTTTCTTCGTTTTTCGTTCTTCGCTCTTTTAGAATTTTTGTTTAAAACCTTTGGGTGGCATTTTTCATATCATCTTTGTTTTCAGAGGGGGTCTTCAGCATTATTTCGGTTGTCTAATAGCGTCCATAGGCATCTGAGTCTAATGATCCGAGCTTTTGAGGCCAACCGGAGTTGGAACTACGCTGGGGTACGAGGGAATTCACGTTGGCCTCATTGCGCAGACGCAGCATTGGGTGTTGTTGTAGTTGCTGCTGCTGCTGCTGCTGCTGTGGATCCTCATTGCTTAACTCCAAAATCTGCAAACAAAAAGAGTTAAACATACAGTGTTGTTTTGTTGTGCGAATTATTTCTCAAAAATACTGTTGAAATCTCATTTATTCAACGCCTCGCACTGTGGAAGCAGACGATTACAATTTGGCCAAAATATAAGCTTTTGAATCTGATGCTTAAGCATCAAACAGGGAGTTCTTATACAATTTGTAAGTAATAATTGAAAAATGAAGTTTTTTGTAGGTAGAAAACCACGTTAAACTTTGTTAAAATGGTCAACATAAGTTTCTTTTAAACATTAACCAGCTTGATTCAAGATTTCATCTTGAACTTCAATTCACAAAGCTCCTCGAATTTTTAATTCTCAATCTTTGCTATTTTACCAGCTTTACTGAATTTTTTCGTGAGTTCTTTGAAAGACTTTATCAGTACTGATTATAAGTGAATAAAAATGTATTTCAAGTTCAGTGCTATTTGATTCCAGAACTAGCTTGTTTGTGGCTAAACAAGAAATGGTACTGCATAAGCCCCGTACCTTACCGATTTCTTGGACTGCATATAGAGGTATAAAGGTAAATGTTAGAGATCATCATCAGTTCAGACCGATCCGACTCTTGAGCTAGCTTGTGTGGGGCACGATTTATAGCTAAGCTTTAACTCTGAGGAAAGCACAGAAAACTTGGTGAGCGAGCTCGCAACCTCACCGACTACTTAGACGGCATGTTAAGAATACCACACGCAGGTCATACAGATTTTTAATTCAGTCTGAGAGTCTTCACCCAAAAAAGATGATTTCCCCATAATTTTAATCATTTTTCGTAATATATAGTATATATATATAACATCGCAGAAATTATCTAACAATGCGATCCTTTTTGTACGCTGTTGATAGATGAAAAGAGAAGAGAGATACTTTAAATAGTTGAAAAGGGGTTAAAGAATTATATTATGTGATATATTTATGGGACACCTTAGAGAGACCTTAGTGTTAATTTCAGATGTGCTTACTTTGCACAGTTCTGCAATAAAACGACATGTATTGCAAACTTATCTGAGAAAATAGATGCTTTTCTTCCTTTGGAATTTGGAATCACATGCTACTTATCTATCGACATATATTGCAAAGTTAACTGAGAAAACAGAAGCTTTTCTTTCTTTTGAATTTTGAATCACATGCTGCTTATCTATCGACATCTATTGCAAAGTTATCTGAGAAAAGAAAAGCTTTTTCTTTCTTTGGAATGTGGAATCACATGCTGCTTATCTATCGACATCTTATCTGAGAAAACAGAAGCTTTTCTTTCTTTGGAATTTGGAATCACATGCTGCTTATCTATCGACATGTATATCAAACTTATCTGAGAAAATAAAAGCTTTACTTTCTTTTGAATTTGGAATCACATGCTGCTTTTCTATCGACATCTATTGCAAACTTATCTGAGAAAATAAAAACTTTACTTTGGAATCACATGCCGCTTATCTATCGACATCTACTTGTATTTCAAACTTATCTGAGAAAATAACATGCTGCTTTTCTATCGACATCTATTGCAAACTAATCTGGGAAAATAGAAGCTTTTCTTTCTTTGGAATCACATGCTGCTTATCTGGTAATCACGGTATGTGTCCCATTGTGCGTCGTCGACTTCAAGGAGGGCGCTCGTCTTGACGTGGGAAGTTCGTCACTAGTTTTGGTGGATCATTAAATCGACTGAACTTTATCTGTAACGCAGCAGTAGCAGCAGCGTCGGCGGTGTCGCTGTCGCTGTCGGTGTCGGGGACGACTATAGTGACGACAACAACTACCACTTCTTTGGGCCGATGTGAGCGCTGATGACTGAAAATGTGTTAATGGGGGGTATTGTCGTGTAATTATCAACAGCAGAGCCAACAGCAGCTGCGGCAACCTCTTTTCTTCGGCTGGTGGTGGTGCGGATAACGTCTTTTGCTTTTGTCTTTTGGCGAACGTTGTGTGAACAGAAGAAGAAAGAAAATATGTTTAAAAAAAAAAACAACAACAACAACTTAAAACAATTTCGCGCCAAGTAATTATATTATTGCTAATTTAAAAGATTGTTTTGGTCTCTCGTTGGCTCTGTGTTTAGTTATTAATAGCCCGACTCTGCGATTGCGTCTGCCTCTGCGCTCCCATAAGGAAGACAGAAACACACGATGCCGATGTTTGTTATCGCAATAGGCAGCTAGTAGTATGTATGTGGCTGCTGGTGCTGCTTGCCGCTTGCTGCCTGCTGCTCACAGTTGCCGTTATCTCATTGCAGCATCTCCTGTTGGGGGCCTACGGCAACGCCAACAACAACAGCAACAACACACAGACACACACAAGCCACAAGATTTACTAACCGACCCATTTTGACAGTTTAATTTGAGCGCTGGCGTTAAAAGTCTGCTGCCCTGCGCTCTGCTTCTCTGCGTGCTGTTGATAACAATGCAGGCTGCAGGCTGAGGAGACCGGGGAGGGGGGAGAGGAGCAGCAGAGATTGTCAACCAGATGTGTGGGTGTGGGCGGAAGGTCGCTGTGACTGGCAGATTAGTTTAAACCATGTGTGTGTGCTATGTATTGGAAGAATAGACGAGTTGTGTGGGATAATAGATTGCCTCACCCATAACAAGCGTTTACTTCCCATTTACTTGTGCCACACTCGTACTTGTATGTTATCTAACAACTCGGCTTTTATCTGTGTCTGCGATGTCAAGCACCGCAAGTACTTGTAGTTATTATGAAAAACCTGCAATCATTTCTTAAAAATATACAACAATTGATTAGATTACTAAATGTTGCCCCTTCACTTTCTATAGAGTTCATAGCCAAGAGACATTAGATTATACTTTCGATTTGAGGATTTGGCTCGTGTTTAATTGTACTTTTACTAAAATAATGGATTGCTATCAAGATAAAAAAACATACGTTTAAATATTTCCTTTCACATATAAACAAATATAATAAAGCAAAATATCAGTAATTATAATTTGTATTAAACATTCCTTATATTGTAGTCACTACAATACGGAAAAACTCTTTATTTAATTAAAATGAATTAACATCTTTGATTGAATTTGCCAATAACGGAACGGAACTTTATTTAAATCGATTTTTAGATATAGTGAATTTATTTATCGAGTAACAAAGCGCTCTTTGTGACAGAAAACTTATAAAATAAAACATAAAAAACCTATTAAATTAAAAAAAAAATAATAATGCGAGAAGTTCTAAAACTGTTTTTAACTTTTTGTAAAAATCCTGTAATCTCTAAATGTTTGCAAATAATGTCCCAGGATGAATTACATTTCTTTTTGTTTCATTGTCTATTGTATGTTAGCCATGGTATTTAAATATCCGGGGTTCCTCAAAGGTATTAAGAGAGAAAATACATGTTGAGTATGATTAATTCCACCATATAATGCAAAATCTAGTCATAAAGGTAAAACCATAGTTAATGTCAATGCTAAACTTTTGGGTGATGCTTCATCAGGGACAGTTATGCCCCGATTCGCAGAAAAAAGTTGTTAATATAAAAATATAAAATAAAAATCATCGCATTTAAAACATAAGCAAATGAAAATCAAAACAAGACAATAAAATCAAAACACTCAATATTAAATTACAAGAATAATATAGAAGAAAAGCAAGTATTTTAATATTCTCTGGCGCAAGAGGAAGCTCATTGAAGACTCACTACAAAATGTTTGTATTCTTTTGCTTAAAAACTCGTCACTTGATTCTTATATTGCTTAACAATATTGGTATGTAAATACTTTTAGTACGAGTTTATTAAAATATTAAATTAATTTTAATATTTGATAATTCTATCGGATAAATTGTTTAACATTGCTTATTGTTATTTTTTTACTCATGTTGTTTAATGATTTTTCTAATGACTATATTTATTGTGAGAAAAGTCATGCCAAATAGCTGTATAATCAATAATGGCGGCTCCTTTTTATTATTTAGCTGACAAGGCGCCCTAATAAAAGCGAAAGTTGTTTTAAATTCGCGTCAATATAAAAAGGCATTTATGTTCAATAAAAACTAAAAGTTTTCGTGCGACAATAGAGAACTGATAGTTTGGTTTGAGAGGAACTTCTAAGATCAATTAGCAATGGCGCAGTTCTGTCTGTTGTTGTTGTTGTTGTGTAGGAGGCTGGTTGTGGGCTGCTTCATTGGTACTCGATGATTGTTAATTCGAGATGGTTCAATGATTTCTGACAGCAGCTTTTGGCCCAGTCATTTGTTGTTGATGGTGTCGTTATGTGGTGGTTGCCCGCTCACTCACGTGCCCCATCAGCATCAGCATCGGCACCAGCATCCGGCGACGTCACCAATGACATTTGTTTGCCTTTTGCCATTGGCATTTCGGCCAAAAGCCCCATGTCGCAGCCATTCAGTCTGGCTATCTGTCTGTTTGTCCTGTCAAGCGTCTCACGTCAGCGACTTATTGATTCGCACTGCCATGACTCAGAGCAAACGTGAGTGGAATGTCTGTGGCAGGCAGGCAGGCGCTGTTATGACTGTTTGGTATAGCTTGAAAATGAAGTCGCAGTCGCAGTTGCAGTTGCACTTGCAATCTTTACACTTGGCAGCTGCAGCTGTTTGCACTTTGAACAAAAAAATATAAACACTTACAAATAAGAAAAAATGATATGAAATGAAACGCTGCACATCCATTAAATGCCTGGCCCCCTAGTCGAGCCGCATTTTTGTTTGTTGCGAAAAAGAACAGGAAACTCGGCAGCTTGCAGCAAGACTTGCTAAATATGCCACACAGCTGAGCACCAGACTCAGACTCAGACCAAGAGACAGACTCAGGCTCCAGCTCTCATCTTCTGCCGCAATAATCGCCATCGACTCTAAAGTTGAGGCTGTAGCTGAAGCTGAAGCCGATTCCAAGTCTGCGTCCACAGTCCAGTGCTGGCAATTGTGAGCGGTCAGTCTGAGGCAATGTTTGCGAAATATTTGAAGTATTCGTGAAACGGTTGCACACGCAGCCAACTTTGGGCACATTTGTGGGCAGATAATACATACTTGTACATACTATATAGGCGCAATATCTATGTATATATATAAGTAGTTAGCCCATTACATGCGAGTACAGTCGAGCCGCATATGGCGGTTTGGTCAGTTGTTAATTAGAGTACAATATTTGAATAATGTGGTTTATGGTCAGATGAGCTCCTGGTTACAGAAAAAAACGGTAGAAGGAAGCGTTCAATTTGAAAACAAAAAACAACACCAAATTACAGCAAAGCCTTGCAGTAATAAACCAAAAACCTATTCTCCTAAAAAAATAACTTAATTATGCTTAAGATAATGTTTTGATTGATAAAATGTGCTATAATGTATATAAAGAAGCTATATGTTCTAAAAATTCTGGTGTAACTTCTTAAAATGTTGGACTTTGCTTGAATTAAAACACTTTTGTTTTTCTATTGCAGCTTAAACATTTCTAAGGCCGCGTTTATCAATTTGAATTTCATCATAATTTCATCATCACAATTTCTCATCAACTCCATAATTATAATTTTAGAAATATTCATTTTGTTCTTGCTGAAAAGTTTTTAAAAGCAAAATACCTTTTTTGAATTGAAATAATAGTTTCAAGTATTTCGAAACGGATCATTTTTTTAAATAAAGAGGACATTTAAGAAGTTATATTAATATTTTAAACAAATTGTTTAGGGTTAAGTTTGTGTAAAAAAGTTGTCGATGCCATGGGAGTAATCGTGAACAAACAAAACTGGCTTAATTTGAAAAAATGTGTACGAAATTGTATAAAAATAGTATAATTTTTGCCCTTATTGCTATATAAGGACATCTTAAGGCCCGGCAGGACCTACAACACACAACCCTGGGGAACGGTCAGTTATTTCTGGTGCACCCTTCTTTGTGCGAAACACTCGATCCATGAAACGATATGGTCGTATGTTGAGTCACAGAAATGTCCCGATTTATCTGTTTTATCTATTCTTTTCGCCATAAAGCTTTTATTATTAGTATTATAAATAACTGCCTTCTATATGGCAAACACTCGATCCACGAAACGATATAGCCGTATGTTGAGTCACAGAAATGTGCCGATTTATCTGTTTTATCTATTCTTTTTGCCATTAAGCTTTTATTATTATTATAAATAACTGATTTTATTTTGGAACCATTTAATAATTCTCCTAAACAAGAACAGTTTGTAAATAAAATCAACACTTAAAAAAAATCTACTTATACTACTATCTATGTATTTTTTTGATTTTGTTAAGACACAATTTTTAATTTATAATCTTGCCATTTGACTTGTGTGGCTTGTTGTATTTTTGTCAATAAGGCAATTTAGGCCTTTCATTATTTAAATTTTGTTTTCATATTCAATTCTCTCTATAAGTTCTTTTACAATTTGATTAAAAGTTATTCAAATATAGTTAAAGAATTTAAACTGAACGTGATACATTCTTGAAAAACAAATAAAAATTCTACAATTATATTCCCGTTCTCAAACATCAATAGAATGGCAATTTTCTAAAAGTTATTATTGTAAGAAATGTTAAAAATGTTGTTGTTTTTTTCAGCCACAATTGAATTTCTAAACAAATGCATATAGTGTCCGTAAGTATTGGAAATGTTAATATTTGTGTATTGTCTGGAGTCCCCAAATATGTACTTAGGCGGCATTTGAGTTGAGTTTATCAACAGGGGGGACCCCAATCTGAGGTGAGACTGTACTTAGTTGTTAACTGTTGTAACCCTATATGTAAGCGGGTCTTTGTGCTGCCTCTGCTGCTGTCCAGCAGATGACGTAATAAAGGCAGACAGGCGGACATGCGGACAGGCAAAATGCCAATGAAAACGCAAACGCAAACAAAAACAAGTTAAAAATAAAACCTCAATAATTGGCGACATAATTGCAACTTAATACCACGCTTTGGCTCTTTTAATTTAGTTAATTATATCGACCAAGACAACAGAAAAGCGAACACTGAAAACAAACCAAAAATACGTGTAAAAGGCAGAAACAACAACAACAACAACAGCAAAAACAAAAATACAGATAATGCAGGCAAGAAAAGCAGCACAGTAAGTTAAGGGCATGCGAGCAGTAGTGAGACCCGTAATAATGAACTGGTTGCGATTGCTCGAACGCTCCACTGGCCGATCGCTCCACTTACTCACCTGCAGCATCAGTTCACGCAACTTGTCCAAATCGTCGCCGTGCGACCTTGTGGGCAGATAGCGGCTCTCGCAGGGCTGCGGCGGCACGGCCAACAGCAGCAGGAGCAGTAATGGCAGCAGCCAGGCCAGCATGTTGCTCAGGCCGAGACTGAGGCCCAGGCACTGTTGCACTTGCTTCCTTGGGGCTGTCATTGTCGTCTTGGCTCTGGCTCGCTTGCTCGCTTGCTTGCGGTTTTTGTGGCTAACAACTGCAAGTTAAAAGGCATAAATTTATACATATGTGTTTATGTATGTGTGTGTAGGGAGAGTATGTTTAAAGGGTTCGATTTCACACACAAAGGCTACAATTTGATAGCGTATGCCTGGCCCCCACCCCACCTCGCCTCCACCCAGTCAACAGTTGGCGTCAGCTGCGACCTTGAGGCGGCTCTAGTTATTGCCACTCACTTAAAGTATTACACAATCAATTCTTCCCATTGACTTTTTCATGCAGACAACAACAACAACAGCAGCAACTACAGTTACTTTCTCATCAAGTGCACTCTGACTCACATTTATCGGTGTTATATATACGTATAGTATCTGGCTCTGCTTTGTGTGTGTTTTGTCTTAACCACGTCACTTGGGGTCTTAAGGCGCGTTCTACCGCTCAGCTTTCACTTGCCACGATGTGTTGAACTAGGATAACAATGTTGCTTTAAGCGAAGCTCCGTGCGAACATTTGTATTTATAGCTTTGTGTGCGGCAGAGATTCCAGTGCCGCCTTCATTGCCTTTGACTTTGGCTTTAGCAGAATTTTCGCATTGGTCATGGTATCTGGGCAAGGACTCAACGCCATCTGCATGACCTACATACGAGCAGCTAAGCAAACAATTGAAGCAGGAACTATTGCCGTAGATAGACCAACATATATATTCAGAAAGTATAGATATCACAAAAGTACTTTTTAACTCTCCCATTAATAGCTTTCACCCCGTTTTAGACATTCTAAAAGGCCTGATTTACTCAGCCTATTAAGTTTTATATTTCAAACATTCATTTTAATTCAATTAATTTAATATTGTTATTATTATTTCAATAATAATATGTATGCATGTCATTTTTAATCGCATGCTATAATAGATGATCAAAAACGAAAATTACATACATCATCTGAGTAAGCTAGATTTTTGCTTGCAGCGTGTTTGAATATTTTAAATTGACTTTTGAGATGATCGAAAAAAAATTAAATACATCATCTGGGTAAGCCAGATTTTTGCTTGCAACATGTTGAAATATTTTAAATTCACTTTTGAGAAATTATTTTGCGGTCTTAAAAACGTTTTACTAATTATTATTGGTAGAGGCCTAAATTGACAACCTCTGTTGTTTGGAAAACAGGGAAAAATGAAAAAACCAGCCAGTTTTTCATTTAATTTATTTGACAATCTAATTATTAATTTTATGCTTCTGTTTTTACATATTAAAACATAAAGTATTATTTTAAATACATACATTTTGCAACAGTGTCGTGATCTATTTAAATATACATACAATTTAATTTTCATCTATTCACTGTTTATTCTGTTCTATGTTTTTTGTGGTTGACCTTTCTGCATCAGTCTTCTTCTAATATTTTAGTTCCTTCATTTACTTTTATAATTATTACTTACACATGTATTGTTATCCCTTATAATACAGACAAATACCGTTTTATATAGAATTGTTATTGATTTAAATTTGATTCTATTCATGACTCGTTTATTGTTTACCTTTTCAACTGGAGAGTGCTTAAAATATATTAGAACACTAATAAATGACTAATATAACCTTTTTCCATTTTCACATCACATTTGGGTCTGTTCCTAACCTTATATAAAATCATGGCCTCACCTCAAATTAATTGCTATTTTGTTTCTCTTTTACTTACATAAAAGATGGCTTCGCTTGGTTTTAGTCGACTTTCTATTTTTTAATTTCTTATTAGCGAATTTTAATTTTAAACTTTTCTTTTGATGCAAAGTAATGATTTTCTGTTGTTATTTTTCTGAAATATATTCAAATTCATATGTGATTAAGAATATTATTTATTTGTTTAATATGTTTTGGATTTATTTTCTACTTAAATATTATTTTTTAAATATTTCAACTACACTTCCCCTTTATCTTGTATTGCTTTTTTTTCTTCTAATTTTCTTTTGTGTCCTTTTGGCAAATAAAATTGGACAGTTTTGTTATTTCTATAGGCTTTGTTTTTCTTTAGTTTTATCTAGTATAAGTTCTGCATTGTTTTGATTTTTTTTCTCAAATCAACAGCTCTGTTTGTCGATAAAATAGTTTAAAAAAATAAATATATATTATTATTATTTTTCTTTCAATTAATATTAAGAATATCGTTTGATCATAACACTCATAAATGGTTTTAAAATAAATAAAAAATTGTGTTCGAATCGCAAAGCTTTCTTCTGAATGGCTGACAGTATTAACTGCCTCTTTTGACTTGGTATTTTTTAGGAAATCAAAACTAAGACAATATTAAGTTAAGTAGCGTATCCTGGATCCTGAGGAGTCGGTTATGCCGCTCCTTTTTGCCACAGCAGTGTGCCAAATTCTTTTCACTTTTGTGACGCAAAGTGTGTGCGCGCGCAAGCTTAACAGAAGCGCGCACACACAAAACACTCACAAAACACATACACGTATAGTACATACATATATATGCATAAAAGCCATACAGACAGACACAGGCACAGACACAAAGGCAGCAGCACAGCAGAGCACAGCAGCCGTATCTTTTAGCCGCCCCATGTACGCCACTCTGTACTCTGTAGTGTCCATGGTGCGGCACATAATGGTGTGGGAGAGATCATAATACGCCCAACACACACACACGCACACGCACACACACACACACAGCTACAACCACTTACACACCATGTAGATAATGTGGCGAAATATTTTCGCTTACAGATTTTCATGCTTGACTGCCACAGGCTTTTCCCTGTCGCTGTCGCTGCCGCTGCCATTGGCTGCCTTTAGCTGCTGCTGCCGATTTTTATTATAATGCGTGTTGCTGTTGTCATTCTTTTGATTGTTGTCATCGTTGTCATCGTTGTCGTCGTCATGGCTGCAGTTGTTGACATTACGGCGTCAATAATATCCAGTCAAGTAACTAGCCACATGCTCGTACAACAAGCTCTTTACGAGTAGCTTCCCATTAACTGCGCTTGGGGGTGGTGGGTGGTTTTGGTGATGGGCCGTCGCTCCACTTCAATTGCTCCATTTATATACCGCGCACGTTGCCCGCTGGACGAAATTTTGATATAGCGCCGTTTTGTGTGGCCATTGCTGTGATTGAATACGTGCCCGGCATTTTCAAATGCATTCCAAGGCTCCGCATTGGGCAATACCCAGCGCAATTTATTAAGTTATTTACGATATTGTACCATATAGTGTGTATGTGTATGTGGTGGATATAATATGACAAAGTCCTTTCCTCTAAATCTGCAAAATAAACTGCACATGAAGCTATTAACTAATTATTTATGCCACTTGCGTTTCATAATAAAAGTGATAAAATATGAAAACTACTGACCTAAAAAAAAGTTGAGAAATTGCAAAAAAACTTTCTCTGCTGTTTCCGCCCGGGATCGAACCGGGGGCCTTCTGCGTGTTAGGCAGATGTGATAACCGCTACACCACGGAAACAACTGAACGAAGTCTCGCTAACATACAATATAAGCTCTAAAGCTCAGCAGCCTTTGTGTGAATAGTCGTTTTTTAACAACTAGGCAGCACTGGCTTGACAAAGCTGCTTGCTACGAAACACAAGCTCAACTTCAGCCTTGTATTGCGTAAAAGTCGACATTCGGCATGAAGCATCGGTGGTTCAGTGGTAGAATGCTCGCCTGCCACGCGGGCGGCCCGGGTTCGATTCCCGGCCGATGCAAGACTAATTTTTTGTTTTTTAAATCCCCTTAGAATTATTTAATTTATTTTTTACTGGTAGTACATTCATATAATAAAGCAACTGAGTTATTATAAACGTTTTATTTATTTGCATTTTTCAATTACAATAACAAATGAAGGCATTTTGATAGATGGGACATGGACATGGCTCGTATTTAAAAATTAATTATAAATCTTGCTTAACTAAGTATGTATGTATGTATGTATATAGTACCGTAAGCTATAATGCTACTTAACAACAACTAAAATACATTCTGTGGCATTCGACAACGTACAACGAAGCATAAGTACACTTTCGTTTCGTAGACTTTTGTTACGCGCATAAAGGCTTAGGTTTAAGTTTAAGGATTACATCTACAAACACAGCATGAAGGAAACAGGAACCAATCCATAAATATGCCCTTGCAATCGTTGTCCGGATCGTAGGCAAGCAATCGATGCCACTTATATTTCTGCTCGCATCCGCACTCGCCCTCGCAGCGTGGGGTCTGCGTATTGCTGAAACGAATCGAAACCGAAGTCGAATGAAAGCAAAATTATGAATGGGCGGCCATTTCGAGTATATTATGTTTATACGTAGTATATTATGTGTTATACCTGCAGACCTCCTGATGTATGGCCTGTTCGAAATGTTGCGTATTTACAATGGCTCGTATTTTTCCAGCAGAATTTGAGGCCCAGTAGGGTGTCACAATTTCAATTTTTGATTCACAGGCGTCAAGTCTGCAAAAATAGGATTTTCATTTAAATGTGATTTTATATTGCATTAAAATACTGATACTAAGAAAGAGATACACAATATTCAAAAATCAGAGTGTTGGATAAAAACAAATATGTTGGTATAGCTTATAGCTAAAATATAGGTTTAAAAACATATTTATAGCACAAATCTCTTGAAAATAGGCCAGTCTATTAAACAGTACTTCATATTTATCCTTATACTGATTATATGAAAACAATAGGTATGAAGAATTTTTTTAAAGCTGTACGATTTGAAATTGAATGAAGAATTAAGAAAATGCTGTCCAGATGGTGGTTAAATATAGAAAATTAGGTTGCCTAGGGACTGTATTCTGCCGGTCCAATTTCTCACCAAAATCTTAAAAGCCAAGCCTGGCTTGTCCACATATGTATGTTGAGTGAGATAAGATGATACATATTATTAATTAAATATAGTAACAGCTTATTGACATTTTTAATTCAAACATCCTTCATGGATTAAAGGTTAATACATATTCTCATAATAATGTTTTTAAATTAAATGGTGAAAGAAAATAAATGCCTTTGAATAGCACTAAATTGGAAGAAAATATTGAACACCAATATTTGTGTAATATAATATAATATTTGAAGTAATTATTGATTAACAATAGCTTTCGAAATAGCCTGCATTTTTGAGATTGTTCGTTTTTCTTGGGAATTTGTTTAATAAAAGTATAAAGACAGCATTAGAATTACTTCGCTTCAAACATTTTTAGTTTATTATTGCAACTAAAATTTCAAAACTAAATAGGAACAATCCTTGATTGGAATTAAAAACTAATCATAATATTAAATCAGCACCATTTATGGGACCATAACATTAAATTGACATGCAAATAAATAACTAAAATAAATAAAATTTCAAAAGCAATGCCAGCGTATGTGAAAAATATTACGTTTAAATAAATAACATTTTGTTAAACAAATAGCTAACGCACTTGAAATAACTATTTGAAGAACGGTATTCCATAAGTGTACTTAGAAAATTAAATTATAAATTAGGACGCTTTAAGCATTTAGTACCAAATCCTCAAAGGTTTTAAACCTTGAAAATGTAAATAAATGTATAAAAGAGTTGTTGAAGAAAGAAAAACACTTAAATGAGTTGCAAAATTCTTTGAATTTCATCAGGTTTTGATAAACCACAGATGAAATAAAATGATTTTCAAGGAACTATTTAAACTAACCATTGACCACAAGAAACAAAAGCCGCGATCGTAAATTTAAAAGGCATTACGCATTTAGTCCCACTCCTATACATAGTACAAGTAGTCGTATTACCTGCCAGTGCCTGAACTGCCTTGTCTGTTCTGATTGTTGTTGTTGGCACCACCGGCAGCACCGCCGCTGCCACCGCCGCCGCTGCCACCGCCAACGCTGCCACCGACTCTGTTGCGATTCTGCCCCGCCGCTTGACGCTTCTTCCGCAAATTGCCGAAGTAACTATCGCCGGCCTCGGCATGCGTCGCAGCCCCCGCATGGGCCGCATAGGCGCCCGGAGGTATAAAGATGTCCGGTTCGTCGATGAAGCGTCGTTTGCGGATCTTGGCCTGTTGCCGGGGCCCGCCGGTGTCCATATTCATCTCAAAGTCCCCATACATGCGACGCATCAGCGCTTTATTGTCATCGATGAACCGTTCGATTTTGTCACTAAAAGCAAAGAAAGAGAGAGGCAGAGAGAGAGAGAGAGAGAGAGAGATGGTGTTAGATGATAAGTTATTGGCGTTAACTGACCTCAGACACTGTCAACACTTACATGGGATAGCTGTTGCCGGCGGTGGGGCAGAAGAGCTGATGAAAGCGCTTGATGCAGGGCACACCTTTGATGACATCGCCACGCACGTCCAGACCCAGAGCCACAGACAAGGCGGTCCACCAGATCTATAGAGAGTGTGTGATTATAATTTTCATACCTGCATTCATACAAGCGTATAACAATTTATAGCAGGGTGTGAAAATGACTCAAGTACGACATAAAATTCATTTTTTTTTATATCAACTCAAAGCTTTTTTTTTAAAGTTTTTTTCTTCTTAATTTTGTTTTCATCAGCACCAACAGCCGTTGCTTTAACGAACGAACTCGCGCGACCTTCGTGCGCAAAAAATGAAACACACAAAGCAAAAAAAAGAAGAAAAAACAAACAAAAAATAACGAAAAAGCAACAAGTATCAAAAGTTATTTCCGCAAATGAGCAAACTCGATCGATATAATATAATGCTGTCGAGTACGAAAGCATGTGTGGGGGAAAAAACGCCGGACCTGAAGATTCTTTACATTTTCACGCCTCTTATTCAATTGTACACGTATTGTTTGCACTATGTGTATTCATTTTGTATTCATTTGTATTTATTCGTATTTATTTGTACTTACGGGTATCTGCAGAAAGCTGCCATTGTTGAGCTTCGGATAGGAGAAGAGCGGCACAACCGGCACACTGCCATTCTTCAGATAGATCGGACCCTGTATGGGTGTGACGGTGGGCATGTTGCCGCCTTTAGCATTATCTGCAATCAGGGCCAAGAAGTCAATTAGCCATTTAGCAATCACATGTGAGTCACTCTGCAGGTAGGCTGGCAGTCATTGTAATTCGTAGCTGACGTCCTTGCTGCCTGCAGAGCCATTAATCAAAGTGTGGTTTACGGATAAACCCAATATTATGTGCAACCAAGACTGCCTTGCTGCTGCATACAAATGGGCTGGAATTTTGCATTTTTGTTTTGGGAGGGGGGAGGTACGAGTCGTCTTGCAGTTGCAACGTTGACATTTCGCATTTAATGCGTGCAAGGCACTGCTTAGCATTTTTAATGCCGCTCGGCAACAACTTTCGCTTTGGCTGGCTACTTACTAAGTAGTGGTCTGACAGGAGGTCCAAAAAATATTTCAAAAAAAAAAAACAAAATTAAAGCAACGAACAACAGTGAAGATCGCCTCGCATGCAAATCTGGGCGAAAGGTATGGCTGCAACAACAAGTTTAAAATGCAGCTCCAGCTCTGTCTTAAAGACTTAACCGAGAAATTAAATGAAATGAATTATTGAATTGAAAATTTGTTAGTCCGAATCGGTTAATTATAACTTGTAGATATCATAAGCCAATGCCAAAATGTTTGTACTGCTGGAGTAAACAACTGAATTAAGCATAAGCGGGGCTCTTCAAAAACATAATCTTCCATGTTCTCCCATTTGATATCATCGGGAGACCCACCAAAACAGTCTTAGACTATGAGAAACATTTGCATGGAAGGATGCAGCTCCCCACCCACATCAATTATTACATACCAAAAGTTAACTTTCAAAAGGTCTTCACTGTTAGGACTCCCAAAGGACTAAAATGTGTATTTCTCTCGCACGCAAGAGACATCGCCATCAACGTATTTACGGCTGGCTTTAAACAAAAATGAAAAGGAGGAGGAGTCTACTCTCCGGAATTATAGAATAACATTCTCTGTCCGACTTCCGAACCACTGCAGTGTCCATATCCCAGGTGGAAATTAATGCGATACACCTATTTCTAACGATTCTAGATATCTGTCCGACCAATTCAAGATATCTAATAAAAATTCAAATGAGAGCTTAATGCGGTTTAAGGAAATAGAACCAGAAGAGAATAAATGATTGTTCATTCAACTAACTAAGTTCTAAAGCACAAATATAGAGAAATATTAAATATTGATTCGCATTTGTGCATATGGTGGTTAGCATAAACTATGTGTGAAGGTATTACTAAACGATTAGGAATTAAACACATTTGATATTAAGAACAGCATACATTTGGGCTGAACTTTATGGTTCTGCTGCCTATGCCGAGTTAAATGACAGCTTATAAAAAAGAAATCCAACTAACTTAAATACTGAACTCGACTATATAAGAAAGAGATGTTTTTAAAACTTTTAGAAGAAATATTGAAGGCCTAATAAAGAAATAAAATTCGATTTAATTTAAAATGCAATTAAATCGCTTCAATTGTTACGTGCTTCTTTATTTATTAAATGCTAGCTTCAAGTAAAAGGTTTCTAATAAATAAGCTATTATAGTCAATTTTATAAGCGATTAAAAGATTGTGAAAGATGAATAATTTTGCTAAAATGTCTATCAATATATTACAAGACCTCATTAAACTCATTTTAGAAGAACAACAAATTTTGGTTCGACGAAGTGTGTGTTCGATTTATATTTAATTATTAAATTAAATAATCTACTTACTGCACAATTCGACAATCCCTCACATTAAGAATCAATCATACACTGTAGGCATTAAGCAAAGTTTCTTTAATAAAAACCACTCATTTGCTTAGGTGATGGAGCCGATCAGTTGATTGCGGATTGAAGGAATAATAATACGCAGAATTGTAAATGGCACCACAAGAATAGATTTGGCTCAACTGAAGGGCCATTGAAACAAAATACTGAAATAATTCATCCACTTTTGTCCTTTTTTATTTTATTTGTTCTTTTTGCTCGCTTGTTCCTTTTGTTAAGCAAACAACTGCTCTTCAAATAAATTCAAAAGCAAAAACTGTTCAGTTCATGAATGAAAAAAATAAGCTGTTGAAGAACCTGATGAAATCGATAATGAACAAAATTAGCCGGTGACTGGCTGATCTTTTTTTCATTTTTTGAACTCAAAAATAATTAATTTACTGTATAAAAACTGATCTATAAGCTTCCTTTTAGTTCAGTTTTTTTAGTTCAAATAAATTTATGGAAATATAAAAGGCATTCTCTTTAGAGTTTGTTACAACTAGCTGTGCATTTTATGTAAGAAGATATAAATAAAATGAAATTTTCCAGTAATATTTATTTAATTTTGTTAATTACTTTGAAGTTTTGAAATGTTAAACAAATGATTAGAATATTCAGTTTTAAAAATGGATTAAGGTTAGGCTGGCTTTTCAATTTTTTAATAAGCAATAACTTCAATTACAATTGCTTAAAATGTTTTGCTTAAGCAGGCTGCCATAATAAAAGGTATTTTGTTTTCAGCTTATTTTTGATTTATTTTTATATTTCAGCCTGCCGCGCATTAAAATCTCAAGCTGGTTTTGTGTTTTAAGTTGTTACTTGTTTTCCGCCGTCTCAAAAATGTGTGCTTCTTAATCGGCTTTTAAGTTTCGAAAACTATTAAGAATGAAATAAACTTAGAGTGCAATTTTTGAGAGCAACAGCTGTGGAACTGGCTTAGGGTAGAGGGATGTACATATAGGAGCAAGCAGGCGTGAGGGCGCAGCTTGTTTCATGTTTTCGACTTCACTTAACTCTTCATTACATGATGGACTCGTTTCACACGAAGGCTGGCAAAACACGCAGGCATGTACAAAGGTGAAAACAAAATCTTGAACAAAACTAAAAACAGAAGAAGAAAAAAACAGAAATGAAACACAAAGCCAAAGAAATACAACATGTATGCGTGTGCACGTCTTCTGCAGCATTTAACATACGAGCTTGAGCCCCAGACCCAGACCGAGCCCAAGCCCCACTTCTTGCATAATGCGCGTTCGCGACGAGCACTTGAGATCGTTATTGTTGTGGCTGTTGTTGTTGTTATTGTTGTTGATGTTGTTGCTCGTGCTTGCCAACTGCTTGGCAACTCAGCAAGTTGGAAACTTGGCAACTTGGCAACCTGGCAGGTTGCTGTCTGCAACTAACGCCTTGAGATGTTTTGGGGCTCAACTAAAACAAAGAGGCGCCATCAATAGAAACCCAAAAAAAAAAAAAAAAAAAAAAAATGAAAACGAAAGCCCACAAGTATAATTATTGCCAGGCCTCAAATGAGAAATCAAATTGCAATGACAGTTTTGTTTTTGGGTCGCTTCAGGAGTACATACATATTAACAATAGCAACAGTTAAAACAATAGCAGCAACAACAACAACAACAACAATAACAACAGACGTTGCTTCGAACGAAATTGAAAACAAAATCGGAGCGAGAGTTGTTGGAGGCAGGCAGTATCAGTCATCTAAGCAGTGAGCCAGTGAGCCAGTCTATCAGCCATAAAAGCCAAACACTGGCCATTACTGTCAAAAACGAGACCTTGTCGTGCGTTTGTAGACCTTTGACCTTGTGGCTGTAGTTGTCTGTAGTCTAACAGCTATACTATAGTATGTGAAGAAGTTGCTCTCAATTGGTAAGATACACAAAAATAACAAATGCGCTCGACAGCCAATACTATGCGATAGCAATAGCAACAGCAACAGCAACAGTGACAGCAATAAACATTAAACATTTAACCCCGAACAAACGTTTTAGAGGAAACCTTTCGCCCCCTACTCGCACTGCTGGAACACCCACAGCCGTCGAATTTTAGAAGGGCATCATAGATAGATAGATTAGAGGTTGGTGGGTGGATTGCCAACAACCTAAATGAAAGATCATTAATATCAAGTTTCCACGCTCCTTTTTACACTACAATTAAGACAATGCTCGACTAACATTCAAATAAACGACCAATTTAATAATGATCCATTAACAATCGACTGCATTCAATTTCTTGTTCAATTCCTGCAATAAATGATTTCATAAAAAATTTCAGAGTGTTTCCCTAAAAACGCATTATTGTGCGTTGTTCATTGTGTTTATGAAAGATGTCTTATGTCTGTTATTAATACGAACTGTAAGTACTTGATCTTAATTAGTTACTCATCATTGCACAATTCATGGCAGAATTGAATGATCAATTTGAAATATAATCTTTTGGCGTGAAACAAAGCAGCGTTAGAGGAAAACTTGGCAAAAGCTTGAAATGCAAATGCTTATAAAATTAAAAAAAAACCTCGTTCGGCTTAAATCAAACAGAATAAAACGTAGATATGTTGCTTTGGTTTAAAAATTAACCAAATGAATCTCACAGATAATTGCCCCTTAGGGTTGGGACATAAGAAAATTTTAGGTAACGGCAGTTCTATGATTAAAACAATTTTGACAAACATTTTGACAAACTTCTCTATAATACTATGTAGATTGAAATGGAGAACATCTCTGCAAATACTATGTAGATTGAAATGGAGAACATATTTAAATATTTCCAATTTATATATTGCAGAGAAATAATTATATAAATATATCTTTAAAATGTGCTGCCACACACGGCACATTTTATGGAAATTGTACTTCATATACAAATTTAATGATGTCCTAATTTCTGATCATGGTTACTTGAACTTGGCCTAAATCTATGGCCGGGCTTTTTAAAGAAGCCATGTTTTCTAGAGAATAGTTTCTCTGGGAGGAGAGCAAATTGTGAAATTATGAATCAAGTAAAAGAATCCGACTAAAGACACCCATAAATTTTAACCGCGTTGTTAGTTTAGAAGAGAAGTGGGCATTCAAATATGCTGATGTATTATAGCCACCAAATTTAAAGCAAAACATTCATAGTTCCAACATTTTTAAAAAGAGTTTTGCAAGTTTCGTCCTCAAAGATTTGTGTACTTCTTAGTTTTAGTTTCATATTAAAATAGAAATATCTATTTAAATTACTTGTATATTAAAATTTATTTTGAATTGTGAATGTCGATCTTAGTTGGTTGCTTAAAATGCTGATAAAAATGACAAGTTATGCGGTTAATAATCTGTTTTATAACAAACCCATCTTACTAAAATACACTTGAATAATTTTTGATGCAATGTTTGGTGTAATGGGAAGGATTTAGTATCACAAAATAAAACAAAAATTTGAACTGAATATGTGATGACTAGCGTAATAACTTAAAAGTAATCTGGCACTTGTAACGCTAGAATAAGTTAATAAAATAAATAAATAAATACAGATAAAAGGTTCTTTTTTCAGTTGTGAATACCAATCGACAGCTATGTGCCTCTGGAATTTAAAGCTAAAGAACATTTGTTACAATTTTTTAACCAACATCCAACATTTTACGTACGATAACTAGCCTGATCTATAAAAATCACCATACCAGATATCGTTCTAAAGATTTCAAATCGGAAAAGCAAAATAAGTTCGCAAGTGAACGAAGCTAGTTTTAAATTTTTGTGGAATAAAGATTAACCTACTTTGTAATACAACACTTAAAATGTATGGAAGTGGCATTTAAAAAAGCTTTCAATTGCATTTGGTAGAGTTCTCTCCTGTAAGCTAATACAGAGAAAGGCTTGAGCAGCACACTTGTATACTAAGTGGTGGAAATTATCATATTGTAGAAAATTCATTTGAAAAGAATTCACGACCTCTGTTATTAGTTTTCCAATAATAATCGTGAATCAGCGGCAACAGTCACATTGTAACAGTTTCGTAATGAAAACCAATTTGTTGGGAATGCAAGGAGTGCTGGAAAGTGTAGAAAAAATTGTCATTCACCTTTTTCGTTCTCCTCGCCATCGTAGTAGTCCTCGTCCTCGCCCTCCTCCACATCGTAGTCGAGCACTGCATGCACTTGGGTGCGTGAACCCTGACCTGCCTGAACACGCGTAAATCCGGGCTGGCGTTCCGGAAAACCGCCACTCGGCGGAGCCACGCCATAGGTGGAGGCTGGTTGATCGGTCTTGCCACTGGAGCTCTGGCCTTGCTGCGGATGCTCGTTGACTTGCCTCGGCCGTTGTCCGGGCTGTTGCTGTCGAGGATTGTTGCCAAAACTGGTAATACTAAAGCTGCCGCTGTTCTTCGTAAAACTCGCACTGCCATGTGCATTATAGTACTGTTGTTTTTGTTGTTGTTGCTGCTGTTGCTGCGGTTGTTGCTGCGGTTGTTGCTGCTTCCCTGCCTGCGGATAGCGAGTGTAGGAGCCCTCGGCAGGACCGCGACCACTCGATTGTTGTGTGACTTGTAAGGTGCTTTGTCCTGTGGAGCCAGCTTGGAAGGCCACACTATTCTCATCTGTTTCCAGCTGCTCGCTATGGCTGCTTGCCTGCTGTTGGTGTTGCTGCTGCTGCTGTTGTTGCTGCTGTTGTTGTTGTTGCTGTTGCTGTATGTGGTAGACAGAGTTGCGCACTGCGCCCGCTGTGGGTGGCGGCAAGTAGGCGTTGCCGCTTTTTCTTCTACTATTCGAGTTGTAAGGATAGCCAGCAGCCTGCTGCTGAACCTGCTCCTGATGCTGCTGCTGCTGTTGTTGTTGTTGTTGTTGTTGCTGTAGCTGATGCAACGCTGGTGCTGCATAGGGATTGTTCTTAAAGTATTCTGGAGCCGCTGGTGTGGCATCTTGTGGCTGCGCCTGCTGATGATCGGCCGGCGAGTAAAGCAAATTGTTCGTATTGCTGGCCAGCTGATGTATGGGATGCAGGGGGGATATGGTCACGCCCCAGGGCTGTGATAGCGCGCCAAATGGCAATGAAAAGTTGGCCAGAGCCATGTCTAGCCAGCCTAGTCTGCTACTGCTACAGCTGCTACAGCTGCTTCGTGTTGTTTTGTTTTCGTTGCGTCACTTGTGTCACTTGGCAATCAATTTTCAATTTCTCGCTGCATGTCCAAACAAAAGACTTAGGCAACGAACGTGCTCGCTTTTCGCAGGGACTGTGGCTGCGCTTTTTGCATGTTTTGTTCTTTGCTGCTATATGGCTGTTTAATTTTCTATATAGAACACACATACACATGTGGTGTACACACACACACACACTGACACACTCACACACACACACTGACACTCGCACAATCGCGATAACCGTTCGTCAAGCGCGCGCTAAATTGATTTATGCAAAAATAACAAATTCATTGGCTCATGCTCGTATGGTGGTGTACCTTACAATAAGACAATTTGAATAGCACACACGCACACAGACTTAGACACAAGCACATATGAATACAAACAGACAAACATATATATTTGTTTGTGTATTATAAATATGTGCAAATGTTGTTGTTGGTAGTAGCCAGCCAGCCAGCCAGCAAGCGTGCAGCGTTCGGTACGGGTCGGCGTTAATAACTCGCGGCTAACTCTCGCGGTCTTGTGCTAAAAAACCATTCACGACAAGCTGACAATCAAGACTGAGCCGTTCTCGCTGTGCGCTTTTAAAAAACTTAATGGGAAAAATGTTTAACAAGTTTAACTTTAAAACAGTTGCTTTGGTGAGCGGCGCGTCGCAGCCCCAGCAGCAGCAGCGGCAGCAGCAGCCTCAGTCTCAGTCGCAGTCTCCGCCGGAGCCAGAGCCAGAGTAGAGGCAGAGGCAGCGAACAGCACTCAGCAACGTAAGTTTTTTGAATGGCAAAACAAAAAATAAAATAAAACCGGAAAAAAACCAAAGTTCTGCAGCACGAATTGTAAATGCCCTCAAATTTCAGACCACTTCTCAATATATAAATGTGTGTAATAGTTGTCAGAACTTTAAATTCTACAAAAGACTTTTACAAGTAAAGCGTGGGGAAAAAATTAATTAAAAAAAACGTAATTGATTGATGATTTGTTAATTATTAATTATATTTAATTTCAATGAGTTAGCAGGAGTGTCAGGCCTGGATCACGCCGCAATGTCAAAGTTATCATAAAATTTAAATTTTGTCCAAGATAAAAAAAAAAAAAAAATTCATTTCAACCTAAAAAGCGTAATGAATGAAAACTTTGTGCAACTAATAGCTCTACTTGTAATTTTTCCAAATGCTTCTGAAATGCTTTAGAATCAAATATTTATCTACTATATGATTATTGAAAAATATTCATACTTTCGTTTCCAATTTAGTTTTATTTTACATAAATAATCTGACTTTAGGCAGCAGATTATTTCACAATTATAGAATAAAATGCTCTTTCTGTAGAATGCGAATTATAATTTTTTGAAAACTTTGATAGAGAGTCGGAATTGAATTAGTGAACAAATTATTGCTACACAATTGTTGTGAAAGGATAAAAAGTCCGTTTAATACACTGCTATATAACTAAAAACAAAGTGTTAATATTCTATTAACATTTTAAATACACAACACATATTAAGTACAATTTACATATTTCACTTTCCTACGCACTTTTTGAAGTATTGATGGAAAAATGCGTGCACCAATATTCATATCTAAATGAAAATGTTATAGTTCTAATAAGATGGAGTCGGAAATAAATGACTGGATTGGATTTTGTTGGAATTGCTGTGACACACCTGTATGCCAATATCATAAATATATTTTATATATATGTATATATATTATTATGCACTTGTTGACAGCTGCGTTGAGCTTTGTTTGGCATATAATTTGATGTATTGCCGTTGCGCTTGCTGCTGCTCTGTTGTTGCTGCTCCTGTTGTTGTTGGTGTTGTGTTTGCTGTTATTGTTGATGATGATGAGTCGTCATCGTTTGTTTACCATGTCATCGTGGCTGGGTCAATGCGTTTGTTACCAATGCCCCGAGCTCAAGTCCATGGTGTGCGGTGCTACAGTTTTTGCGTTTTTGTTTCATTTTCGAAAAGCGCATATTAATCACAGCAGACACACACACTCGCACACACTCACACACTCAAGAAATCATCGCTTTTTGAAGGCAATGAAAAGCAAAAGTATTTTTAAGTGGGCTCAAAAACAGGTTGTGAAGAGTTGTGCACGCAAAATTGCTTAAGAGAGAGGCTGCGCATGCTTCCATTCTCTCGCTCTCTTTAGAGAACTTTGTTGCCCCCCTGTTCGAGTGTATGTAAGCAAGTGGGAAGGGAGGAGGGGGGGGGAGGGGGCTGGTAGTGTCAAACAACATTGTTGTAATGCCGCATTGCTTGTCTACGTGAGATGATGATGACGAGAGCTAGCAAGCTGAGCAGAGCTGAGATCAGTCGATCAGCAAACGTAAACTGTCCAATACGTCACACACCTCATTTCATCTAGTTTGCATGTTGACACTAATAGCTTCTCTTTTCACACCTCCGCTGCTACTGTTACTCTCACAGTTTGTGGGGCGCACATTGCGGAAACGGATGCTGACGCTTTGGTTTGTTTTTTCGCCGAGTGGCGTGCTCTGATCTTATCGTTTACATGAATGTGCCCGGGAAACCCGCTAGCTCTTTTTTTTAAATTTGTTTTTTCTTATTTCTGCTCCTGGTCAGCTACACGAGCTGCCTGTCAAATGATTCACAGCATTCATTAGTTCGCGGCAATTAGCAAGCTTTGGAGAGCGCATGAGCAGGAATTAGCAATGTTCTAAGCATGTATAAGACACATTTTTTTTTTAGCATATCACATACGTGCCTGCTGTAAAATTCCACCTTTTAACAACTCCGGCAATTAAGAGCATTCTTTATAATAATATAATAACATTTATAAACAAGTGTTTTTTTAATTTAACGGAATTTTAGTTGAGTCCGTTTGCGTCCTAAAGTCCTAAAATTGGCTGTAAAAGTTGAAAATGCGTGTATTTGTGGAAAGTCAATGAACTTTTTAATCAAGATTTGAACAATTTTATAGATCCAGGGTGAATACCCGCAGAATCAAGTTGTTTTCGTTTAAAGATTGGCTAAATTAAAAATTGTTGATAAGAAATGCAAAAATCAACAAAGAAAATGATTCAGCATCAAGTTGAGCTTCGATATAAGTCTTACTTTGTTTCCATATCAGTCTATATGTTCGCTTAATCTTGTCGCTATTGACCTTACTTCAAATCAATTCTCTAAGCGCGCACTTATGAATGAAATGAAAATGATGAGTTATGAACAAGAAAGATACTTATGGCTGGATCGTAATTGCTTTTCTGGCAAGTTCTGTAGCTATCGTGTGATATATTTGATTGAATTTAAACAAATATGGGCAAATAGTTAACAGTGACTTCACTAAAAATATGGTAATCTTAATTTGAAAATATGGTTGTTTATTTTGAAAATGTCGTTCATTTGGAACAAGTTAGATGTTTCTGTTGTTTTTGTTGTGGCTAAATCGAACTGGGAAGCTGCCATGATTAATTTAATTAATAGTAATGAAAAGGATGCGGGTATTACTTAAGCTTTGGCCAAATTCGTTATGTTTCTATTTGATTTGATACTGAAAATTTTTAGATGTATATCTGAAAACCAAAAATCAAATACGATTTTGAAACCATTACCAACTCAAGCGGGCTAAAAAGCTTTAACATTATGGCTTTCAAAAACTGGTCAGTAACTATTAATGGTTCTTAAGGAAGTTGAAAAAACATTAAAATTGTTTGCCACTCGACAAGTTATTTTAGATAGTTTTACTTAGAAAGAAATTCTCAGTTATTTGCCATTACAAATTTTACTATAAACTTCTTAGAAATATATACACCCAATTCAGTTCTTACACGATCTTTTTTACACGATTCTGATATAACACGGTTTGAAAATTAAAACCTTTAGAGATAAGGAAAGGATAAACGGTTGTTTCTGGAACCAATCTACCGTGTAAAAACAGAATTAGGTGTATTTGTAAGTATGAGTTAAAAGTGATCTGGAGAACGCTGACTTCCAAGTCAATAGACGCACCAGCCCATCCCGATCGCCATATCACCCGTCTCAGAACGAGACAACCGACATACTTACTAGAATAAGCTGGCAAATATTTTCACCCATCAATATATAAAACGTACCTTGTTAAGTATGAGTATAAGTATTCTTAAGAAAGTATCTATTTTCTTAAGAATCGCATATTTGTATTAAAAAAAAAATAAATAAATAGGCAATTCAAACGGAGTAAGAATTGGGGCTCACAAGCTGGTCTTTTAGTGGCGCCTGCAGCTCAGGGGCTTTCCAAGTCTGGCCAGAATGTTGTGACTTATCTGTTTCCGTCAACTTTATGGATAGATTTAGAGCAGAACAAGTTTGCGTTTGCGTTCGCACACAAATATACAAACAAATACATACTTACTTACACAGCTGACTTGGTTAGATATTCGAGTAACAACAATAGTAATACTAGCAACCATAACATGAACTACAACAATTGCTGTTGCCTTTCCCTTTTATGCGCCAGCATTGAAATGTTTGGTGTGGCGCAGTCGCAGATTTAAAGCACAAGCTCCTACATGTGTTCACGTACATACCAATTATATATATAATCCATAGTTTGATATGTGTACATACATATGTACGTACTCGACAAATCTAAATATGACATTTCTTAAACTCGTACAATAGCGAATGGCTATGGGGAGAGGGGGGGAAACTGTCGCCTGTCAAAATCGAGCGTTTGCCTTATCGTGTCAAAGCATGAAATGCGCGCTTTGGAGCTCTAGCTTTTCGGCCTTAAACACCAAACCAACTTAACAAATTTGACTGTCAATCTTTTGTGCAGACACAATATACAATACGGGTATATATAAAATAAAAATAAAAAGCGCCAAAACTGTCTGTTATAGAATTTTAGCACCAGTGCTAAAGACGAATGACAAAAATGTGCGCCCCTGGCTGACCGTTGATCGATCAACATAAAAATCTCTTTAATTAGAACCAATTTAAAGCGTGGACCAATTTATCAGAAGCATTTTGAAAAGTAGTTGAAAACCAGTTGAGAACAACTTCAGAATAGAATCGAATGGCAGAATGGCCGTGGAGGGGCGGCGGGTTTTGTTGTGAAGGGGCTGGTGGCTGGCACTGGAACTGGTGCGGGTGTGTGCTGTTCACCCAATACAAACAAACATACATACATACATACATACATACATATACACACATATATATACTTCATTAAAAAATAAGACCTGACGTTTACCATTATTTTTTTGTGTGTTGCCTTTTACGCATTTGTTTTTCTTGGTCAATTGTTGTTGTTGCTGGTATTGGCATTGTGTATACGACGTGTGTGCCAAAAGGTGTGGACCGCAACAAGTTCAAGTGCACATGCCTCATAAGTATATACATATACAAATACATACAAGTATGTACTGCTTATATGGCTGTGTGCGCGCTGCAAACAAGTTCACAATCTAGATAAAAGGCGTCCAAAAAATTTTCTTTTATACTCCATCATTAATTACCTTTCGATTTCTGGCCAGATATGCCAACGACTGTGACTTGACCAGTCCCGTCCAGTCCAGCTTTACCTTGTGCGGTGCCATGAACTCTGCCACACACACACCCTCATCACATATTTGGCATGGCTTTAAGTCTTAAAGCCCCTGCCCGTGGCGGATTTGCGGGATTACAAGATTGCGGTTTCTTAGAGGAATATATGATTTCTGATTTATTTATTGCAGCTGCAATTGCACTTAAAACATGCACATACTATATGTATGTATGTCTTAGCTTGTCTAATACCTATCATATTTTGTCTTTGTGGGCACGCTGGGCGCGGCTCCATTGCTGGCCGTCGTTTGGCTACTTCCTGACGCTGCCAGCGTGTAGACCTCGTAGTCACTAATCGTGAAGTTATAGTCTCCGAAGAGCGGCAGTTGGGCGGCATTGGGTCCGTCGTAGGAGTGCGGCAGATTCGAATAGGAGTCCATGTTTATGTTGCAGTTGCTGGATATGAGCAGATCAGCGCCAGCGCCAAAAATGGGGCCACAGCTAGAAACAAATTAGATATAATGCAGATTAATATTGTAATATCCGAATAAAATTGGAGATCATGAAGATAAACTTGCACAAAACTTTTTGTTTAATTTGAAATTAATAGCATTATATGAGCATTATAATCAACTTTAGTCAAATAATTAAAGTTTCTTTCTGCCTAAAATGAAAATAAAGCATTGCAGCAGACGAATTTCTTATATTTCAAAATTCACCAATACACTAATTAAATTCTAATAGCAATTAATGGATGACAGTTCTAGTTTAGGGATAGCGTATTAAGATATTAGTATATTATTGGTACAAGGTGCGACTAAAATTAATGACGCAACAACCTGTTAAAATTATTAACACTTGTTATTATTTACGAGCACGAAACACATTTCGACTTGGTTGGCTTTGTTAATAAACGTAAAGTAAAGTAAACCCAACCCCGATACTAATTTGCAACGAACGCCAGAACAGCAGTCTGCAAAATTGTTTCGGAAAATGCGCTTAAAACAGTTTGTATTTGTTTCTCGGCCATTCCAGGTTAGATACGTTTAACATATTTAAAATCGCACAATTATATAAAAAATTGTATTTTGTAATAAAAAAGTCAATCGCCAACACAAAAGATACATCTTTTTGTAGCCATTAAATAAGACTAAGTAAAAATTATCGAGTCTATCAGACATTAAATAAAATGCGGTGTTCCACGGAGGAATGGAATTTAAGAGATCCTGCATAGTTTGGTGGTTCTAGCTTTTTTCGGAAGCAGTAATTGAGTTTTCCAAGATATACCGGGTTTTAGGAGACCATTGTAAATTTTACATTTACGTTTCAAACACATGATATACATGATACAATTATTGAATTAAGCTAAATGTACAGCTCTCTAGCCAAGTATACTTACTCTGGATGATAGCAGATGGCATAGGGTTTCTTTACAATGTCAAACTTGACAGGCTGCTCCCCATTAGGTGGTGTCAGCATAAAAAGGAAGGCGCGCTCCGAATGCACGTAACCCCCCTTGCGACTTGTCTTGGCCCAGGCGACGTCTGTGAAGCCGCCACTGATCTCGCCGTGGGAACCCATGCCAATGACCATGCAGGGTGCCACACCATCGCAATAGCGATGAAAAGCGCTGGACACAAAGCCATGCGTGGACGCACGAAAAACCAGACGCCAGCCTTGCTTGGGCACACCATACCAGCCATTGAGAACGCTCTGCAGCGCCAGTTTGTCGTTACGCAAAATCTGTGAGCCGGGGAACATGTTGACAGTGAGCCGTGGCTGCAGTCGCTTGTCATTATCCACCAGTTTATTAGCATGCAGTGCAGCATAGCGATAGCGCTCAAGCAGCAGCTCCATGGGCACGGCGCCAGTGGGCTCCACCTCCTCGGCAAACACCTGACTGTCGATGAGCAGCAGGCGCACATGACCCATCACACCGCTCAGGTGCTGGCACACGCGGGCACGTTCCTCCTCAGTCCAGTGAGCGGTCGGTTGTGTGACGCCCGCCTGGTACTTTGCCCAAGTCAGAACGCAGCGCCAGACTTCCTCCTCCTCCAGGCAGAACTGCAAGTAATTTGAGCATTAATTACCATTATTATACTAAGAATATAGAGATCACTTACATAGTCAGAGGAAATGATTTTGATGAGCGCCTCCTTGCTTAGGCTTAGAAAGGCATTTGTCTTGACGCACTCGGCGGCATTCTCGCCAATATAAATGATGCAGCGTTCCATGAAGGAGGCCGCGCACTTGGCGCCTGCAAACAATTTGAAGAATTAGTAGCTACAATTCTACACACCTGCCACTTACGACCATAACATTAAAAACTCAGTCAATTTCATTTACATTAGGTTCTTTTATTATTGGAAAGTATTCAAGTTACATATAAATTCACTTATATTTACGATGTGTACTATCGTAGAGGACAGCGCGTGTTTCGAGTGTGGCTTGAAATTCTTTCTTTTAGTCCTTGGAAGGGCTGACATTCTGTATGAGCGTGATGTTATCACCCTTGAGCATAATGCGGCCCAGACTCTTGCGCTGTCGGGTCTTAACGTACACTTCCTCGGCGTCATCCAGCACCAGGTTCATGTATTCGTCGAAGCCTACGATATGGCCCTCAATGCGGAGAGAAATGTTCTCATATAGCCAGACTTGCACGCGCGAACGGTTTTGCAGGTAGCGAAAGATCAGGTTGATGGGTTGTACCATCACCTTTTGCACTTTCGTGTTGCCCTTGAACGACATTTTTGCGCTTTTTTATAGTTTTTATTCAATTTATGAAAATAATTTGCGCCGAAAACGTTTTCCTTTTGCCGGCGTCGTGATGTAGAGGCTAGAGATGGGCGTTTTTACACGTATGCGAGTTTGTCGCAGTTATTTCAGAGTCACAGTTGTGACAACTGTGGTGGGGTATTTAAATTAAGAATTATAATAAAAATCAACAATTTCTGCCACAGTAACCAAAATTATTGCAAATAAATTTGTATAGTTATTTGCAGTGAAACTTGTTGTTTTAAAACAGCTTCATAATTAAAAATAAATGCAATACACAGATGTCACAGGTCACAAAATACATCACATTAAAACTATCGGTATATCGAAACGCGCGCGCACGCACGCTTTTTAAGGCTGCCTGATACAGCACGCTTAACAAAAGCGAACCGGCGTTGCCAAGTGCGTGAATTTGTTAAACTCCGTTATGTTTATTGACATTAAAAGTATTTTCTATTGTTTTCACTCACCGGCCTTTTCGTGCATTTCCATAACAGCGCTAAGAAATGTGCAAGCATTGTCCACAGATAAAGTGGAGATCACATGATCTTCGCAAGCAGCACGCAGTTGAGCAAATCCCATGTCCTGGGCCAGCGTAAGCATTTCAAATACGCGCGAATCTTGCAGCATGAGCTACAGAAAAGCCGGTTGGAAAAAGGGGAATTGGTAAGTCGGCTAATAGTTAATGCTTTTAATTGTGTGATTAACTCGTGTTTACCTTTGCGGTATAGACATACAATATGAATTGGCGAAACAGGTCTGCATTGACATGTGGTAGGCGTATGGATGTGGGCGTGCCAGGTGCTGCCGGCGGCGAGACTGTGCAACCGGGAATGCGGCAGACCTCGCCACGTTTTGCGGTCTTGAAGCTCTTGCAGCTGATGGGAAAAAGCGACAAAGTAATTAACTGATTACCCGTTTATTTTTAGCTTATATCATTGCACATGTTTTCGTTGCTGTTGTTGTTGTTGCTGGTATTATTGTTATTGGTGGCGTCCACAAACGCATGCCTTAATCAGCTGGACGAGCCTCCATCCGCAAAAGGCAATAAACGCGGCGATAGCGCGGATAAAAAAGCGGCAACAAGTGCGTGTACGAACAAATATAGTGAGAAGCGCAATTAACGCGATCGGGCATGACTGGCAATTAACTTACCGGGCCATCAGCATCAGGCGATGGGCATAAATGCGTTCGTCCTCGCGCCCGCATATAAATACCAAGTCGGCGCTGTCCTGATCCTCGGACAGGCGTTGCATATCATCGATGAGTTGCGACAGCGCCGGCTCGCAGCTGTGCTGAGTGTTGGGCGCGGGGCAGGGGGGCGGAGCACGTGTTCCCATGACGCTCTTGAATGGAATGGAATCAATGTCACAGCTTTGAAGTACGAACTGACCAAATGCACTCGGCACTTTATTTTGGTTTTGTTTTGCTCTGTTTTCTCTGTAAATACGATCGTACCGATTTTGTTGCTCGGTTTGTTTATGTTTTCGATCCCACACTCCGCTCAGCTAGCGGAGCCAAGCACGTCGCGAACGTGGAATAGAACCGGTTCCTGCTGAATAATACGAAAAAAAATGCTACTCAAAAAAAAAAGCGAAGAACGCCACGAAGAAAACGAGCCAGAAAAACAATTAGTGCTCACTTGAGAACTATTTATAGTCTTTTTTCCTTCGATTTTCACAAATTTCCAACACTTGACTCAATTACTTTACACTTTAATTCATATTTATTGGCTTTTTACATTTCCCACGAGTGTCTCTAATTGAAGAATTCTGCTTTTTTTAGCCGCCGCACATCAAAATCTTCATTCATGCGCACGCATCTTGAATTGGCTCTGTTCGCAATCGCGTCGCCGTTAAGACTAACAAAGCCGACTAGGGACTGGCTCTTCCCAACAGGTAGGAAATGTGAATTTCGTTTTGTTTTGGCCTCTACTCATAAATTTGTTGCTGTTGTAGTTATTGCTGTGGTTGTTGCTATTGTTGTTTTGCTCTCTTAGGTCCATTCTGCGCCTGCGCAACACCGAACACACTGCCAGAGTTCACTAACCACATTTTGTGGGGTGGCCTGTGCCTGTGGATGTGATTTTGTTTTGTTTTATTTAGGTGAGGAATGTCGAATAGCTACTGATATTACTCGTATGAGTACGCTTCGTGGCACTTATTATGTGGGTCGTCATCTTCTTTATGTTCACAATAGGATCTGTATTAGGATTAACATAACATTCCAAATGACTAAAACGTCAATTCCTTATTTTTCATATTTTCACCCGCAGAATTTGCTTTATTAATTACAATATCTTGTCGATATTCTTATGCATTTCTCGCAATTAATTCACAAATGTTCGACTGTATAATATACTTGTTACATTTTGCTTTTCTATTATTTGAGAATGATTGAATTTTTCTAATAAATGCATTCTTTTAATGATTTCAGAACATATGCGTGTCATTATTCTTAATGAGCTCGTTGACTAAATCATATAATATATACTCATGTTTTGGTAAGTTTTTATAGTATATCGTACCGAATTATAACTAAAGAAATGCATTTAATATTATAGCATTAACCCTTGCGGTACTGCTGGATTATTACGTCCCAGAAAGTTTGAAAATTTCTGCTTGAACGGAAACCTCGAAATCGTCAAAGTTTCGCATTGAGCGCCTAATCGATATATGTAAGTAGACTTTATTTATAACAAAAATACTAAAGCTTATTAAATGAAGTGATTCTGGGCTAATCGCAAAATTAAGAAAAGATTTAAGATATTATTAAAGCGAAATTGTTGAGTATTTTGGTGACCTTCCTCATAGTTATTTTTATTGTTTGGCCGGCTCGAGGTCAGAGTAAGAAAAACCAATTTATTTAATTTTCTTTTCTTTTTCCGATATATTTCGGTTACGCCACGGTAACCGTCTTCAGGGCAATTATTTAAGCAAGTCTGCTCTGTTTGACTTGGAGTTACTTGGAGTTAGTAACTCCAAGTCAAACAGAGCAGACTTGCTTAAATAATTGCCCTGAAGACGGTTACCGTGGCGTAACCGAAATATATCGGAAAAAGAAAAGAAAATTAAATAAATTGGTTTTTCTTACTCTGACCTCGAGCCGGCCAAACAATAAAAATAATTAAAGCGAAATTTGTCTTTATAGTCCCTTTATTTTTTTATTTTATTTATTGTTTCTTTTCATAAATATTTTATAAATATCCTTAAATTTAAAATCTTAGTGGCATTATTAAACGCTCGAGACATAAAATGTGCGTTGGGACAGTATATAAAATTAAAATTTTAAAAACTTTTTTTTTCATTATATACGAATATTTTTTTCGCAAATAACTTAGTTTTCGAGTAAAATGCTAGCCCGTTTTAAAATATATTTTCCAATTGTATCATTTCCAAGTTACGCTAAAAGAATATAAACAGTATAAATCGAAGTAAGAAACTGAAGGTAACATAACCAATTCGATTTTATTTCAATTTAATATTTAGTGGTTTGATTTAAATGTCTATATACAATTTTATTTGAATGGCAATGTATAGTTTATTAATTCTTGCTGTAGACAAATGAAATAAGAATTCTTCAACTGATTCGATAAGTTGCACCTCTTCGCCTAAAAATTTTTTAAAATTAATAACATTATAAATTAATTCCTCCACAGTGTCAGAGGCGTTTTTAGATGTTATTGTAATTTTGTGGGATTCTTTTTGGGATTTATTAATCAGTTAAGCTATACTGAAGTTGGTAATATTCAGATTTTGATTTTTAAATGAACAAATTTTATACTACTTATATACGGGTACAATCTTACAAGCACTTGTTGCCAGTCTTCCTAGTCTGTTCGCAGCATTCACCATAACTGCCGACTTCACCATTTATTTGAAATTCTACGGTTTCCAGATTTAGGTCTCGTAGCCGCGATCGTAACAGTCGCATCCACTAATGAGCCGTAGCGCTTTAGTCGGTAGGTATTTAGACTAGTCTGCAGTTCCAAGCTGTAGATATGCTCCAAATCTCTGTACCTCCTTGTTGCCATAAGTTTCGTATCGCGCTAGGTTCGAATTTTGAAAACATTGCATACGCTCAGGAGGCAAGTATCAGAAAATAATTGTAGTTTCTTATACTCTTTGGTAGAATTTCATGCAATTTCATGCAGAAAAAATGCTTGAAAATCAGGAAAATATCAGATTTATGATTTTCTGATATTATTTATTTAATGATAACTATTTTAATACACCCCTTTTTTACGTTGGCTACCATTACGACTTATTGGTTACTGTCTACAACAATTAAGTTGACGTGCCTGAGGAGGGCCTGACGAGCAACCTTGGGATGTCATGTAGACCCCTTTGGATTATTGCTGTGCTTTCAACCATCCTGTGGTCCTTAAGAATTTCACATTCCTTATTTTTGGTATTTTTTGGAGATCATTTGATAGGGTTGCCCTGGCTAGAGCAGTGAACGAAAACCCGTTAGGTGCTGGAGAATAACACTGAACGCTTTCCCTTCTCGTCATCTCTTCAGTAATTCTGCAGTAATTGGACTGATAATTTGTTGTTGACTTTGAAATTATCGAAATTTCCGTTTAAAGCTGGTTCGTTGGGCCCATCATTTATTAATGCATAATTTATTTCTTGTTTTAAAACACATTTGCTTTAAATTAGCGTAATACACAATTCAAGTAAAAATGCAAATAATGTTTTATAGTTGTTGTAATGTGGTTCCTCTGTTATTATCTCTGAATAATTATTCATGCAATCTACAAGGATTTTAGTGAACAAATTGTCAAAGTTTTGTCAAAAAATGTACATTTCTGAAAAGGAAACGCTTTCTTGTGTCTGCAATCGATCAGATGTGGTGGGTTTGCGTTGCAAATGGTTGTTGTATTTGCTATTTTAGCCGAGGTTGAAAACGCCACCTATCGGTCATCTTAAAGAAGTTTGCTGTGAATGTTGAAGCAATAAGCAAAGAATTGGACGTTATTTTTGTTGTTTTTTAAATATTTATTTTGCATAATATTTACGGTTTGTTTTGTTGTTTTTACATATGTAATATTTTTGTTGTTTGTTGTGGTTTATTTGTCACTACTTAAATATGAAACGTTGAAGTCGAATTTGTTTATAAACTGTTTAATTTGATTAAACTTTTACTTTGTGGCGCATAATTCCTCACTTCCACTATTCCTCTCTCTTCCCCAGCCTATAACATCATCATTATTTATCGTCTAGCTTTCCATCCATTGGCGCTTCACAATTTGTACATTTTATTTGCATTCTGAATGTCATAAATAATATTCTTCTTGACAAGACGCGGATTTGATGCTTAATCTTAATAACTTATTTAAATCTTGTTACTTATGCTTTTTCCTTTTTCTTGTTTGTTTTTATTTTGCGCAACGCTGTTTAAATAGCTTTGTTGTTGTTCTTGTAATTCTTTCTTGTGGTAATTTTATAAATTTGTAACAATATCAAGTCGCTTGTTTGGGTTTCTAAGCAGCATGAAACAGGGCATCTTTTCTATATAAACATGTATGTAAAATTTGTTAGTAGATACATCATTTTCTTCCTCTTCTTCTTCTTGTTATTTAATTATAAAATGATTGTTTTTGTTTAAGTTTGTTTTTTCGTTTATCTTCTTTGGGTTATTAGCAAAAATGATACAAAATCTGCAAATCTCTTTGCGCTCAACTATTTCTCCACTTGGGCTTTGAGTTTGTTTGTTTGTTTGGTTTTTATTTAAGATTGGTGTAAAATTTGGCCATAAATACGAAATACGAAATTGTTGAAAACCGTTTTGATTAACATTTTTTAACTGCCTTTAATACTCTGTTCTCAGTTTTCTCTGCTTGTCATTTTTTGTTTCTTTGTTTGCTGTTTATGTTACGCATATGTTTGTATGTATGTATGTATGTATGTATGTATGCATTGGAAATGAAACACAAGATCAAAAATTAATGTACAATAATTTGTATTTGTTGCTGTTGTTGTTTTTAAATATTTTTATTTATTTGCATAGCAATTTGTATTTTGTTGCATATAATTTGTATAACTTTTAAATTTGCATAACAATTGTTGTTTTTTATTTGTATTTTTTTTATTTTGTTTTTTCTTTTCTTTTACTTACTTTGTTACAATTTAAAGTGTTTAATTTTACAATTTTACATGTGTTGTTGTTGTTGTTGTTGCTCTAATAATAATATTTTTTGTTGCATTTTTGACAAATTTTGGTTCGTATTTGTTGTATTGGTTATTTGTTTTAAATTTCGAAAATTGTTTAAACAAACGACGAAATGTTTTCTTTTAGAAAGTACAAACACACAGGCATAAATAATTTATGAAATATGTTTAACAAAAAGTTTATAGATTTTAGAAATCTCTGCGCTTTACCGCTTGGCTCTTGAAAATGTTTCACAAAGTGTTGGCAACGCAAACGAATCAGATGACAGATAATATACAAACATACATACATACCCATTTATGTATGAATGTATGTATGTGTGTATTGAAATAAGATATTTACACAAACATAGTGCTCGACGAAGCCTTAAGAGTACAAGTTTTTGTTTGTTTTTTTGTTGTTTTTCTTGTTTTTGTTGCTGATGCTGTTGTTGCTCTTCCAACGACTACAAACTAAATGCCTAGAAAGCAAGCAAGCTTACGAGTGAAACAAGAACTACATACGATGTACGTTAATTAATTAATTAATTTGAAACAATTAATCGTTAAATTAAGGACTACAATAAATATTAAAGTTTATATTTATGTGTGTATGTATATGTATGTATGCGTATGTTTAGGTATAGTATATGTATGTATGCATTGTTATTGTATTTGAATTATGTATTCAATTGAACGCGGCATTAATTTTGTTGTTCTCTTATTTATTCTCTTTCGTTTCGTTTGTTTGCAGTTTTGTTTCACATGCTATACATAAAATATTTTAAATATTTAATAATTAAAGTGTAAGATTGGTTTGCTCTTCGTTTGTTTGTTTGTTGTTGTTGTTTGTTTGTTACTTATTATTCATTAGTCAGTGGTGGGTTCATTTGTGTTTTCTTCATATTTCCATTTAAATATATTTTATAACTCTCGTTTTGAAACTTAAAATTAAAGACTAAAGATCATTAAAAATATATTATGTATGTTTGTATGTATGCATGTATTTATAAAGAGTTCAAAGATGCATTAGAATATTTTGCTAAATTTTTAAGCCTCGCTTTGAGTGATTTTTACTCCACGTTCTTTCTTCTTTCTTTTTTTTTTTAGTTTTTTGCATAAAATGTCTTCAAAGTATTTTCTTGCTTACAAATTTAGATAAAACCTAGACGTAATTAAACTAAAGTACACATACATATGTATATATTGTATATATATTTATGCATATAAAACAAACTTAAAAAAGCAGAACATAAACACACACGTAAGTAATTAAAATTGGTCTCAAAAATGTACAAATTAATTTGTTTTAAAGCTTTGGTTTCAATCATAATTTCTGCAGCAGAAGAACAAATTACAAAAAATTTTGAAAGTAAAATGCAGATATAAAGGGAATATAAACAAAAGAAAAAAGAAACGAAAAAATTGAATTGGAAAAAAGGCAAACATTTTGTTTTGTACGTGAGATCAAGTCGCGCATTATGAGTGTAGAAAAGAGCAGAACAGACCAGACAGAGCACGAGTAGATGCGATAGAAATGTTAACAGATTGTTTAAGCTTTTTACAGAAATTCTCTCTTTTGGCTCGGCAGCTTAACAGTGTTGCAGAGTTCCAATGCCCATACCCTTTGGGTAACGGTTGATGTTAATAGCTGCCTGTAAAATGTGCGTAATATTTGTTGCCTCCCTCTCTCTCTCTCTCTCTCTCTCTCTCTCTTTCTTCCTTCTCGATCGCGAAGCTTAAAGAGAGTGAGTGGTATAATAAGATTTACGCGCTAATGACTTAAGCTAAATTGTATTAAAATGTGTGTGTTTTTTGTTGGTTTGTTATGTTGAGTGTGTGGAGGGGGAGGGGGTGCATGTGTTTGGGCATGTGTGTGTGTGTATGGGATACGGCACTATAAGCTACAACTACAGCTAATGAATAAAAATAACAATGTGTTGCATTTGCGATTTACGGTAATCTAGACAATCTCCTTTTTGTTGATTTGTAATTCGCAATTCGTTGTCGGCGGCGTTTGCTTTTTGCTCGCTTTTGTGGGCAACGTCAGAATGCGCGGTGCAGCTGCTGACGGGGTCGATGCAGGCACAGGCGTCGATGTAGGCGTTGGTTTTGTCGTTGCAGCGATTGGAGCAGGTGGAGGCGCCACTGTCTCATTTTTAACATAGTTGTTGTGACGCTCCTTCAGGCTCTGTTGTTGACGACGCTGTTGTTGCTGTTGTTGTTGCTGACGTTGCTGCAGCGGCATTTCATCGTCCTCATCTTCATCATCGTCATCTTCTTCGTCCTCGTCATCATCTTCATAATCTTCATTTTCATTGTTCGCATCGCTGCTGTGGCTGTTTCTGTTGCTGTTGTTGCTCTTATTGTTATTATTATTATTGTGTCTGGCATTCTCTGGTCGTCCTTCCTCAGATTCTGCAGCAGACATTTTTGCCAACGCATTACTGGCCGACATCTGAGCCTTTTTCATGGAGCTCTCATCGCTGCTGTTGCTGCTATCGAACAACTGGCCAGCAGTTGCTGCCGAGTCAGGCGATATGGGCGTGGTCGCTGTGGGTGGCGTGACAATAGCATTGCTATGTGGCGCTTGCACTTGCTGCTCCTGGCTCTGCTGCATCTCGTCATCATCTTCCTCCGCCTCGTCATCCTCTTCATCATCTTCTTCCTCGTCCAGTTCGCTGCGTTCGGCATTGCTCTCTTCGTCGCTTTGACCTTGGCTTTCATCGATGCCGCCATTTTGTGCATTGTTTTTAAGCGGCAGCTGTTTGAGAGCTTTCTCTTCATTAGCGGCAGCTTCAGTGTTGCCAGCATTTTTCTCTGCTGCTGCTACTGTAGCTGCTTCAGGTGCTTCCTCTGCTTGACTTTGTCGTTTTAGACGCTTGATATGCGGCTCTGCCACTGATTCATCTTCCTCTTCTTCCTCCTCTTCGTCATGGTTGGAGCCATTCAGAGGCGTTGGACTGCGTCGATGTCCATTTTGTTGCGTTGACTTTTCCTCGTGATTGTTGTTATCAGCATTGTCTTGTGTCATGGTCTCATCGCTATCCATGCCGTTTATGCGCTCCTCCTCATCCTCCCGCTCTTCACGTTCCTCACGCTCATCATCTTCCGCTTCTGCTTCTGCTCCCTCATCCTCGTGCTCGTTCTCGACATAAACTTGCGCGGGCTGCTGCACTTGCTCCAACGTTCGTTTCAATGGCACTCTCAGTGTTGTCGCTTCATTGACCTCCTCCTCAATCATCATGTCCGGCTTGCTGCTACTATTGCTGCGAACGCTGGCCACATCGCTGGCATCGCCATTGCGCTGCTGCAGCTTCAGCACAGCCTCCAGCTCGCATCGGCAACGCTGCAGCTGCTCCCTTAGGTCGACTATGTGCGCGTCCTGCTTGTGGACTAGCTCACTCAACTGTATGTTGTTGTACCGATATTGTTGGTTCTCCTGCAATAGGCGCTGTAGTAGATGCAGGACACGCTCTCGATCTCGGGGTCGTGTGTCTCGCAACGCCTCGACGGCCATCTCCCAGGGTGGCAACATGTTGCTGCTGTCCGGCTCACCATTCAGGCTGTCGTCATCCGTGTCCGTGCTGAGCTCGAATTCGCTGCCCAGATGCGGCTTGCCTTGGCCGTTTTGAAGCGGAATGGCCTGTGACTGGAGCTTCGAGGTGTTACTGACCACATTCGAGGAGTGCGTGCTCAGATTGAGGCCGGCGCTGGAAGACTGCGTAGGCGAGTGCTGCTGGCGATAGCCCTGATGATGGTGATGTTGTTGCTGTGGATGAGAATGAAGATGGTGCGACGCTGGGGGTGGCGGCGCCGACTTATAGTAGACATGGCTAGGCGGTAGCAGAGTTGCAGGCGGCGGTGTCTGTGGATGACTCATCAGATTCTTATTGATCCTTATGCGGCTTGGCATGTCGCTGTTGTTGTTGCTGCTGTTGTTGTTGTTGTGATGAAGCTGTTGATTGCTGCCGCTGTTATGGTTGTTGCTGCTGTTGTTGTTGTTGTTGTTGCTGCTGCTGTGGTAGGTGCTTGTTGGCAGGAGCTTGGCATGCTGATTGACAGTGGCAATAATATGTTGCTGCTGCTGTTGCTTGCTGCTGCCATTGTTGTTGCAGTTGCTATTGGCCTGTGGCACTGGCGATGTGGAGGAGGTAATCTCGTTGGATCCCGAGAACTCTTCGGGACTGCGTGATGTGCGCAGCGTGGCGAGATGACGCTTCACCGTCGCTGACTGATGAGCGAGCTGATGTGGGGAGTTGTGACTGTGGCTGTGGCTAGGCGGGGGCGGCAAATGAGCGGGCACGGGTACCGGCTTCGGCGGTGTGCATGAGGCACCAACTGTCGGCGATGTGGTGGAACAGGCCGAGGATGAAGCCGTCGAGGACGATGATGATGACGAGGTTGAGTGCGTGGAGCTTGAGGTATGTAGGGAAAGGCGCTGCTGTTGCTGCTGACTCAGACTGAGCGACATTGGCGATATCATTGGCATGATGGCGGCATCTTCGTCCATTGGTCCATTGTGATTATTGTTGGCATTACAGTTGCTGTTGTTGTTACTGTTGTTGCTTGCGGGCGGACTCTGCAGCATGTCCAGCGGTGTGTTGGCCCGCTCCTGCTTTATGTGCAGCTCACTCTCTGTCACATGATGTGCCAGCTGTTGCTGCTGCTGCTGTTGTTGGTGGTGAACGTGCGATGATTGTTGCTGCTCTCTCAGCTCACGCAACTCACGCTCCCTGTGCTCCTTCTCACGCTCCCGCTCGCGCTCTCTTTCGCGAAGGCGCTGCCGCTCTATTTCACGCTCCCGCTCTCGCTCAATGCGCTCACGTTCGCGATCCTTGTCCCGCTCCTTGCACAGGATGCTCTTGCGCGGCGCCAGCGCCACATTTGGCTGGTAAGTGCCTCCGAAACGCTCGCGATCCGAGCTGCGCACCACACGCTCCGGATTCTGCAGCTCCGGGGGCTCCTGACAGGCGTAGGGCAGTGAGGATAAAGCTGCCACAGCCGTTGCATTGTATGCATGCAGTAGTGTCTTTGCCGAGCCCCAAGGACGAAAGGCGGACATCTGTTGACCCACTCGCTGTTGCTGCTGCTGCTGTTGCATGCAATGTGCATACATCAGTTGATAGCGTTGTATGTCCAGCGGATGATAGGCAGTCGCCACATCGAGGCTCTTGTGCTTCTTCGTTGGAATGTCCAGCAGCTCGGCTCGATGATGTTTCATGCTGGCGGGAAGCGTTTGATGGGATGGCGGTGGCGCCAATCCTGGCGGTCCCAGCAACGGATCCTCCAACAGCATTTCCGCCTACAGAGACGCAAGAGAGAAAGATGGAGAGAGGAAAGAACGAATTAGAAAATTGATCGGCCATAAAAATAGCGCCAGTCCAGAGTCGAGTTGTCTGTAAACGGCAGCTGTTTGCCTGTTTGCCTCAAAACCAGTAGCCTTCATTAATTTGAATTGCCGCTGCAGTCGTAGTTGTCGGCAGATCGCTGCACAACGTTGTCTACACTAAGCGGCATATGTTTTGGGATTGAGTGCTATAGGAAGTCAATTCGAAATAGTGGAAATATTTAATGTGGATTATACTGGATTGAAACTTGAAATATGCAAGATAATATAATATTATCTTTCGTTTTATTGTTATGTTTTTCTATAAATAAATAGCTTATTAGGTTTATTAATTAGGCTCGATGCTTCGAAAGTATTTCGAACTAGACAATTTGTCAGTTAAATGTTTCAATCCGACGACGGATAGACGAAACAAGTAAATACAAATATTTATAGCAAAGAATTATTATTATTAATTGTTTTGGGAGCTACAAGTCACTAATTAGAACAAGTTGAATCAATGGTCTATAATTTTAAGTATTTTCACTTAAGTTCATACAAATATAGTTAATAATATAAATAAACAATAATATAAATAATTGCTTAAGCGCCCTTTAGACGTGCATTTCTTCTATGGCAGTTTTTTTCTGGCATATAGTTTTTTCCAGCACAGTAAAGCGTTTCAGACTGACAGTTTTATTTTTTTTTAATACCAGCTGAAAATTAATTTAATTAAGTAATATGCGTTTTTTAGGAAATTAAGTTAATGCCAATTTATAGACGAACTCGGCACATGCGAATGAATTTCAATACCAGCAGACTATGCTTGAATAGCATTGTTTTCTTTGTCTGACAAAACAATGACATATCTACAACGTAGATATGTATGTATGTCAAAGAATTTTTTTGATTGTTAGTTAACTTTAAAGGAAAGATAGTTGAGTTATAAACAGACTAACTAACCTACGGATATGCTCGATTGGAATTCATAAACAATTGCGTAATTTTTGTTGAGTAATGGTCAATTAAAAGGGCCTGTTCGTTTAATCACTTCATTCTTTTGCTTTACAGTCTCCCAGACTAAAAACTAACTGCCTCCACCTGCCAGCCACACAGTGCCAATGAGGCAAAGGTCGGTTGACGGATTAATTATCCGTTGGAAAATATCCTCCCTACTTGTTTGGTTGGTTGGTTGGTTTGGTTTGTTGGCAGACATATGTGTTTGAGTGTAGAGTCCGTTGTTCGCTTGTTGGCTGCTTCGTTTTTACTTGGTAATTATAAACAAACAAGCAGCGACTCAAGCGCCCCATGGCGCCCTCGCCTGGCCCCGCCCCTCATTTCAATATCGTCGCAGCCATCGTTGGCGTCGTTGTCGATGCCAGTTATGGCGCCAATTGTCATTGAGCCCGTCGGGCCATCGTTGTCGGTGCATCGTTGTAGTCGCCGCAGCTCATCTTGCGCGGCTCCTCTTTGGTGGTGCCTGACAAACACACACACACACACACACACACACATGAACGCACACATGAACGCACACATGAACGCACACACAGATACTCGGACAGATATTTTGCATTATCAGCGACGAGTTTTGCGTGCTGCGTGTTTGCCAGGCTGTTAAAATGATTGGCAGCGGCCAATTATGAACGGCAGGCGGCAGGTATCTAAGTATAACCCATAGCCATAGCTATGGCCATAAAGTGCTCACAATGGCGCATTCGATTTGAATGGGACGACAGCTAGGTGTCAGTGAATGGATGAGGCAGATAACCGATAAATAAGTAAGCAGGCGACACTTCTAAATGTTGCTCAATCAGTGAGTTATGTGCTTTACTATCCAAATAGAGAGAACTGATGATGCGGACTATAGAAATGGATGATCGCATCGCATTAAATGCCCAAGATTGCAACAAACATGCTTACCAGATTATGGAATTTAATTATACACATATGACAGTTTATAATTTGTAGCCGATGGATGAGATGATATAATTCTTAAGAAGGTACTAATATACTTGTATGCGTATTAAGAAGGCAGAAATGAGCGTGACGGAATCTATATTATAGCTAAGTACTATAAATGATCAGCATGACGCGACTAATCGTCTCTTCGAATAAAAAACAAGAGACTTTTGGACTCACTCTAACATGATTTATAGACTTGCCTAACTAAATCTTTTTACAAACCGTATAAAGCCTATTTTAGAAGTGAACGACTTTCTTTTAGCAGCGCGTAGTTGTCGCTATTTTGAAGTACCTTTAAATCCATGACATCCTGTACATGGTCTGTATACTTTTTATATACAAGTAATATTAGTATAGTATTATAGTAATCCCCCTCAGATATAATGCACTTATGCCAATCCCCGGTATGGCCATCAACTCGTTCTTATATTTGAATTTAACTCATCAATTTTGGCAAAACGCTTTCCTTTCATTAGTCTCTTCAGTTTTGGGAATAGGAAAAAGTCGCAGGGTATTATAACTTCCATGTAGTATTCCTTATTAACCGTACGATCTATTGGCTAGAACTCATGATGCACTACGCATTGTAATCGAAGAAAACAGTGAGGAAAAACTTTGCAAACCTTTTGGTATTAAAGTTTTTTCTAGCGAGGATCAATTCTAAACAACTAAAAAGAATACAACAATATTTAATTCGAAAACTTTCAATGCAAGTTCTGGCTCTAATTTCGTGAATTTTCTTTTTGAAATAAAACATAGTTCTTCATTTCAAATACCTGCCGTCGCCCTATTACGAATTTAGTCTAGAGAGCAAATATTAGTTCTTCGGCTGATTCATCATGCATCAATTGTGCTGCACCTCTAATCAGGCAGCAGGCGTCAATTACAAGCGTGTTAACAACAACTGGGCTCCGCTCATTACAATTGCAATTACAAGAGAAATAATGACAGGCCATTACTTAATAATAATACAATGGACAATGGGACAGACTGACAGCTCGAAAGTATGCAGCAACCTTTGACCACAAAGGAGAAAAGCAAAAGCAATGACAGTGGTGCCAACTTAACTAAGACCTGGCTAGTAAACAAGCTGCCATAAGTTGGCCTCAGCATCCACTAACAACACTAGTTGGAGAAGAGGAGGTCTATGAGCCAGGCACTTGAGCGTCTTGGGCTGGCCTGGCTGGCTGGCGACGACGGCGCCGTTGGCAGGCAGGCAGGCAGGCAGCCAGACATACATACTATATAGCCGAAAATATAACCGAACCAAGCACAGACTTTGCAGATATAGACGGCCCGATAAGAAACTGGAAGCCAGGCACAACACACATACATACGCACACTCACAAATGTGGCATTAAAAAGCAAAATCATAAAAATCAAGAGCCATAAAGAAGTCGTCGTCGAAGGAGCGCCAGTTGGCAATCTCTTCTTAGTTGCTGTTGTTATTGTTGTTGTTGCTGCCAGCGCAGCAGGAGTTGCTGCTGCCGCTGTTGTTGTTGTTGTTGCTGTCGCTTGGCGGTTTTAACTGTTCGGAGATCGCAGGCTGCGATATAGATGATGCAGCATCCAATCCACTTGAAGAAAACAGGGAGAGATGCCACAATACGGACAGTACTAAAACAGATTCTTTACTAGATATATATCACAGAATCTTGATCCGATATAGTTTAATGGATCTTATAAATATTGGTGACTATGACTCATATAGTTATTTGAAACATTGTTTCACATTTATATATTTATTCTCATGTAATTTATTTGCAAGGATTGTATAAAAAGTAAAGGTGCGGAGGCGAATTTTCCTTTTGTGGTCGTCCTTGATTTCTATAAATTCTTTCTGAACATTTATTAAGCATATTTTTTATTTTTATACAAAATTGATAATACGAAATAGGTTCCAATTGATCTTGTCTTTAAGTATGTATTAAGAAAGACGCGTTTCATTCACTTGGAACTTCTGGTCTAGTTCGGCTTACCTAGCTGCAATGATTTCTTTACTGTTACTTAAGCAGATCATTACTGGATTGTAAGGTACTTATATGGATTTGTGCTTAAAGAGTTACCTATTTCGATTTGACAATCGAACATTAAAAGTATCCGTCAAGTTTGCGGCTTTCGTATGTTCTTTCAAAGTATAAAGTGTACAATCCATACAGGCTTTACAAATAAATTGGTAGTTAAGATAGAAAAGTACCGTAAATATAATTTTCTATTAATTGGAATAGTAAAAAAAATAATCTTCGGTTATTATCGAATTGAGATTTGGGAGACCAAGAAAGATCATTCTTGCAATCAAACGGACAGGATAATGAAGTCATCCTAGGGGAAAACATATTTTTTGACACACTTAAAGAAAGAGTTAGTTCATCGTTGCTCTATTCAATACTCATCTTCCAATAAACTGTTCACTCCTTGACAACTCTAAATTCCTGGCACTGAAATAAATAATGGATTTTCTGCAAGTGGAAAGACAGCGAGCTGGCCTTTGTCTCGACACTGGCTTAGTCTCGAATTGTGGCGCACGCGTCTCGCTGACGTTGCAGTGACAAATTGTGGCATGACGGCAATGGTGGCAACTCTGGCTGACGGTGCGGGTGTGCCGGCAAGGCAGCCACGTACAGTTTTTCAAAGCAACATTCGGTTTGCCACAACTTCCAAGGTCTTTTGCCATAACTCAGCACCAAAGATGATGTGCGGCAGCGGTTGCAACAACACCAACACCAAGAACAGCAACATCAAACATATATATTGAGGCAGCGGCGACATACAAAATAAAATAATTGCGCCCCAGTCGATGATGATGACGACGATGGGGACGGACACGAACAGCAGCAACAGTCATGGCAACAACAACAACAACATAACTTTGCTGAACGATAAGATCATGGCAAATATTGACGACGACGACGACGACGTCGAAGACGATGATGTTGATGTTGACAATGAAGTTGCACACACACACACATACTCGCACATACCCATATGTGTGTATGTGGGGCTTGACTGCA